GGTCTCAACTCAGTGTATTGACAACTAGCTGAGCGACTGCAACGAGTATCCTAAAGCTGAGGAGAAAAGAAAGGAAGAAGAAAAAGAAGAAAGTTCGAGAACAGAACACGAGCTTTTAAAGGGAGCTCCGGAGCCGATGTGGATCCCCGGTCGAGAGCGGAGCCGAGACCCACACGGGCCCAGCCCGTTACAGGCAGCGACAGCTCGGTGCGGACGTGGCCCTTACACAGGAGCCTGGCCTGGTCAAGATCCGCACCTCGTGGCAGTTCAAGGGCTTCATGGCTGGCTTGGGCCTTGCGACGATTCTGATCTTCTGGCGGTCGGCTTATCGCGTGGCCGAGCTGAACCAAGGCTGGACTGGACCCATTACCTTCAACCAAGGCTTGTTCACTGGCATGGAGCCGGTTCTAATTACCGTGGCAGTCTATGCCCTCGTTATTTTTCATCCGTCGTTTTGCTTGGGAGAGGCCATGGGTGAAAGAAAGCTGGTACCATACGGCAGTAAGAGCGGGAGCCAGAATCTGGCTCAGACTGAGGGCGACAGAACACCGGAATCTCCGCGCGCCGCTCCTGTTGATCCTAGTCAGGCCGGGGACTCGGAGCCTAATGAGACAGGGGTAGAGAAGACGACACCGCAGGGTCAGGTGTAAAATATGGAAGACCGTGCAATTGTTTTTATTACAGGGAAAGTACGGAGCCTCTCAAAGCCAGAGTTGGAAGAAAACCACAGAAATCATGTGTCTTTCCCCCTTTAGATATTTCGCAGATATATAGACTGGTTCCAATCACACATAATATAGTCACTAGACTTGATACCATGTAAGCCATGGAAACATGACATGACGAGAGGTGGAGAAGACGTCACGCGCAGTAACGCCAACATGTCCACAACTCCTACAATTCTACACTCGCAGAAGAGATCCTGGCAATATCCCCGATCTGTCTACATTTCTATGGTACATTGTCTACCAGATAATGCGACTCTGATTTACCTAGTCCTTTGAACCGCCTCCTGCCGCCCAACGTTGGAAGTTTGAGGAGGCAGTGTCATGAGTCCCGAGCATCCCAAGATGCCCAAGTGTGCCCGTCTCTGCCACACCTTCTGGTGGGGATGGGCTGCCCAGGGAGAAATTGCTGAATTGCATTGCTCCATCAAATCGCGACATTGTAAACGGCCCTGTGGTGTCCATTAGTGCGCTATTGGCTCCTATAACGTCTAGCTCTGTATCATGCTGCATCGGAAGGCTCGCGTTGCTGTATGTGTATACTGGTTCTGGGGCTGGCAATCTCGTGGACCCGGACCAGCCGGGCCAGGCAGACCCCTGATGTGGGTTGCAAATTATGTCGGCAATGACTTCTCCAAAACTCGCCAATTTGATGACAGTGGTATTTGCTTCACTCATGCGAGAAATAGATTGGAATATTTTCCTCGTAGAGAGGAGGAGGCTAATATCCTCATCGTTTGCGTGGTTGAGGAGCACAAAGGCACTCAACTGGATGAAGCTCAACGGAGCATACGTCCGAGTTACTCTATTAGTAAATACGTTAGATGGGAGTTCTGAAGCAATTGATGGAAGGAACGACGAAAGAAACAGGTGGTGCCTACCGACTGATTGTTATGTAACTTCCCAACTCATTTTCGTCAACCCATAGCCGCTGGATCAATGACAAGCAGGTTCTGACTCTGGCGATGAGTCGATCACCTATGCTCTTCTCGTTGCTTGCCGGCCACCATACGAGTATATGAATGGCGCAAGCGGCGATGGCGAATTCAAGGTCCAACGACGACGGCTGCTGGTTATTCAGTCCTTGGCCGTCGTATTCTGACCAGCACTGCTGCACCTCCCGATCAAGCTCGGTAATGATGCGATTTCGGTGGCGGGTCCCCTTCTCGTCTGCATCATCTGAGTAGAGTTCTAAACAGACCCTGTGCTCGACTCGTGCAAGTCTGGCCCGCGCAGCGAACCTATGGTGGAGTTCGTTGCTTGATTGCGATGGTGAGAGCCACACCTCTGGGCTCTTTATCTGGACGCTAGGACATCGTCCATCCACCCAACATCTGGACTTGTCCAGGATGTAGAGGCAGTAAAAGACCCGCTGTCGCTCGTCAAGTTCGTCTGGGTCAAGCTGGCCCTGCGACGGCTGCCACTGATGAAGCCCGATGGACTTGGCGGTCATCGCCGCCATGGTCAGCAGCAAGCTCGCCCTCTCCGTGCTCCAATGAACAAGGGCAACGAGATACTGCGAGCATCATCAGCTATGCGCACACTTTTCTCCTGTGATGAGATATCGTGGGACGAACCAAGGACAAGAGGGCTTGAACATTGCTTAGGCGAGGCGCTAGAAGCTCCTCGATGTTTTGAACCGCCCTTGTTGCGTTGGCGAGGAATGACTGGTGAAGGTCTGAATCGATAGACTTGCCCCTCGCCCGCAAAGATGAGGAGGCCCCTTCCTTGGCAGCAGCGCGCAGAGACTTGGCGGTAAGAGTCAGCAAAACGACGTTGTTGAAACAGACGATGTCGGCCCTTTGCTGTTTCTCGTCTTCAATCATTTGGCACTCCGCTACCCGCCTTTGGAAGGCTGCTTTCGACCATATAGGCATGTATGGGTTGATGCTGTCAAAGTACGGGCTGATCATCGCCTCGAGTATGACCAGCGGAGGCGGAGTGGGCGGAGCGCCATCATGGCCGAGCCTGTCGCCGATTCCTTTCATTTCCAGAGCGGCTAACCTCTCTGCCGCATGCAGTATGCGCTCTGGCTGCGCATCGATTCTGGCATTGGGCTCGCCCAATGGTACTAGGACCGAATGACCAAAGTTGTGCATCAATGCATCCAAGGACGTTGGCCCCACGTATTGTTGCGACCCGTCCGCCGCGTGCACCAACTGGAATTGTCCCGGCGGCAAGATACCCGGGCGGGACCCGGGCGACAACGAGGCTGACGATGTTGAAGAGGCTGTGGATGCGTGGCTCGCCGATTGAGGCACCGAGAGGACCGGAGTGTATCTCACCGGCTCGCGGGTCGTCGGATCTAGCTTGGCCAAGGTATCCTGGATGTCACCGATGACCTTCTCCAGTCGATCGATTCGGGTTCCGAGACCCATCACGGCATGACTTCTGCATCACAATAATATATCAGCACAGATTGAGACCGGAGCAGACGGTACTTCGATAGACTTCATGTTGGCCCCAGCCCCCACAGCCCTCTGCTGCCGCGAGACACAATGCAGCAAGAATGCGACGACGGGTTGGACGACGAAGATGGACAAATAGGGAATGAAAGTCAAGGGAAAGGGACGCAGCGGTGAGTGTTACGCCGCGTCTGCAGCGTTGGGTTGGGGTAGTATTCGATCAAAGAGAAGCAGTAATTTTGCGTACAGCATGATGGTCTGATTTGGCTTCTTTCCAAAGCCGGACCACTCGCAGTCAAGCCCGAGGCGGGTACAGTTGGAGCACCGCGGCCGCTCTCGTCCACAGCGGATCTTCTTCATGCGGCATTGGTCACACACTGACGGATTGTCATAAACGTTGGCTGCCGCACCCTTTCAGAGAGAGTATGTTGGGAGGCCAAAAAACAGGACGACGCGCAGCCTTACCGGTGTAGTCTTTCCCGCCGCCGGTGTCCTGCGTGTCGTCGGAACCCGCGCCTGGCTTGGGACTCGACCGGGCCGTCGTGCTCGCGGATGCAGACGAAGCGACAGTTCCCTCGTCCGGGAGATGCGATGTTCGTTTCTCCGCCGGCATCGCTGGCAGATTCAAGACAGAAAGTGAGTCGCCCAGGCGAAATGATGCACCAGCCAGGAAGCTACTCCCTTAAGACTATGCCGGTGTCAGGTTTATCGGAGAAGGCTCAGCGTGCTTGCTTGATTGCGTCGCTCCGACCGAGTCTCTACATGTATGTACTCTGCGAAGCCAACCACATGTGGCGTTCGGGGGGCCCAATACGTCTATCTACGCAGCGGGCAGTACCTTTGGTGTTCCTACGGCACGGCGAGATAGTGGGGTCGGATGTAAGATGGCCGCCTTACACGTCTGACTCCATTCTGGGCCCTCAACGTGCAAGAGCTGCACTGATGAGAAGGCTCCAAGTTCATGTGCTCATGCACTAATGAAGAGAACTGAAACGTCGGGCCTGGCGCTTTGTCGAGCAGCTACCAGATCCCGAGGCACATGTAGATCGACCAAACGCTTCGAGGATGCCCATGGAATTTCCATGAGCTTGTGAAGATGAGAGCAGAGCTGGGTTGTGACTGCCATGTGTGACCGTAAGCGGTGCCGTGGGCCGCTAAATCTGATCCTTGGTGCGGACGTGGACAGAAGGGCCAGGCACGGGAGGGTATGGCGCCACGGCTCAGCATCATATGTTTTGTGCGCTGTGCGCTTCAGGCGTCTTCGTCACATTCAGCTTTTTGTCACACTTATGCAGACTGTTGCCTGTGACAGCACTTAGGCAAGTACCCCTCCAGGGCTAACAGAACAGCGCCCATTCAACAGAAGTCGAAGTCAAGTTGCGGAACCAGCTCCACGACTGTCATGTCGGGGACGGGCATCGGCATCGGCATAGCGGCTTAGTGGGCACGGTGATCTACCGATTGAACTCCAAGCCCCGTGGAGAGATTGGGTTCGGTAACTGCCCGTCCGTGCCGTCACCGCAAAATACGAAAGGCGGGTGGCCGTCGGTCGAGAGCCGGCAAACCCGGCGTCGGCCGCATTCATGGTCTATGTGCGAACGAGAACATAATCATCTCAGCCCCAGGAGCCGTGGGTGGCACTGCAAATGGGAGACTTTTGTTGCCTGGTGCATCTGAGAGGCGCATTTCAACCGCTGCGACAACACTCGGTGTTTTCCCAACCCTGCAGATCCGACGCGGACCAGGTGCCGTCTTACCCGTGGCTGGCTCTTTCCAGAAGGCAAGAGGGCGGCAGTTGTCCGAGGATTTGGCTCCTTGTCACGGTCGGGCAAGGGTTCACGGCGCAGGATCTTACGTACATTTGATGCAACATAACAACTTGATTCGGGCGCGGCGGGAGGGCTAGACCCGACCTAGACGCGGCGAGGATTGCGATGCGGAATCCGTCTCCCGCCCCTGTTCGCGTTCCGCTGACAGAACCCAAAGATGCCGTTCTGCGGATCGTTCTCAGCACTAACTTTCGTATTGGGGCTCGATGCATGGATCAAGCTTGGTGTACGGATCGTTCCGTGCGGTCCCGTCCATCGCCAAGCGTCCAACCCGATTGGATCGGGCCACGGGCTTTCGTCAATTTGGCGTTTTTGGACCTTGGCAATCTTGCTTGAGCTGGGGGGTCAAGCGCCAAGGTTTCACGTCGCGTTTCACTGAATTGGAACAGAGCTGAGAGATCTGCCCCCGGGAACCCAACATTCATGTCCAGTAAAAGATGGCATTAGGCTGAGCGGCAACTACTCAAAGGGATTCGCTGCCAGCTGCGACAGATCCATCTTCTGAACATTGGCGGCCTGCGCCAACCCGTACACCTTGCGCATTGCGCTCGGGATCTCGTTTCCTGGCGTCTTGCTCTGCTGGATGTCGAGCATCTCACGAGCCCACCTGCAGATGGATGCCGCCAGCCCCTCGACTTCCTTCTCGGTGTTTCCAGCATGAATAACTAGACGCACGCGACCTGTGCCGCGAGGGACCACGGGGGGATCAATGGGAATCGCCGTGAAACCGTCCCCGTGCAAATGCATCGTCAGGAAGTAATTCTGGCCCTGACGAGTCCACACAGGCAGAAACTGCGTCACAAAGGGCCTCGCCTCGATGTCTTCGCTGACGGGGATGGAGCATATGCCCGTGTCAACCGCATCTTGCCAGTCAGTGTCTGCCTCGATTGTCTCGCAGAAATGCCTGACTAGGTGCTGGACGCGAGCTTGGAGCTACATGTGACGCGCGGGGTCGACGTGTCAGTGTCCGACCCGATGACTTCCGACATGTTCTCGCGATTAACGTACCTTTTGGGTTTGCCCTGTTTCCATTAGATTGTACGCCGCACGGATTGCCGCAAGCATGGGAAACGACGGCGCCGTCGTGTAGATGACAGGACGGGCGAAGTTGATGAGTGTGTTGAGCACCGTCGAGTTGGCGAGAATCGCGGCTGTCGCAGCGGTTTAGCAGGGGTTCATCGCGTTAGTTCGTCAGAGGCACTCAATAACATACCTCCCGTGGTGCCCAAGCCCTTGCCGTAGGTATGGAGGCGTATGGCAATCTCTTTCTCAAGACCAAGAGCCGACACCAAGCCGCGGCCATTCTCGCCCACGAGCCCAGTGCTATGAGCCTCATCGATGATGATTTGGGCGTTCCCATTAGGGAAAATGTCCCGAACGACCTCAACGATCTCGGCGAGAGGAGTGACATCACCGTCCATGCTGTACACTGCCTCCACACCAATGAGCACGCAGCGTGTGCCTTGTCGAATGAGCGGCTGGGCCTCTTTGAGCGCGATAAGTGTCTCTCTTAGTGAGTCTGCGCTGTTGTGTTTGAACGGTATCTGGTTGGTAGCCAGACTGGCCTTCATGCCGTCGTGCACGCTGGCGTGGATGAGTTCATCATACACGATGACATCTCCAGGGCGTGGAACAGCTGAGAATATGGCGCAGTTGGCATCGTAGCCAGACCCAACAATGAGTGAGCCCTCTGCTCCATGAAAGTCCGCAATCTGCCTTTCCAGGTCTTCCAAATAGGCATTATTGCCGTCAGATATGCGTGACCCTGTGCTTCCGACCTCGAAATCTGGATTCCGATCCAGCTCCTCAAGAAAAGCCTCTCGAAGTAGCCCGGATGTGGCAAGAGAAAGAAAGTCGTTGGAGGAAAAGTCAACCTTGTGCTCAAACCGGTGCAATGTCACGAGGTTGTGACCGGCGCGTCGTTCGTCCAAAGCAGCCTCCAAGTTTCGATAGAACAACGGCGCGCTCTTCATTGTTGGAGCCTTGAGTTTCTGGGAGGCGACCCATTTCTGGATCTGAGACAGGTCCTGCCCTGCATACATTGACGTTGAAGTTGAGACAGGCATGATGAATCGTGAGACGACAGTATCAATGCCGCCTGTATGAGGGGGGAAAACCAATAAGTGGGCAGCTTGTTCCTGACGCGTCGTGATATTGCGGTTAATACGAGATCTCACCGCTAACCTTACACAAGCGAAAGCTTCGGGATGGAATTGAAGTGGACACTGGGCCAGATGCGACTTTGAGTGCGGTCAGCTCACGTCACGCGTGGGGTATTGCTCACAGTTTACGCTGCGGCTGCCTGGTGGCGTGATTGCGTGCCCGACTTCAAGCTTGAATATATGGTCCGACGAAAATGGGAGAGCACAAGCAAGCGGTGGAGGTATCTGGACGGAACCCGACGCGTACCACATCCCCACATGCTGGAACCACGCAAGTACGGCAGCCTCAACACGTGTGTCCCAACAGTTTAAACGGTGTTGTTTCGGCATGACCACCGTACAGGATCAGCCCAGAATCTCACCTGCCGCGTATGTCTACCGGGAGCCATGCCGTCGCGGAACCCGTCTTATCTGACGCAGACACGGGTTCCGCGAGGTTTAAAATCACAGCAGGAGGCCGTTCCTGCAGGAATATGAACCCTGCATTGTAGACATGAACGGTCGTTGCCGGAACCCGCTGAGTCATGTTGTGATGAGCAGGAAGGCTTCACTGTTTACTGCTGTTGAAGGCGAAGCCCCTCAGCTGATGGCCCTGCCGAAATATTGTCGGGATTATTATTTTGTTATTTATAAAGGGGCTCAACTGCCGTAGGCCGTCTGTTGACAACAAGCTCAGGCAAGGGTACCGATTTCAACATCTCAAACACCACCCGTCCTGCTGCAGCTTGTCCCGCTGCAGGTTTCATTTGCCAGCCAGGTTGCTTTGTCCCACGCAAGAACGTGGCATACTGCAGATACAATGGGCCCCACGGCAATCACTGGCAACACAACCTCGCTTGTCTCAGATCTTCCAGATCTGTCTAGTTCCCGCCTTGGCAATGGGGCCGCGAATGGCCATGGCGACGGGGCTCATGGTGTCAATACAAACGGACACCTGAATGGCAACGGCCAGGCGAATGGCCATACAAACGGTCACGTAAATGGCCACTCGAACGGCACAACCGATCACTCGTCCTCACGGACGCCAACAGGCGCCACCAATGGCTCGCATGCAAGCAAGAGCCCGGCGACAGAGCCGATTGCCATCTGCGGCATGTCAGTGCGTCTTCCAGGAGGACTGCACACACCACAGCAGTTTTGGGACTTTCTACTGTCCAAGAAAGATGCCCGCGGCCCCGTTCCGGAGTCTCGGTATAATGTGTCCTCGTATCACACTGAGCCGCGAAAGCCTGGCAGTGTTGGGACAGAGTATGGATACTTTCTTGACGAGAGCATCGACATCGCAACCGTCGACACATCATTTTTCAGCATGCGCAGAGCCGAGGTTGAGCGAACAGACCCGCAACAGCGACAGATGCTAGAGGTCGCTCGCGAGTGTATGGAGGACGCAGGAGAAAAAGACTACAAGGGCCGCCCGATCGGCTGCTACATGGGAAGCTTCGGCGAGGACTGGACAGAAATGTTTGCCAAAGAAAGCCAGCAATACGGCCTCTACCGGATTACGGGATACGGAGACTTTATGCTGCCCAATCGCGTGTCATACGAGATGGACTTGATGGGACCAAGCTTGATCGTCCGGACGGCTTGTTCTTCATCGCTGGTCGCGCTGCACGAGGCTTGCTTGGCCGTGTCCAGAGGTGACTGCGAAGGGGCCATCGTCGGAGGCGCCAACCTCATCATGGCCCCGGGTATGACGGCTGCCATGACGGAACAGGGTGTCATTGCCCCTGATGGCTCATGCAAGACGTTCTCCGCGGACGCCAATGGGTATGCGCGAGGCGAAGCGATCTCGGCCATCTACATCAAGCCACTGTCTGCCGCGATCCGAGATGGCAACCCTGTGCGAGCCGTCATCCGAGGAACGGCTTCCAACAGTGACGGAAGGGGTACTGCCGGCGCCATCCAGGTGCCAAACGATGTCGCCCAGGAGGCTGTAATTCGACGAGCGTACGAGGTTGCCGGCATCTCAGACTTTTCCGAGACTGCGTTTGTCGAGTGCCACGGGACTGGCACCATGATCGGCGACCCCTTGGAGACCAAGGCTGTCGGCCGTGTATTTGGACCCTCTGGGGGGATCCAAATCGGATCTGTCAAGCCCAATCTCGGCCACTCTGAGGGAGCCTCGGGTCTCTCGTCTCTCATCAAGGCAGTCATGGCATTGGAAAGTCGCACCATCCCGCCCAACATCAAGTTCAATACGCCAAACCCGGATATCCCTTGGGAATCGTGCGGCTTGTCTGTGCCCACGGAGCCAATGCCGTGGCCCGAGGCGCGTCTCGAGCGTATCAGTGTCAATTCGTTCGGAATCGGAGGCAGCAATGCTCATGCCATTCTCGATTCCGCGCAAAGTTTCGGCATCTCTCCCAGTTCCAAGAGGCCAGTCACATCGCCGCAGTTGCTTCTTTACTCCGCCAACACGGCCGACTCCCTCAAAGCCATGATTGCCAACTACGAAGAGTACATGGAGAAGAACCCCGACAGAGTCGGCGACCTGGCTTTCACTCTTGGCAACCGAAGAGAGCATTTGCCGCACCGGGCGTTCTCGGTGGCAAGCCCACTGGGAGCCGTCACGACGTCTCCGATAGCCAAGGCAGGGCCAGCACCTAGTGTCGTCATGGTCTTCACGGGCCAGGGAGCCCAATGGCCGCAGATGGGCCGCCGCCTGTTCCACAGCGCCGAGTTCCCCATCTTTAAGAAGACCATACAGGCGCTGGACGTCCATCTGCGTTCGGTGCGGAATGCACCGGACTGGACCATTGAGGAGGAGTTGCAAAAGCCGACAAAGACCAGCAGGCTGGGATCCGCCGAGCTTTCGCAACCACTCTGCACGGCGATCCAAATCGCATTGGTAGACACCCTTGCGTCCATCGGGATTGAGCCAGCAGCTGTCGTTGGCCACTCTAGTGGCGAGGTGGCGGCGGCCTACGCCGCCGGCGCCATCACGGCCAACGAAGCCATCACCGTCGCTTTCCACCGTGGCCAGGTCACCAAGCTGCAGACCAAGTCGGGTGCTATGGCGGCGATTGGTATGGGCTCTACTGATGTCCGCGAGTTCCTGCAACCGGGGGTCATTGTCGCTTGCGAAAACTCCCCCAAGAGTGTCACTCTTGCGGGCGACTCCGAGGCGGTCCACAGTGTCGTGGCCAAGATCAAGGAGGCTCGCCCGGATGTCCTGGCTCGTCTCTTGCAGGTCGACAAGGCCTACCACTCGCATCACATGGCTGAAATTGGCGATGACTACCATGCTCTGATCGAGAACAATGTGTCCGCCAAGAACCCGCGAAAGCTATTCTTCAGTAGCGTGGAGGCGAAGCTGCTCACCCAGGCCCAAAGCTTCGGGCCGAGGTACTGGCAAAAGAACCTCGAGTCTCCCGTCCTCTTCAACTCTGCTGTCACCGGAATCTTGCGTCATGATATTGCCAAGAACATGGTGCTTCTCGAAGTCGGGCCGCATTCGGCCCTTGCGGGACCTCTGCGACAGATCCAGACACAGCTTTCCGACTCATCGCCATACGCCTCCGCACTCGCTCGCAACCAAAACGACGTGGAGGCGTTCCTCACGGCGGTAGGAAAGCTACATGTCCTCAATGTCCCGGTTCACTTGGAAAAGGTCATTTCCAAGGGCACGGTCCTGCCTGATCTGCCGAGATACCCATGGAACCATTCGGAGAAGTTCTGGTACGAGTCCAGGCTGAGCAAGGAGTGGCGACAACGCGAACACAAGTACCACGACCTCTTGGGCGTCCGCGTGCCGGAAAGCCTCGAATTCGACGTGCACTTCCGCAACCTGTTCCATCTGGACAACGCACCATGGATCCGCGACCACAAAGTGGGCGACGACATCGTGTTCCCGTTTGCAGGCTACGCGGGGATGATTGGCGAGGCAGTGCGCCAGCTGACCGGCGTGGAGGAAGCCTTCACCCTGCGCAACGTTGTGGTCAGCACGGCGCTTGTTCTCAACGACGGCAAGCCAGTTGAGATCATGACTACAATGCGGCGCCACCGCCTTACCAATTCGCTTGACAGCGACTGGTGGGAGTTTACCATTGCGTCGTACAATGGCACGACTTGGACCAAGCACTGCTTTGGCGAAGCCAAGGCTCACAACGAGCGAGGTGCCTATGCGGTGATGAAGACGCCACTCTTGAGAAAGGTCGGAACACGTCGCTGCTACGATTCCATGGCCAAGTCTGGTCTCAATTTCGGCCCTGCGTTCCAGAGACTCGACGACGTCCGCTCCGACACGCTGACTCAAAAGGCAACTGCAGAAGTCTATGCCGGAGAGAACGAGGGCAAGGACTACCACCTGCATCCGACAGTCATTGATGCCTCACTGCAGCTGCTCAGCGTCGCTGCGTCCAAGGGCTACGCCGACTCGACGACCAAGATGATGGTTCCCACCAACATTGAGGAAATGTGCATCTACCGCTGCTCGGACAATGTGCAAGTTCGCGCGTCTGCTTCCTACACACCCAACGGCTCAATTGCGGGAGACGGACAAGCCATAGCCGCAGACGGCAAGCTTGTCCTGCGAAGTACTGGAATCAGGCTCTCCATCGTCGACGACCAGAGCGACGGCGAGTCTAGCGGCGCCACTGCTCGAGCGGAATGGGGCCCTCACATTGACTTTTTGGACGTCAACACTCTCATCAAGCCATCGGTTGACCGCAGCGAGCACATGCCCCTTCTTACTGAGCTCTCGCAACTCTGCATGGCTCACACGAAGCGAGTGATTGCGGGATTGAACACATCGATTGCCCACCTGCACAAGTACCGTTCATGGATCGATCGTCAACTGGAAGCTCCGGGCCTTGCTACTCTAGCCACCCTGGATCGCACTGCCATTGAGAGTCGGGTCAACCGTATTGTCAATGAGCTGTCGCAGACCCCAGCGGTGGATGCGGCTGTGGCTATCCACAAGATCTTCAGCAATGTCGAGAGAATTTTCTCGGGCGAGGTCGAGGCTCTAGATCTTTTGCTGAGCGACGACACGTTGACGAAGCTCTATGTCTTTATGGACCAGTGCGACGAGTCTCAATTCTTCAAGCATCTCACTCACAGCAAGCCCAACTTGCGTGTTCTTGAGATCGGTGCAGGAACGGGAGGCTCGACGGCGAACATCCTGCAACAGCTCACGCCTGACGGCAAGAAGCTGTACTCCAAGTACACGTACACCGACATTTCCTCAGGCTTCTTTGTGGCGGCCAAGGAGAGATTCGCCGCATTCTCTAATATGGAGTACGCAACGCTGGACATTAGCAAGGATCTTGCCGAGCAGGGCTTCGACGGCCGCAAGTATGACTTGATCCTGGCTACGAATGTCATTCACGCCACACGGTCGCTCAACGAGAGCTTGCGGAACGTTCGAGAGCTGCTTGACCCCAACGGCCGCTTCTTGCTGCACGAGCTCACATCGACTTCCAAGTGGGTCAATTATGTTTGGGGTACCTTGGCCGGCTGGTGGTATGGTGAGCCTGACGGTCGACCTGATGAGCCGTACGTCAGTGTGGAACGTTGGGCCAAGGAGTTCCAGGGTGCTGGCTTCCGGGCACCCGATGCCGCAGTACTCGACTCAGCGGCACCGCATCAACTCAATGCCATGATCGTGGCCAGGCCGGCCATTGAGTCCCTCCCCGAGAAACGGGTTACCGTTGTGGCCTTGAACGAAAAGTCAGGGAATGCAGCTACGCTGCTCCAGACTCTCGAGGGCAGGGGCTACGCTGTTGATCGATCCACGCTAAGCAATCTTCAACTGTCCGCAGGTAGAGATGTCATCGCTCTACTTGACGAGGACAGGCCCTTCTTTGAGGACGCTGATGAGACCCGGCTTGCATCATTCCAGAACCTCGTGAGCAGCTTGAAGGACGCGGGGATCCTCTGGGTGACTGGCCTTTCGCAAATCCGCTGCGACGACCCACGGTTTGCTCAGATCAATGGCATTGCCCGCGGCATTCGCTCTGAAATGCTGGTCGACTTTGCCACCTGCGAGGTCGACAGCGTCGTGTCCTCACTGGGCAAGATTGCTGACGTGTTTGAGAGGTTTCAATTGCGCCAGGAAGACGAGGCTCTTAAACCTGAGTTCGAGTACGCAATTGTGGACAACACGGTGCATGTCGGACGCATTCATCCGTTCGCCATTCAGGAGGAGCTTTTGGTGTCCGATTCGAACGACGCTGTCGCTCTCCGCACGAGCAAGCCTGGGCGGCTTACAGCGCTGCATTGGGCTCGCCACCATATCGGTGAGCTGGAAGGCGACCAAGTGGAAGTAGACGCCTATGCCACCGGTTTGAACTTCAAGGTCAGTCTCAATCCATTACACTGTCTCTCACTCTTGTCGCTGACTTTGACCTGCAGGATGTCCTTTGCGCCATGGGTATCGTAGAGGCGTCCGAGAATGGCTTCGGCCTTGAGGCCGCTGGCATTGTGCGCCGCACCGGACCGCAGGTCAAGGGCTTGCAGGCCGGTGACCGTGTTATGCTCATCGGTCACTGTGCGTTCGCTACGCGAATCGTTGTGTCGGAGAACTTGTGCGAGAAGATTCCCGACGACTTGGCGTTCGAAGACGCGGCAACGATGCCTTGCGTTTTTGCCACGTCTATTTACTCCATCTTCAACATTGGTAATCTGAAGAAGGGACAGGTTCGTTGACTCGAGGATGGCTGTCATATGTGGTCCCTGACAAGCCTCTAGTCCATTCTCATCCACAGTGCCTGTGGTGGTGTCGGCCTCGCGACCATCCAGCTTGCGCAGATGGTTGGCGCCGAGATCTACGCCACGGTAGGCAATGAAGACAAGGTCACGTATCTCATGGAGACGTTTGGTCTGCCGCGAAACCGCATCTTCAACTCCCGCAACACGTCCTTCGTTGACGACGTCCTGCGCGAGACGAATGGCGAAGGCGTCGACCTCGCGCTCAACTCCTTGTCTGGCGAGCTCCTGCACGCTACCTGGAAGTGCATCGCTGTGTTCGGCAAGATGGTCGAGATTGGCAAGAGAGATCTCATCGGTGCCGGCAAGCTGGATCTCAGCATCTTTGAGGCCAACCGCAACTACTGCTGCGTCGATTTGGACCAGATTTGTTTCCGCAAGCCGACGATTGCGAAGGAGTACGTTCTCGGCGAACCACTGACACGAAGAGGCGCTAACATCTTCTAGGCTTCTCGGAACTATCGTCCGTCTCTTCAAGGAGCGCCATGTTCAGCCCATCAAGCCGATCAAGGTCTTTAGCTCTGATGCCACCCTTGATGCCTTCCGGTACATGCAGCAGGGCGTGCACCTGGGCAAGATTGTCGTCGCGATGCGTGACGCTGATGGCCAGACGAATCTCGGAGCGGCGATTAAAGAAAGGAAGCAGCCAATTGCTTTCAACAACTCGGGGGCATACCTGCTGGTCGGTGGCCTTGGAGGGTTGGGTCGCTCCATCTCCACCTGGATGGTCGAGCGAGGAGCCCGCCATCTGATCTACCTCTCGCGAAGCGCTGGCGCACTGGTCAAGCACCAAGAATTCGCCGAAGAGCTGTCCAGCATGGGTTGCCGCGTTGACTTTGTGCAAGGCGACGTGACCAACCTGGCGGACGTGACCAAGGCTGTCGACAAGGCCCAGGGCTGGTTGCGCGGCATCTTGCAAATGTCCATGGTGCTGTCGGACCAGAACTTTGCGCGCATGACAATCCAGGAGTGGAAGACGGCCGTTGATCCCAAGGTCAAGGGCACATGGAACCTTCACAACGCTTCGCTGGCCGCCCAGGCCAAGCTGGACTTCTTCGTCCTCTTCAGCTCCCTGTCCGGCATCATCGGACAGCCCGGCCAGACCAACTACGCTGGCGCGAATACCTTCTTGGATGCTTTCTCTCAGTACCGCACCAACAAAGGCCTGCCGGCTTGCGCAATCAATATCGGTGCGGTAGAGGAAGTCGGATACATGGCTGAGCATGATGCGCTGATGCAGAAGCTGAAGAGCGCTGGCGGTGCGGACGGCACTGTCTCTGAGCGCGAGCTTCTCGAGGCCATGGGGGTGGCGATGACCGCGCTGTCCCGCACCACCACGACTAACGAGCGGCGGGCCACTCCATCCAACAACTTCTGCCTAGGCTTCCGCTCCAATATTCCCCTCAGCGACCCAAGCGTCCGCTCGCTGTGGAAGAAGGACCTCCGGATGGCCGTCTTCCACAACAGCGGGGAGAGTGGCAACGCAGCGGGCGCTGGTTCCAACGATGCGCTCAAGTCATTCATCAGCCAGGCAAAGAGCGACGCGGCACTGCTCGGAAAGGCCGACTCGGCGCATTTCCTCGCCGTGGAGATTGGCAAGAAGGTGTTTAGCTTCCTGCTCAAGTCGGAAGAGGACCTGCAGACATCATGTTCGCTGTCGGACCTCGGCATGGACTCGCTCGTCGCAATTGAGATGAGGCAATGGTGGAAGACGGTCTTTGGCTTTGACATAAGCGTGCTGGAAATGATGGGAATGGGCACGTTGGATGCGCTCGGCGAGCATGCGGCCAAGGGCATGCAAAAGGCATTCCATGGTGAGGGGGAATCGTCGAATTAGGGACGTGGACCAAAACATGGCCTGGCTTTGAAGGTCTTTGCAACACAGACGACTGCCGGTGTTATTCCTCGGATGTGGATTAGTAAATAGAATCTCGTTTATGTGTCAAGTTCGTACAAATGATGAGCTTTTTCAGACTTTGGGTGCAACGCCGTCGACCCTCCGACTTCTGCTGATCGCTGAGTGTCTCCAAGTTCTCCCAGTTCCATCCCGCCGAGCTCGGGCACGCCGACGCGCCCCTTTGCCTCGCTTGCTGACAGCTCCGGGGTTCTGTTTGCCTCACTTGATGGTGGAGGCATCCTACTTGCGATTCGCTTCTTCGCGCGCCGCCGCCAGAGGAAGTAGCCGCCCAAGGAAATGAGCAGCAGCGCGCCCGCGACACCTCCAACGGCTCCGCCGATGACCGAACCAGAACTTGAAGTCGTCACCTCACTCTGCAAAGATGTCGTCGGCTTCGGCGGAACCGGAGGCGCTGTCCAGTTCTGGCAGTTTATGTAGGATGCGAGACTGGCCGAGTGGTTAAAGGTTGTACAGAACTGTTGCTGAAATGCCGCGGCCGTATCGTTGTCGGCCGCGGAACACTTCGAACCGAAACAGCAGGCGGTGTTTTTGTACGCGTCCGGTCTGCCACACATGCATCCCCATTGGCGTTCCTCGCATGGCGACGTAGCTGTGAATAAATAGTCGTCAAAGCAAGGGTACTGCGGTCGAGAGCAGTCAGACTCGAGGGACTCGAGGTCACGACCTGGGGAGGTTCAATGGTCGACTTACTGCGCATGGCGGTACACAGTATGTGCCCGACGGGGTTTCAGCACAGGACGATGTTGTTGGAGCCGTCGACATGGTCAAGCCAATTGAATCCCCATTGACACAACATGAAAGAGGTCCGACGCGACGCAAACGTGAAGCGCAACAACCGAAACCGTCCCGTCTACTTGTTCCATCATCAATATTCCTACTGCGCAGTGGTGAGGTCCTGACTCCTGACGGCACAACGCGCATGATCGACAAGAATCGGACCCATGTTGAGGCGTTCATGCATGCCCAATCCCCGTGACCGTCGTACTTCGTATAGGTAGCAATTTATCCAGGTACCGACTTTCCCTTCTCACAAATGAGCTCCGAGACCAACACGCACCTGTTGCAAGAATCCATGTCGAGGAAGGGCCCGACATGCAGTTCGCCCCATTGGTCTTGCCGTTCTGTCGGACAAGGGAGCCGCGCTTCCACAGGCTGTCCCCGCCCAGCCGCCGCAATGGCCAGGGGGGCTTTGCTTCGTACGTCACTGCAAGCATAGCACTCTTTCATTGAGTGCATGGCCCTCCAACACGGCTTGTTTCAAATACGCCAAACGAGAGGCAAACTCGGTAAACGGTTGTATTCACCGGGAGGCAGCTACGTCGCCGGATCTATGCTGTGCCCTCGCCGATGGTGGGGGCTCGGTGCCAAACGGTGGCAAGGGTGCAACGTCGCGCAGCATTCACCCCACGGTATCGTAGGGTTTGCTGGTCAGTCGACCTTCGAGCCACACCTGCCTCTCCCAACATCCGCTTGATTAATTGATGCTTTGCCACCCTACAAGTTTGCGTGTCACAGTCCGGTACGCCGTGAATTGTTGTGCCTCGAGCTTGTTGGCTACTTTCGACGGCCTGCCCTCGTTTGTCTTGAGGGGCTCTTTTTGGCAGTCCCTCGAGGCCATGTGTGAGCAAGTAGACATTGAATCGAGCGCCCGCGATGGGAAGCCATGTCCCTGTGCGATACCCGAGTTTGCCAATGCATGGAGCCCTAAAATCCACATGGTTCTGCACAGGTTGGGTGTTATTGAAGCAGAATATCGAGTTGGCGCATGTGGTGAGCCAACATGACATTCTGTTTCCGGCGGCCGACCACTGGTACGTAAACCTTGTCAACAAACCGCTTCCATTCAAACTGTGTGACGGCGGAGGTCTTGATAGGGAGAATACCTGCTCACAGCCCGAGCTCAGCAAACAGGCCGAATTATCGCCAATATAAAGTCCTGAGATCTGCCCCAAGTCCACGAGACGGAGGAGCGTGCCTCTTAGCTCGTCGCTTCCACGCACTGCTTACAAGACACTAACACGAGCTTTTGAACATACATTGATCACAAAAGACCCTAAATGATGGCTTTGGCTAACTACTCCCCGGCTATTTTCAACGCGCTACCCGATCTTGGGGATAGTGGCCGGGAGTTCGACGCCCGAAATGGCAACAGCCTGGTCGAGAAGATCGGGGACCTCTTCGTCAAGCACAACATGGAGTACAAATTCGGCCTCAGTCTTCTCCACCGCCATTTTGACATTGGGGAGGAGGAGCGCATGGTTGAGTACCGCGGCACGTCGTCCCCATGGGGCGCCTGTCTCAGCATGACCAGCCCTGCCATTCGTGCCATCAATTGGGCCGTTGCCGACGATGGCACCTTTAGGCCATTTGAGTTCGAGTACAGCCCGGATGATCGCGACAGCATTGAACCTTGCAACCCCGAGAATGCGAAGTTTGCCGATGCATTCAAAGCTCTTCTTCATGACGAGCATGCCGCTGGTCTGTTCGGCATCTGTGCCCATCCAGGTCTAGGCTTCAAAGGACGTGTTGAGATCACTGAGGGCCGGACCAATATCAACCTCGCTCCGGAACATGTACGTTGTCGCCTCCAATGCACCGTGATATCTTACTTACAGGCATTGACTGTGCTATCAAGGCTTTAGATCTCATGAACAGACGCGATGCAGCGTGGTTCTTCGACCCCCAGCTCCGGGGTTCTTGTGTTTGCGTCTGTGGTGGACAGACGCACGGGACAGCGAGCAACCCGCACAAAGGCCACGTGGGGGACCGTTGAAAGCCCCCTCGACGCAATTACCTTGTGTCTATTCACAGACACGGTTTGCCAATTCTCGATCTGCTTTTGACATTGACTTTGCGCACGTTTTTCCTCATAGGCCGTTACAAAGCCATGGGAATGGGAGCAGACTGGAAGCTTCAGCGATGTCAGCCTGTACTTCACAGTGCCACGGTTTTTGTATGCAGCGGAAAACTGGAAGTAGATGCAAGTTGGGAACATAGTTCAAATGTTTGTTTGGTCATAAAACACTCTGCACTTGAAGCTATTCCACAGTCCAAGGAAGAAACGGAGGCTCATGGCTCGAGCATCTCATACAGCGTGACATGACTTGGAAGTGGACGAGCTACATCAGAAACCATACATGTACCGCTAGTGCCAACGCTAATAACTACCGCACAATCACTTGCTCTTGCACATTTCAACAAGCTCGTCACGAGTAAACGCCCCCTCATGCTCGCTGCGGAGAAAATTGTCGATCTCGGCGTCGACAGCCCGATTTGCCGGATCCTGAACAATGAGTTCCACATCATGGCCTAGACCCTTGATCAGCCACGATCGCTCAGCCATCCACCTATGAAGGCCCTTGCTGAAGCAGGAATCGATAATCAGATTCTTCCAGTCGACGACGGGATCTGTCAGGATCGAGTTCATAGACGCGGCGAGAGAAGAGTGAGCCGAATCCGACGAAGCAAGAGAAGACAAGTGAGATAAGAAGACTTGACGATCGGCTGCGAGCTCAGGATATGGCAGAACAGATTCAACGGAGGTATTGTCTTTGGGCGATGAGGAGTCCGCCACATCACGCCCCACGGCGAGCAGGCGCGGCCATTTCAAGGCTACCTCCAGGGGCCGGAACCGAGCGAGTTTCCAATCGACAACCCTAGATGATGCATCGAGATTAGTACGGTACCTGCACATAGGCTGCAACACCGTGGTATCTTGTTGGGAAACTCACCCTGTAATGTTGTAGTCGGAGTCTACAATGATCTTGTGCGCCGCCAGGTTGCTGTGAGTCAGCGCGAAAAGCGGCGACTCCGCGCGAACAGCTTTCCGAACTAAGGCTCGAAGGACGAAGCAACTACGGAGGTCGACTTCAGGGAGTGTCCCGTTCATCACGCGTGATACTTTGCTGCCGATAATGTCCATGAGGTGACGTTGGGCCAAATCACTTGAACCTGTAGTGCGTCAGCCGAAGGCAGCCCTTGGCTTGGTAGGCGGATAGAACTGGGGTTCGAACGCGATTCAGAAGTGCATTGCGCCAAATTTAGCTGAATATCGGCAAGCTGGCAAAGGACCTTTTGTCTCTTTTCGGCGGCGAGCGCGGATGACCATTCCAATGCGACACCCGGAAGCCAGTTCACGACCATGTACGGGCGGCCGAGTGGATTGTCGAAGCTGGAATCCGAGCCGATGAGCTTGGGTGCCCAGCGGAAGCCAGCTTCGTTGAGCTTGAGGAGGGTGTCAACCTCGTCTTGGACTAAATCCGCGATGAAGCTCGGCGAAAGCGTGCCATCCTGGTGGATGGGGATGCGAACAGCCCAAGTGTCGCTGTCCTCGAAACGCACGGCAAAAATCTGCGTCTGGCCCAGCTGGATTGGCTTGTCCTCTGTGCCGTGTGTGAGGTGCGGCGTTTTACCGTCGGTTCGCAATGCAGCGGCAACGGCGAGGACTTTGTCCGCAGGGAGTAACGGTTGGGGGCTCATGATGGTGGTGAGTCGGGGGCTCCTGCTGGTCTGGTTTCCGTAGGATAGAGGCTGATGAGCTGTGGACGGCGATGGTATACAGCGGGCAACGGCTATGTATATGCGCCTCGATTCACTGCGTATCCATGGGTCACATGCATGTGCGCAATCTACTGCAGGGCACATAGTTGGCCGGCGTGCCTGCGTGCAAGCATGCACGCATGCTGTTCTCGTTGGACGGTTGGCCAGTTGGTCCGACGGTGTTTCAGGCTGTCTTGTTATGCGCGTTCGAAACCATAGCATTGGCTGCGCCGCGACCCGGTAATACCAGACGTCCGCCTCTGGCCGTGCTGTTTTTCTTCAGTTCAACAGTTCATCCCCTGATCACCGGCCCCTTCGTAGGCTGCCCAGGTCGCTCAACGACTAGACACACAGGAGCACCCCCGTGGTCGCGAGAAAACACTCGATGTGAACTAGAGCTGTTCCTTTCGAATCAGGCCCTGCAGTTGGACATGAGTTACGTAGGTGCGGGCAGCTCAGTGGATCGCGGCCCTCTACTAGTTCCAATCCCACCCACATGCACCTGTTCGTATCAAGCTTCGTCGGTCCATACAGCCTGTTTGTTCATCTACGGATATTCCCCCGTTAACGAGGTTATTGAACTTTGCTGTAAGACCCATCCATAGCTTGCTCCTGTCGGGCCCCGCCCGACAGGGCGCACATGGCCACCTCCCTATGCCCCTCCTCCAATCACCCAACTCACCAGCACAGTTTGCACTTTCTGACCCTACCCGTCCTACCTACAACACGGCATTGCTACATGTCAATCCGTAACCTCTCCCTTTCCTTGTACATAGCAGTGCGTAGCTCAATCGCAGACTCTAAGACGCTCGCGGTTCCGTGTCGGGGATGTCGACCGTTAAACATCTGCAACGTCTTAGGCATATCTCTTCCGAGTACGACAAGACGTCGCCATTGCAATGCACATCCACATTTTCGCGGCACTTGCCCGCGTCGCTGGAACCCCAAGGCGGGTCGCAGCTCAGGACATGTACAGGGTGACTCCACCGAGAGCTGATGTCTGCCCGGTGTTTCGGGGCTGGCGGCGCTGCTATGGCCGCCCGAAAATGAGTCGACCAAGTCAAGAGCGTCAGGACGAGCATAGAGCCTGCGGTCTATCGCGTGGGGCGGCAAAAGTTAGTTCATATCCATGCCGCGCAGTCTGAGACGTGGAGATTGTAAAGAGCTTAACTGACCTTCATGTTTGCAAGATTATGGGGGTTTCCAAGTTGTAGGTCGCTGAGTTTGTGGAGGGATGTCAGTTTATAGAGAGCGTGCTACGTTGCAAAGTAGGGCTGTCGGGCGGCATTAAATACTTTCTCAAACACTGTACAGAATAGGGTGTAAAGGTGAACTGGGTACCCAGGAATGGGTACCCAAGACGATTCAGTCTTAGAGACTAGGTCGTCTTAGATACTTAAAGGGAACCGCTTTCTATGTTCATAGAGATAGAAAGGGAAATTCATCAAAGAGAAGTAAATGAATATACTTATCTTTCCAATTTCCTTTTTGAGATCCTTTAAAGAAGAATGGCTCCTTTTCCTGTACCTAAATTACCCATTCATAGATCGCTTTGGGTACCCTCAATGCCCTAACCGCGACCCTCGGGTCCCCAAGGGTACCCGATTTTACACCCTACGACTCCAGAACCTACGACTGCTTGCTTTCTCCAGTGATGCACGATATGTGCGGTGAGTAGTAGTGATTCAGTGTTGAGTGCCGCATGTATTGAAGACGGAATGTTGGAATGGTCAACACTGGGTCACTGGCAACACGAGGTGGATTGACAAGATTAGGCGCGTCAGCGGTCACTTGATTCGACAAACTTGATCATTATCGGTACATGGAGCCATGTGTGCTGCGCAGACAGACCCCCTTCACAATTCACTCGTAATGGATGGCAGTAACGCGCGACTGGACTCATTTAGGCAGACATTAAAGGTACATTTTGACACAGTTAGGAACTATCTGCCGACTCACCGCCTGGACGGGCACTCTTCTCACAGATTCCAAGAAGAGCACACCGAATGATCGACCCTGCCGTAGATAGTTCCACGAATCGCCAGTGTGCGTCGCTCCATCATTGATCAAACACGAAAAGAAGCCTTGTTCCCCAGCCAAACCCAATTCCCACGCAGGGCCTCGCTCAAACCTTCCCAGTAGACGCCTCGCAATGCACTATACACCATGTTCACATCGCCTCGTGTCCGCCGTCACGGGGGCCGTCGGGGAAGGCCTGGCCGCGACGAAAGTGCCACCACTTTTCACCACTGTTGTGCAGCTCGTAGCCGAGACACGTCTCAATGAGCTGGAGAATGACGGGAGCGAGAGAAATGCGCGAGACGTAGTCGCGGTCGTGAGGCGTGTTGGCCATGGCATCCAGCAAGACCATGGGAGTGCCGTCCGCGCCGGTGTTGGTCGAGATCTGTAAATGTGGTCATCGGTCAGTAAGGCGCGGCCCTTGAGATTCGTTTGCGGTACGACGGGAACCGACTTCGAGCTGATCCAAGTCCTCCTCGTACCACTTGTCGAGGTAGTCGCGGATGAACTCTGCCGACGGGGGGTGGCTGCACTGGATCTCCGGGACGTCGTACTGTCCGAGCCGAACAATGAGGTGGTAGGGTGGGCGACGGAGCATCTGGCCGCCAACAGCGAAGGTCTCTGCGTTGGGGAATTTCTCGTCCACGTCTCCGTCGGGAGAGGCGACAGCAGGTTCGGTCACAGAAGTGCCGTCAGAGTCCACCTTGGGCTCAGCAGGTGCTTCAACGCCCGCGTTGAGCTCAGAGGGCACTTCGACATTGGCACTGGTCTCAGCGGGTGCCTCGACAGTTGCGTTGGGCTCAGAGGGCACTTCCACATTCGTGGTGGACTCGGTGGCTACCTCCACGCCATTGTTGAGCTCGGCGGGATTGCTTTCCTCGCGAGCAGCGGATGCGGCGAGAGACACCTCTCGGCTCACGAGGTCAGGGGTTGCGCTGGCAGTGAGGAGCTCGAAGAGCTGCTCCTGGAAAGCAGGAATGAGCTGAGCCTTGTTCCCAACGGGCTTTCCCTCGGGGAGGGACAAGACGAAATACGAAAAGCCGGCTCCGGAGTTGAAGGACACGGCGACGGAATCTCCGCTGTCGCGGGGAGTGCAAGCGACCTTTTGCAATGGTCAGCTCACAGCTATGAAACGGGACTCTCACACGCGGTAGACGTGAACTCACCTCCATGAAGAACGCGGAGCGTCCCTGATTGTTGCCATTTAGGCAGCGGCGCCAGTACGCGGCATCCTTTCCGCGGAGGCGGTTGGTGACGAAGAAGCCGGCGAGCGCCACGGCGAGGGCCTCGTAGCACTGGGCGACGGCCTGGACCTCCTCTGTCTGGCTGACGTACGCCGCCGAGAGGTGCGGAATCAGCTGCTGCCAGAAGGGAATGGCTGTGACGGCGCGTCCGGAAACTGCGCGGAGTCGGTCAAGTGCCTTGGAAGCGCCCGAAATGGGCGAGTTCCAGAAGCGCGAGATGGCCTGCAGGCCCTCGTGAGAGCTTGGGAAGGTCAGTGCCAAGTCATGGGAGCGCAGAGATTGGGTTGGCTGTAGGGTCTTGTCGGGTGTCGTTTTGAGGAGGAAACGTACAGTTCGACGCTCGGCATCGTGGAGGCTTGCGTGTCGTGCGAGGCTGTGGATGTTTTTGGCTGCACAGCGGACTTGGGCGAGTCGGCAGAGGAACGACACGCAAGCACTTGGAAGATGGCTTGAGGACAAAAGAAGCCAGGCTCTGTCAAGCGAGTGTAGGTTTGTCTGAAGACGAGCCGGGTGCGCGTGTGAAGGGTATGAGCAACGAGGAGGAAGTACGCGGGCAGGGGGGAGATGGGAGAGCTGCACGCGTGAAGAGAAGGGAAGAGAAGAGAAAGGGCAAACGCGAACGCGGCTCGACTAAACACAACACATTTGAGAGAGCAAGTTGCCAGTGATTCACTGACTTTTGCGCGTCCTCATTGCTGGGGTGCCAAAGGGGGACATGGTCGTGGCGGCTGTTCAGTCTAGCTCGGAACGTGTAGGGCGTTCACCAGCTGGCCATCTGCGCGCACCTGCGCGCACTCCGGCCTGGGCAAGTTCTGCTGGGCCTCGTGAGCACCCACGTTCTTGCGTTATGCAGACCATTTCACATAATTAAAGGTCAAAATTGTCGTCGGACAGCACCGTTCAAGAACTCAACACACCCACGGGGCCGTATGTGGCGTGCTGGGGTCATGTATGCGACCGCAGCCAGAAAGTTCCCAGGCTGAGGTGCAAGCCGAGTTTGGCTGCCCTATCCGCTGTGAGCAGCAATAAAAGGATGAACGAGCACACGAGCCGAATGACCAGACTTTGTGGCTGACGGTCACGAAGCCTCCCCATTGTCTGGAGTCTCTGGGCTCGGTAGTCTGCCAGTGGACAGGCGGCCTAGTACAGCCACTTTAGGGATCATGGGTGGCTAAAGCCACTGTGTCAGGAAATGGACGCGCGGTGGAATGTGGCATCATCCATATTCGCCGCAAGCCTGTCGAATATTCTGAAAAGAGATGATCTCAGCTACCATCTAGTTGTCCTCTTTCCGCTCAACTGCCTGACAGTCTTCACGCTCTATATTCTGCTCATGGTGGAATGGTGATTGGCCAGCGACGGAAGACGCACGGTTGGCGGGAGGGAAGGACGGGGCCCCAGGCGGCCCGTTGCGGCGTTCTTTAGCGCCTCCACCGGGATCCCGCCCCTCCGCTGCTGCAATCCGCTAAACACCATGCGCGGTTATCAGATGGGCTGATGGAGTAAGGGTCGGTTTCTGCCACGCTGCGCAACGCAATTGAGCCGCCGGAGGATAGGGACGGACGATGGATCAGGACATGTCGAGGCCTGCGATGCTTCAGGCAATCCATTCGCATGCCCTCCATTCTCACATTGGCACACCCATCTGAGGGCCACTGGCAGAATTGCCGGCCGTGTCCTGCACGCGCAGGGTCTACGTTCGCCCCATGACTGCCTTGCAGCCAAGGACAACACATAGCCTGGCTCTGGCGCCGATCTCGTCCAGCCATCACCGGAGGCGCCGCCGCAGGGGGGCTGGTGTCCGGGAGCGGCAGCTGCGCCGGAGGGGATACAGAGGGCCAGGGCCCCGTTAACGGGAAAAGAATCCAGATTCGGCCACGGACCTCCGCGACGACGGTGTGGTTTCTTCACGCACGCCTTCATGCGTCGCCCCAAATTAAGGTTGCTGTGACAAGTCCCAGAGGCATGACGACTTGGCATCATGTTCGATCGCGGGTTGCGACGCTGATGCATTCACAGTTGAATCCTTCCTTTCCCACGTGACTGGACTGCAATTCATGTCGTCTCATCCCCCCGTTTCATCAGAGCCGCCCACTTCCACACCCTCTTCTCTCACACTTCAAAGTGCACATTGGCCATCCAAGGTGGACTGACCGACCAGGGCGGCTGAAAGTCTCATGCATGCAGTCAGCAGCCAGCTCGCCCGCCCGCCCCTGCAGCCTGCACCACCCCCCATCGCCATCCCCCTCCCTCCCCGTCACATTCTGTTTGTTCCGGCCGAACCGCGTGTGTCGTCGCTTCGAGCCGCCCCCTCCAGGGTCAATTCTACCTAAGCGCCCGCCAGCCTCGAACAAAGTCGAAATAGTCGTTGAGCCATGGCCGGCGACTCACAGCCTCCCGCCACCATGTCGCGGCGCTCCCACCCCGGTCGTCGCAGGCGGCGACACATGCAGCATGGTGCGGATCCGGAGGCGGAGAACCTCCTCACCCTCAGCGGGGTGGCGGCCGAGGGCGACGAGGCCTGGAGCGAGGACGAGGGTTCTTATCACGACGAGCCCGAGGACTGTTCGTCCTCTTCGTCCTCTCTCGCTTCGACGACAGTGACGCCTCGCAGCACCTTCATCATGGCCGACTCGGATAATCCACGCGCTCTCGAAGAGGGTAATCGCGCCCGGAGGCCTACGGCGGCGACCGTCTCCTCCTCGTCTTCGTCATTTGCCCCTCTTCCTATGGTGGCGACCACGACGAGCGCCGCGTCCGCGTCCTCGGGCTCGCAGCTCAGGAGCATCGCCTCGGCGGTCAATTCCGACAAGAAGGGGCCTGCTCTGGTCGAGGTGACGGTCAACCCTCACGTCGGCGACCCGTACTTTGTCGGCACCATCTACAAGGACGAGTCCGACAATTCGCAGGGCGTCAATTCAGAGAAAAGGTACGTTCAAGTACAATCACGTCACCCTACGTTGCCCCCCAATTGAGACCGCTTCGCAGCGAAGGGGTGTACCTGCGTCACGTCAAGAGCCTGTCCAGGCAATGGCCGCGGCTCAGGTACCTTGCCGAGTTCATGGAAGCCGGGACGGTGCCCAAGAAGAGTGCCGCCCTTGACGCGCTCGAGGTCATCCATCGTCGCGCCCGTGTCAAGGTGGCCCTGGTGGACTTTACCGACCCGCACAACATCAAGCAAGAGACGTACAACAGCGGCGAGTCGCTAGCCCGCGGACTCAAGAACAGCAGCGCGCCGACGCGCAGCGCCACCAAGCGCAACCGTCTGTTCGTCGCCGAGGACCTGTCCAGCACGACCATCGAAGTCCTCGGCGCAGGGCTTGATATGGACCCGACGCTGTTCCGCGGCCACCTCGAGGACCACACGTGGTTCAACATCAAGGACGACTGGGTGGAGATGCCCGAGCTCGAGTCGCAGTCCCAAGGCCGCGACTTTGTGACACTCACGTACATGAAGCCCAGGTTCTTCGAGGACACGACCGTGTCGGACCGGGCGCGCGACCGTGCTGGCGAGTGGAACGTGCTGCGGCGCATCGACTTTGAGGGGCAGGTCAAGTCGGGCAAGAATGCGTGGTGGGAGGAGTCGCCGCACGAGGTGGGCTTGCTTCGGAGCAAGGTGAGCATCTGGAGCAGACAGGACGACAACGGCTGGACCGGTAAGGTTTATACGAGACTGCCCCATCTTTGACTGATAACTCACGCATGACAGGCGTCATTCTCGTCGACCCGCATGTGGGTGCAGGTCACCCCTTGTGGAACGGCTACGGCAGGCTGAGCTCGCCGCCCGGCCTCGACGACCCGGAGCCGGACTCCAGGCAACTGGCCGACATGGGCCTGTTCGAGGCGCTGACGTCCACCATCGCGGGCCTGTCGCCGCGGGACCGCGACCGGCTGGCCGCCGACCCCGAGCACGTCACCTCGCACGTGTACCCGTTCATCTTCGCCGAGGTGCTCGTGACGCTCGAGTACTCCTTCACGGGGCTGTTCCAGATCGAGTGGCTGCTCGACTCGCAGCGCACGCGCAAGCTCGACGACCTCGAGACGTGCATCGACAGCCTGCACAAGTGGCAGCGCCGCCTGCCCTTTTACGTCGAGTACATCCAGGACAGCATCACGGCGCTCGAGGGCCGGTACCACCAGGCGCTGTCGGCGGAGCGCAACGCAGCGGGCACGAGCGCCGCGGCGGCGGCAAGCTGCTGGCAGGCGGGCGTGCGGCGCGACCTCGGCAGCCTGCTCGCGCGGCTGCAGGTGCTGCAGCTGCGGGCCGACAAGATCATGCAGATGGCCGTGGCCATCATCAGCATCGAGGAGAGCAAGAAGGCCATGCTGGAGAGCCGCAACATGGGCCGCATCACGTACCTGGCGTTTGTCTTTGTGCCCATGAGCTTCGTGACGAGCTTCCTCAGCATGAACGAGGACCTGAGCCAGCGCAGCGTCATCGTCTACTGCGTCTTCTTCGCCGTCGCGGTGCCGCTGAGCCTCGTCGCCGTCTTGCTCGCGCTGTACTGGAACAGGATCATGCAGTGGTGGGAGGCCCGCGAGGAGACGAAGAAGAAGCAGAACCGGCGGAAGAAGCAGCACCACCACGTCAAGAAGGGCTGAGCGGAGAGGAGGAGAGGAGGATGTGTGTCTGGGTCAAGACGCTCCTCCCACGGCACGACGATGTAATGATGCACAGGCGCATGAGACCACGACCGTATGTATGTTGAGCTTATGTTACCAGGCGCTATCCGCAGAAGACAGTGTTGGATATATCCTGCTCTGAATATATGATGCCACGACCACAACACTGCAGTATGCTACATAACCAAGGCACGGTGCTATATGTTACATACACAAGGCACGATACGATATACTACACCGTCTCGCTCATGATTGCATGCGTCCCGTAGCCCATGAACCTCGCCTGAATCTGCATGCTCTCCAGCACGCGCCCCTTGACACCCCCCTCATCCTCAATATCCATGCCCGCAAACGCGCCATGCGTCGCCCGGAACGCATGCCGCGCCAGCACCGCCCACATGCGCGCCAGCTCCTCCACGCCCAGCGGGATCGCATTCGGGATGCTCCACAGGAACGAAAACGTATTCAGGCCCTCGGGCTTCGCGCGCGCCGCCCCCGCGCCGTCCACCTCCCACCGCCCCAGCCCCGCCGGCGTCGTCACCAGCGTGTCCGCGATAAACAGCCGCCCGTCGAACAGCAGCACCAGCGACCCCGGGAAGTGGCCGCCCAGCTTCAGCGCGCGCGCCCCCGTGCCGCCGTCCTTACTACCGCTGCCGCCGCCCAGGCCGGGGATCTCCGTGTCCACGTCCGTGAGGTCGACCTGGTGCGCGGACGCCATCGTCGCCCAGCGGGGGCGGTCCTCCGCCGCGAGGTACACGGGGCAGGCGAAGGCGCGCGCCCACTGCACGTGCGTCGAGTAGTAGTGCGGGTGGCTGATGACGATGGCGGCCAGCCTCCCGCCGGTGTCGCCGCAGAAGTCGTCGCGCACGCGCCGCACCGTCTCGGCGTCGAGCAGCGTGAGGCAGTCCCACAGGACGGTGCCCGCGGGGGTGCGGATGAGGGCCGCGCGCTGGCCGATGGCGAACTTGGGCGCCGTGGTGATGAAGGTGATGCGCGGGTCGGGGGCGTAGGGCGTGAAGACGTTGCGGTAGGGCGGGTTGGAGAAGGAGGAGGAGGGAGAGGTGCCGCTGCCGCTGCCGCTGCCGCCGCGCATGGCGGCGAGCGTGGTAAAGGACTGGCCCGAGGGGGGCACGTACTGCCGCGGGTCGTCGCAGATGTGGCACGTCGTCACGACGGAGCGGTCGGCGCTGGGGAACTGCGTCCCGCAGGCGGTGCACACGAGCCAGTCGGCCGTGGCGGCCTCGTCGTAGGGCTCCGGCGTGAAGGAGGGGGAGGAGGAGGGGGCGGCCATGGCTGGGAGAAGACGACGGGGCGGTCACGGAGATGGTGATGCTGCCACAGTGGTTGGGGGGGTGATGTGTGCGATGCAGATGAGCAATGAGTCTGTGGCTGGCTGGCTGCACTTTGAAGATGCGCTTGTCGTCTTCTTCTGCGACTTCTCAGGAAATAAGGGTTCAGCCTCGGTATTTATCCTCCACCCTCCGCCCGTCCATCCACCTGCAACCCCAACACCAGCCACCACTACCTACCCCCAATGAGGCAAACGGCCTACTCCCAGACCCGCGAGGGCTTGATAATCGCCATCGCCAGCAGCAAGTAATGAACGGCCCCCGGCCAGGTCGGAGGGTCCCGCTCCTCCTCCTCCTCCTCCTCCTCCTCATGACACGGGGCATCGTGGTCCGGAACGGCCTGCCTCCATTCAGCTGCGCGCGGTCCGGTGGGTGGCGCTTACAAAAGGCCATGACGCTGGCCTTCCTCACGCGGGCCTGCGAGGCTACGACAGCCGGCCGTAGACTGCATTCTGCAAGTGTGAGCGAGCGCTCCCGAGTGCGACCCCGCCGCCACGTGCGGCGAGCTCTATTAATGGGGGTTACGGGGATGGCGTTGCGGGGCGGGCATCGTCAGACGGAGGATTCGAGGCCGGCTCGGGCATCGCGACGATGGCGACAACGGGCGAGACGGCGGTGCAGGTGCGGTGGCAAGTCACGGACCCTGCCTCTGTGAGTAAAAATGAGCCCCATTTGCAAACACCCGCTGGTGGCAATGATGGCTGGTCTCATCTAGCCGTCCTTACCAGATATCGACCGACGCCGCCGCGGTCAGCAAAGGCGCCATGATATCTGGCATCAGCCCTCGCAGTCGGCGGCAAGGTCATGACACACAAAATGCCCATGCGCGACAGCAAGCAAGGATGCCTACTTTTGTACGTTGCGTGCCAACTTCAAACGGCTCCTATGTGAGCCAACCCGCTGGCCCCCAGTCCGCACCGGTCACATCCATCCGGCGACTACCCTTTAAACTCCATCAGCGGCATCAGATCCCCCGTCGGGCATCCCAGCTGCAGGAACGCATGGTCCAGGAGCTCGTCCGCCGTCGCCCGCTGCTCCACATCGACTCGCAGGCACACGGCCAGAAAGTCCCGGAGGGACGGGCTGAGCCTCTCCGGGTCGCGCAGCGGCGGCGTCCCGTTGGTCACGATGAGATACAGCGCCCGCAGCGGCTCCTCGTCCATGTATGGCGGCTGCAGCTCAATCATCTCAATCGCCATGATGCCGAGCGACCAAATGTCAATCTTCCTCCCGTACTTGTTCTGCTTCACCACCTCGGGCGCCATCCAGTACGTCGTGCCCACCATGGTCGCGCGCTTGGACCGTCGCTCCGTCAGTTTGGCGCAGAATCCAAAGTCGGCTGCGGCGTGTCAGTGGTGTGATTATGACCCTTTACACTCAAATTGTAGGTGTACTCACTAATCTTGACGTTGCCGCGCCTGTCGAGGAGCACATTGTCGCTCTTGATGTCGCGGTGCACGATGCCCTGCGCGTGCAGGTGCTGCAAGCCCTTGCACGTCTGTCGCGCGTCAGTCAGTCGAGTCCATGCCACTGAGTGTCACCAGTCTTTGCCAACGTACCTCTTTGCAAATCGTCGCAATCTGCGCCTCCGAGATTTCCGGGTTGTTGTCTATAATGTCGATGAGCGCTCCGCCCTCCATATAGTCCATCACTACCCAGAGCATTCTATTCTCGTTGAGCAGGAACGCGTCGAGGAAATTGATGATGTTGGGGTGCCGGCTCTCCTTCATGATCATGATTTCGTCAATGAGGAGCTCTTTTCGCGGCTGACGCGCCAGGTTCATCTCCTTGATGGCGACGCGCGCACTGCTCCCCCGGCGAGTTCGAATGTCCCGCGCGATGCCGACGGCGCCATCCTTGATCTTGGCCACGTACACCGAGCCCGAAGCGCCTTGGCCAATCTTCTTTTGGCGGTTGTATGAGAGATCAGGGTTGTCGTGTGAGATGACGGACTGGAGCCTTGTAATGAGGTCGGCCTCGGACGCCCTCAGGTGGCGCACAACCTGCCGCCGCTTCAGCGGTATGGAGATTGGGGTCACGTCGTTCTCGACCGGTTTGGCGTCGGCCGCCTTGGGCCCTGCCTTGGGCCCCATCGTTTTCACCCCTGCGCTCGCATCGACCGGCTTGGCGATCGGCCCCGGCGACTGCTTCGGTAGTCCGTGCCCATGCCCTTGTGGTGGCGGACGCGGCGCGTGGTTCGCCTGTTCTTGCCCCTGTCCTTGGGGATGGTGCGCCTGTTGTGCCAGTCCTTGTCCTTGGGGACGCGGCGGCTGCTTCACTGGACCTTGACCGTGGGGGGGCGGCGCGTGGGTCGCCTGTCGCTGGGCGTGGGGATGCGGCGGGTGATTCGCCTGGCCCTGTCCCTGCCCTTGCGGATGCGGCGGCTGGTGTGCCGGTCCTGGTCCCTTGACACGCGGCGGCTGCGGGCCGTGTCCTTCTCCTTGGGGACGCAGCGGCTGCTTGGCTAGTCCTTGTTCGGGGTGACGCGGCATCGGCTTCGCCGGTCCTTGTCCGTGTCCGTGTTCTAGGGGACGCAGCGGGTGGTTCGCTTGTCCTTGTCCTCGTCCGTGCCCTTGGGGACGCGGCGCCGGCGGCTGCTGTCCGTGTGGCTCTCCTTCGGGACGTGGCGGCTGCTTCGCCAGTCCTTTTCCTTGGGGACGCGACGGCTGCTGTCCTTGTCCCTCGCCTTGGGGCCGCGGCGGCTGCTTCGCCGGCCCTTGTCCTTGGGGTCGCGGCGGCTGTGGAAAGTGCGAGGTGTCCACTTCGACATCCGCCGTCTTGACCATCTCGGGAGCCTTGGGCGGACGCGGAGCCGGGCGGTGCGCCTGAATCGTGTCAGGTTCCCGCAGGGGTGACTGCCCTGGCCGAGGTTCCTTTGGCGGCGGCGGTGACGCCGGCGCATTGTCCTTTTCCGTCGGCCTCGCGGGGCTGGCGTCGCGGCTCGGAGACTCGACAATGTGCTTCGGGGAGAGCCCCAGGTATTCGTGTGGGTTATCAGAGCGCTTGGTCAGGTCCGCGTAGAAGTCGACGGCTTGGATGACGGCTTGCGGGTTCCGCGCATAGTCCTCCTTGGTAATGGCCGACGCCTTGAGCAAGCGAGTCCACTCGAGCGGCAGCCCAACAAACTCCCTCGTGTTCGCGTTGAAGCCGACGTGGACGGCATGCGAGAAGTTGGTAGGGTTGCTCACGCCTCCGATGTAGGGACAGGAGTTGTAGATGAAGTCCATCCAGGTGTAGAGGTCGTACTCGGTCTTTGTCCTCAGCTGCAGCGTCTTGATGGAGCCGTCCTTGTCGCCGGGGCTGTTGGAGGGGCCGTCGATGCGCCGGCGGACTTCAAACTCAAAGGCGGGCGTCGTCGTCTCGACGCGACCGACGCCGACAATGTCCTTGAGGAAGAGGGTGTATACAGGCTTCTCGCCGTCTGCCTTGGAGAAGTCAATCCACTCCTTGCGCAGGACAAGGAAACGCTGCTTCCAGGGCTGCAGGAAGCTTCCCTCGCGAACGGCGGCCCATCCGCGTCTCCCGGACGGGGCCGACTCGAATCCGGCGCCATTTTTGTGCTTGCGCTGGGCGACTTGCAGAGGGACGGTTGAGCCGGCGAGGGTCGAGATGGCCGTGGTGGTGAGGGGTGAGCCGGGCCGGCCGCCGGTGACGAGATGCGTGGGCCCCTTGGCGGGCCGTGTTGGGCTGATCGGCGGCTTGGGCGCCGGGCCAGGATTCATGAACTGGTGCGGCAGGTATGGACTGTACAAGTCAGTCATCGTCGTCATGGTGAAGCGCAGACGGATGTATATCTGGCTCGACGTGGCGAGTGTAGATGTGAGGGCAACAGTGTAGCGAGCAAGGTCGCGCGGAGGCGCAACATGGCGAACGGGAGAAAGGGGGAGCGGCAGAGCGTCGTCAACACCATACGTACTCTTGGTCAGCCATTTTGCCAGGGGGAGATTGGCGCCATGAGGATGCCGAGCGGTAGGTTTCTCAACCGCAAGGGTTGCGAGGGACAGACGCGCGGGGGCACGCGAGAGAGACGAAATTCAGCGGGCCATTTCACGGCGCATGGCCGGCAGCATGGGCGGGATGGCGTGTCTCCAAGCGACGCAGACGGACCCCCGTCCTTTATCGGTGCGCGGCACAGGCTGCGTGCGGACGCTTTGCACACGCGCGTTTGCTGAGTGTCGTCGGCACGCGCCTCGCACTCGACAAGGCCAGCCGCGCTCGACGTTGGCAGGTGAAGACAGGAAGAGAGAGTGTGGGGAAGCGTCGCCAGGCTGGCCTTTTTTTTTTTTTTGAGTTGAATTGACAACCGCCCAGTGCAGAAGGATCCCTGCATGCTAATAAGTGTTAATTCGCAGATAAGCGCGAGACACGCTCGACGACAAAGGCCGCCGTCGTCAAACACGCGAGGGTGTGGGCCATTTCGTCGGGGACAAAGCGGACAGCGTCTTGAAACGGTTCGTGCGCGAAGGGGACCGCGATAGATGGAGCTTGTGATCCGGAGAGGCGGCGACGGTGACGGCGCATCGACTCTGCAGCTGATGCTGGATAAAGCATGGGGCACGGCACGAGGGGCGTGAATCCGTGGGCAAAGGAAGGATCGCGTACCAAAACACAGTAATAATTGGGTAGGTTCGTGTTTGTCTCTGCCGGGCACTGGGTCGGCCACCTCAGTCATGCCACCGTCGCCCAAACGAGGCCGCGTTGCCCAAGCCAACAGCCCACACTCATTCAAGGGAAGCGCAAACAGCTGGCAAGCGAGGAGGGTCCAATAGAACGGACACGAAGCAGAGGATTGCATGGCTTCCATTTTTCATTCGGGCGCTCAGTAGCAGCGCGCGGAGACAGGACAGGTACAGTACGCTGCCGTCGTGACTGGCCCTCTTCCCGTTCCATTGTGCCGTTCGTCCCCTCGGTGCCCATGGTTCACTGACGACAGCCCCTGTGGCACAAGGTTCCAGGGGCGCCAGCACTCGGTGCAGCATGCACCGGCCCGGGAATCGAGAGTACATAGGTGCACTGTATCGACACTGTATTTCCCAACGCGGCAAGTGCCAACGGGCGGGGATCCTTCCATGCATCCAGGGGCCCAGCCCCTCAAAGAAAATCGACACCCGACCCCGCGCGCCAACGATGGAACAGTGCTGCATAGGTGCTCCAGGGCTTCTTCCTCCACTCCACGGGGGCTCCTGTCACCTGCAGCAGCGGGGATGTCAGGTCCGGTGCCGAGTGCTGCCCCTCACGGCGCCAACCCCGCCTCCACCGTCGGGGCCGTCACTGCAAGCCACTGGAGACGCGCCAGGACAGGGCGCTTTCGGCGGTCGGCAATTGACACTTGCTAGGTGCCCGTGTGCGACTTCGGGCCACCATCCAAACGCCGCGCATCGTTACATCACCAGATGCTCGTCTTCGGGCTGCGCGACGTCGGAGCGGCAATCGTTTTTTAAACTTCAATCCTTCCATCCTTCCATGCTCGTCATAGCCAGCAAGGCCCTACTACGCTGCCCGCTCAACACGTTGTCCCATTGAGCGATCCCAACCCATCCAGAACTCACCACCACTAAAACCGCCACAGCGACATCGTACATCGGCAACGACTCCGACACGACACCATGCCTCCCGTCAAGGCTTCCGTCCTGCATGCCGCCCGCGAGCTCCGTCTCGAGGAACGAGACCTCGCCGCGCCCGCTCCCGACGAGGTGCAGATTGCCGTCCAGTCCACCGGCCTCTGCGGCTCCGACTTGCACTACTTCAACCACTTCCGCAATGGCGACATCCTCGTCCGCGAGCCCTTGACCCTCGGCCACGAGTCCAGCGGCACTGTCGTCGCAGCTGGCACCGCAGTCTCGGACCTGCGTCCTGGGGACCGCGTTGCCATTGAGGTCGGCCTGCCCTGCGAGAGCTGCGAATACTGCAGCCAGGGCCGTTACAACATTTGCCGAGGCATGCGCTTCCGCAGCTCGGCCAAGGCCGTCCCTCACTTCCAAGGCACGTTGCAAGAGAGGATAAACCATCCCGCGAGGTGGTGCCACAAGTATGCCTCCAGACAATGAGTGACGTCGGCCCAGGGCATGCAAGTTGACGTTTGGCAGACTTCCCGACGACCTCTCGCTCGACCTCGGCGCCGTCATCGAGCCTCTCTCCGTCGCCATGCACGCCCGCGACCGCGCCAACCTCCCCGAAGGCTCGACAGTCCTCGTCTTTGGCGCCGGCGCCGTTGGTCTGCTTGCCGCCGCCGTCAGCAAAGCAGCGCATGCTTCCGCGGTGATCATCGCCGACATCCAAAAGGACCGCGTCGACTTTGCCGTCGCAAACGGCTACGCGGATGCTGGCGTCGTTGTGCCCATGGCCCGCCCACAAACGATCGAGGAGAAGCTGCTGTACGCCGCCGACGTTGCGGACAAGATCAAAGCCACCGAGGTGCACGGCAGGCCCATTGGCGAGGTGACGGCTGTGTACGAGTGCACCGGCGTGGAGACGTGCGTGCAGAGCTCCATATATGTAAGTGGCCTCCTGGCCCCCTTATTTCAGCTGAGAGCGCGCTGACGTCTGCAGGCTGCCAAACCCGGCGGCAAGGTCATGATCATCGGCATGGGCACGCCCGTTCTCACGCTGCCCATGTCGGCGGCCGCCCTGCGCGAGGTTGACCTCTTGGGCGTCTTCCGATACGCCAACACGTACAAGCGCGCCATCGACCTGTTGTCCAGCCCGCCGCCCGAGATGCCGGACCTGAAGACGCTCGTGACGCATCGCTACAAGGGCATGGCCCTCATCCCGGATGCCTTTTCCATGGCCGCCAGGGTCAAGGACGAGGAGGGCAAGCTGGTGCTCAAGGTGGTGGTTGACATGAAGGAGTGATGTATGGCGATGGATGGCGGCGCTGGAGGCAAATGTTGAGCACGGTGGGGAGCTGAAAAAAGCATATCTAGACCATTTTACGCTACTTAATGACATGCCATTCGGATACTCTACTAGATCGCATTCTATATTCGTTTTACCCAGTCCTCTTTCCATTGCATCCATCATGACTTGTCCGGGAAGCCAAAGTCGACGCCAAACGGCGGGTACACGTAGCGCTTCAGCTCCCCCTTGCGCGTCAGCTCGGCCGAGTAGTCGTCCAGCAGCTTCATGTCCTCTGCGTCGAGCGGCACGATCTCGAGGTTGGCCTTGATGCGCGCGGGCGTGACCGACTTGGCGAGGACGGTGCTCCCGCGGGCGACTGCGCGCAGGGTAGGGTCAGCATGCAATGGTCGCTAGATAGCGGCAGTATGTGCGCAGGAACAGCAGCCGCAGTGGTGCAAGACGTTGCATCAATGAGTCGACTGGTGCATCATAGAAGGAGGAATAGGCCTGCGCTCACTCACCGTGGTAGCTCAGCAGGACGGTGCCGGGGCTCACGCCGCGCCGCTCCGCGACCTTGACGACGGGCTCGGCGCCGAACAGCGGGCTGCCCGTGCTGCCCAGCGGGCTGTAGGCCACGACGTGGATGCCCTTTTCCCTGCAGAGGTCGACAATCTCCTGCTGCGGCAGGCTGGGGTGGTTCTCGATCTGGTTGATGGCGGGGACGACCTTTGCGTGGGGGAGCAGCTCCTCGAGGTATCGCTTGCTGTACTGCACACCGCGCAGCAAAAGCGGAGATGTTTAGCGAGCGGAACGTGGCGGTGGCATGGTGATGCGAAGCATTGGAGAGGGGGAACTGCCGATCGCGGCATGTCCACCGGAGGAGAGGAGGGGATCAAGGAACGTACGTTGCAGACGCCAATGGCCTTGACCTTGCCGGTGCTCAGCAGGGCCTCCATCTGCTTCCACGCCTCGACGTGGTTCCAGTCTCGGATGACGTCGCGCGAGCCGTCGGGCAGCGTCGGGAACTTGTCGTGGTTGCCATCCGGGTTCAGCAGAACCGGCCAGTGCTGCCCTCGTCAACAACGTCAGCCTCTCCTCCAACAATACCGTCTTGTCTGTCTGTCTGTCTGTCCGGCCAGGGCCAGGGCCAGGCGACAGGGCATATGGAGACGTTGGTGGCGAAGGGGAAGGCTCACAATCAGGTACAGGTCCACGTAGTCGAGCCCCAGGCTCTTGAGGCTCTTGTCCAGGCCCTCCTCGATGCGCGTGTTGTACGTCGCCCACGCCTTGGTCATGATGAAGACGTCGTCGCGCTTCACGGCGCCCGAGCCGAACGCCTCCTTGAGGCCCTGCCCGACCTCGTCCTCGTTGCCGTAGCAGTATGCGCAGTCGACGAGCCGGTAGCCGTTCTGCAGCGCGTACGACACGGCGGCCTGCACCTCGCCTGGATTGGACTGCCACGTGCCTGCGTTTTTTTATTCGCATTAGCTGCTGCCGTTGCCCCTTGACCCTTCTGTCGGTTCCCGTGGGTATACATGTATTGCCTGGTCTGAGCCAGCTTCCCAGGTTGGGTGGACGGTCAAGGACGTGTTTGTGTGAGAGTGAGAGAGAGACTCACCGAAGCCGACGGCGGGCATCTCCGCGCCGGTGTTGAGCTTGAACTTTGTAGCCGCCATGTTTGTACTTCAGAAGCGTGTGTATTCCTTGGTCGTTTGTGTACTCGATCGTTTGTTTGGTTACAGAACCACGGGCGCAATTCAAGTTCACACGAGATCGAGCAAAAAAAAGAGACACACGACTGCCCCCGTGCCGCGCGCGGTCGTTGGGTCACCCGCTGGTTATATTATTTTCCTCTCCTGCTCCATCCCCCCCTCCCCCTCCATGTCCTCCTCATGCTTTGCCCCCCTCGGGTCTTCGTCGCAACCTTGGCGCGAGAGCCGCTCCCGCAACCACCACCAGAAGCAGGAGCCGAGAGGACCTGCCCCTCCTCTCCCTGCCGGGGCGGCGCGACCGCAACGGGCTGCCGCCGCCGAGGGCTTCCCAGCAGGAACAAGTCGCGAGGCGGCGCGCCCGCAAAATCCAGCCACGGAGAATTAAGACCGTCGCTGGGGCCGCTGCTTAGCGCCGGAGGAGGTTCGGGGCTGGGGCCCGGCGACGCGCGAAACGGCCCACCTGCGCCGCTGCTTCGACTGCGGCTGTTGACTTGCGTGATGGGCGATTCTGCCCGGCTTGCGTACGTACCCGCTCGGGTCAAATGCCTGTAGCCCAACAGCCGTGGGGAATCGGTGACGTTGAGGTGGGCTGCTGCGGCGGCGGCGCGCGTGCGGGCTTGGACTGCTGGCCGGCGACCGGGCGGCGAATGATCGCTGCATCAGTTGCCGACGCCAACGTCGTGTCTTGTCGCTCCGCAGGCCTAGAAGGAGGCGATAGGCACAAGGAAATCGGTACACGGGGCACAACACGGCGAAACGAAACGCGGGGCGAGTCAGCGGCAGGTTCCAGCGCTGCCCTGGTATTAAATATCGTCTAGTCCATGTCATGGACGCCTCTAGTAACGTGCACACAAGAAACCCAGTTTGCATGCAATCACAATGCTGTCGTCCATGGTATCAATACAAGCCCGTTGGCCGCTCGGGGAGGGCAACCCGGGTCTATCCCGACACCAACACCCAAAGCCTGCCACCGTTAGCAAGGGACGTGTAGAGTCCAATGTTGGGCAAGGAACACTCACAGGAAGAAAATCATCAGCACGCCAAACATCTTGGCAATGAGCCACCGGTTGCTGGACACGCGTGACCAGTACTTGAGCAGCTCCCTCTGCGCGCCCTCGACGTTGTCCACCACGTCCTCCGTGTTGGCGTCGATGCGCTGGATCATCTCGCTCTGCTCCGACACCATGGTCGCCAGCTGCCCAAAGATGCTGCCCAGCTCGCTGATGGTCTTCTCGATCGACTCAATCGCCTCGCCCCGCTGTTGGATGTACGTGTTGGTCGGCTGCGCCTCCTCCATCATCATCAGCTGTTGGTCGCCCACGGGGTTCAGCGAGAGCGTGTCCGACCCCGACCCCGGCGCCGGCGACGCCCGGTTCGGGGTGCCGTAGAGCGGCGACGCCGACTGCTGCATCGACGGCTGCGCGTGCTGCGACACCGACGAGATGAAGTTTTCCGTCCGTGACCTCGACGCCTGAATGTTTCTTGTCCGCTCCTCGAGCACGTCCTTGAAGTTGACCGACACGTCCGTCAACTTGCCCTGTAGCAGGTACACGACGTTCTTGTTGTGCTCGCCTTCTTGGTCCGCTTTTGGATGTTGCTGCTTCGAGAGCGTCTGGAGGGCGCCAATCTGTTGGTTGAGGGAGGACAGGTCTTGCTTGATGACAAAGGTGAGCTCGTTGATCTCGACGGGCCGGTCGTCAAACAGCGTGCGGCGCTTGGCAACTGCATCTCTTGTCAGCGCATCACTCACGTCATGCCGAATATCGTGTGTCCCGGTGCTCACGCTGTGCCAGCTTCTCCAGCTTTCCCATGGTGGCAGAGATGCTGCGCCCAATCTCGGCCGCCTTCCTGGCAAAGTCGGATCGCCGGGGTGTCGCGTCGCCATTCGCGGCGGCTTTTTGTGAGTCGCTCAGGAGCGATTTCCTCTGCGACGAGACTTTGCTGGCATTTTGGCGACGCTGGGCCTGCGCCAGCACCGACTTGAACTCGGCGGTTCGGTCTTGGATGGAGGCGACCGCCATGGCGGCGGCTTCTTGCGGTCGGGCGGCGAGCTACGGCAACCAGCGCGTGCGCCGCTGCGACGAGGATTCCGTGGCGCGAGTAGTCGTACTCTAGGTATTCTGGCGAGTTGCCCGGGGATCGGCTCGAGGTGGTCCTGGGTAGTCGCCACTAGGTCAGGGGCAACACGACGTCGGGAGTCGGGACGCCGGCTGGCTCGAAAGGATGCGCCGCCGGAGTGGGAGGGACAAAGGGCCGCTGCAACGACGCGACAGAGGCTTGTGCGTAGGTGAGAGTAAAAGAAGGCAGCGACGTTGTTGAATCGGGCGACGGCGACGGATGCAGCGAGAGGTTGCGTGCGTGTCTGTCTGCGAGTACGATGAAGCCGGCGACACGTGGTGGATTCGTTTCAATCGCTGGATGAAATGCACAGCCGCGGCCCGCCATGCCTAAACAAGTTGCACCGCCACACGTCACCGCCACATATTCAATCCAAGAGCAGTGCATCCAGGGTAGCCCTCTCACCTCGCATCGTCATTCAAGTTCCGGAATGCAGGTGCAGGATCCTCGAGAGTTGAATGGTATAAGGTGTAAATTTTACTTGGTGCTCGTTCAATTTTCTCACGTGTAAGAGCCAGTTTCCAATGGGCCACCTGCTACTCCGGCCGCCATGGGTTGCGATTAGATCTCGGCAAACGGCCCACCCGCTTGACCTATACCTGTCATGAGATTATGTATGCGACAATAACTAAACCTCACGATGGAAACAAGGCTCGATAGTCGTTTTCTGACGCAATGTGCATCTGCCGCCTTGGGACCCGGAACAGGGGCGTGACACAGTTGGGACGGAGTACGCAGATAGCATGTCGCAGGACAGGACAGCCGAAAGGCATCTGGCTAACCGGGTGCTTTTGGCGAGCGCGGTCGGCATTGAGACGTTCCCTTGTCCTGGAGTGCATCTCGGGTATCCTGGCATGGCCTGACGGCTCCCTGGTCGTTGCTCAGTCCATAGATGGCCAAGCGTGTGTCGAGCATGCTGTGGCACTGCAGACGACAAGCTCAACAGTGGGCGTGACTGAGCGTGCCAAAGCGTCAGGTATTTACCAATACCTCGTCAGTGAACGACCCCCTTGCATGGAAGGCTACCTCGCTGGCACCCTAAAAGGTTCCAACGGTTGAGACTCCAGACACTTGTCGCAGACCCCAGGTTTGGGCCCCCAGCGCTGAGCATTGGGAAGGGTGACCGGAGGAGAGTGAATATGCCAATCCCCGCTCCATGTCAGTCGCAACCCCGCTCTCGGGGTCCTTCTCCCGTGCACATAGCCTCATTACGAGCATTGTTGGTCCTGCGGTTGGTTGTCTGGGAACGGCAATTCGAAATCATGTTTGGCGCATCCCATCCCATCACCGCGGCTCGGGCGCGTTGCCAGGTCAAGCCTTCGGTACGTACCGTTTTCACCCAGCGAGGCGCGTCTGGTCCGGCCGACGGGACGACCCCCGACGCGCTAGCCCGCAGCAGTCGACGGCTGCACCGCCACGCACTAGCAGCTCCCCAGCGACGCGACGTGTCCACCGCCGCGGCCTCTGAAGGCTCGCTACCTCTCGTGGTGTCTCAGCTGTTAAGGAGACCCAGGCTCCCGTGACCCAAGAATAGCACTGATGCACTGCGCCTTGGGCGCCAGACCGCCCACATCAGCCTTCTTCAGCGCCGCTGCGTCCAACGCTCTCCTGTCATCGTGATCGTGGTCCTCATCTCCCGTGCGTCTTCAATTTTCCCCCCAGAAGTGCCGCGTTTCGTTTCGTGCATCGTCAGGACGCCATCGCATTTCCATCCGCGCGCGTCCGTGCACACTTTCATCCCATCTTCCCCTTCCGCCCGCAATCGTGATCCATCACGACAAGCTCCAACGGCGGCTTCGTCATTTCAGCGCCACCTTCGCAATCACACTTGTCGTGGGCGAAAGCATGAACTGAGTACCCTCCCCGCTGCACCAAGACGCCATGGACAGCCCATTCAACCAGGGCTTCGGGCGCGGCCAGTCTCCCACGTATGTTTTCCCTGTCTTTCTCTCTCTCTGTCTCTCTCTGTGCCCGAGCACGCAGCTGATCTAGCTTGCCCAGCTCGCCGCAAACCCCAGGCGGCGCCGGCGCCTACCAGGTCAATGTGAACCGGACCAAGACCAGAAAATGGGTTGAAGCAAAGGTCCAGAGCTACGACGGCGATGACTGGGGCGCCGACGAGTACGACGAAGACGACGACGAGCCCGAGCCCGCACCCCCCGTTCCGCCGGCGAAGCATGATGCTCCTCCGCCGCCTACAACCCACCCAGAGCACCATGCATCTCCCGCGCCTTTCGCAGTGCCGTCTGCCACTGGCGGCCTACCGTCGCTTCAGACACTGCACACCCCGGCGACCGGCCCGTCGACCCACCAGTCTCGCCCGGCAGGCGTCACGTCGCCCGTCGTGTCAGACCCGTCCAGCCTCGGCAGCCCAGTCGATCGCGACAGAGTAGTCTCTCCACAGTCCACCATCGCTGGTGCTTCGATTGCATCGAACACACAGCCTTCCGAGGCTGCTGCGGACAAGACGTCGATTGGGCAGCCCTCCGACACGAGTCGCTCCGTGGGCGAGGCCAAAGAATCGGGTCCGAAGCCTGCCGACGAAATGCGACTCGCCGAGGCAAAGGCATCTGATCGCCACGATACCGTTGATGAAGGGGGCGAATCCCAAGTAAAGAACGGCGTTGGTCCTGGGTTTGACGAGAGCGACCGTCGCCGCTTTTCTGTCAGCCCCAAGCTGCCAGCAGTCGCCCGTATGTCTGCCTTTGGCACAGACTTGTTCTCGCCCGGCGGGAGCGGCTTCATAGCTGAACCCACTGTTACAGAGAAAGACAGCGACGTCTCGTCGCTGGCATCGCCAACCTGTTTCGCCCAGTACGATGTCGAGTCGACCAAGCCCAAGGCCGCGGCCCCCGTGTCACCGCCTGTTGTCGAAGAAACACCAATCATTCTGACCGAGCCCGTGCAGGCACCGGCGGATCACCAGTCCGGCGACATTGTTGAGGCGTCTGCGGGCGACAAGTCAACCATTGCTGACGTGGATAGGCCGAGCAGCGTCAAATCTGCTGCAGGCGACACGCGCAAGGCTGACGTCGGTGAATCCCCCGCTGCGCTTCCCGTACCGCAGGCCGCGACCGAATCAACCGACGGGCCGGGCATTTCGCCTGTCTCGGAGCCAGGCGTGGGGCCTCACAGCATCATTGGCTCGTCAATCTCTGAGCCACCAGAGCTCAGACCCGAGGGTGGCCTCTCTACCATTCCTCCCTTGAGAACACCCAGCCCCCGTGCGCCTACAGATAGTCCGACCGAGCAAGCTCGACAGGAACCATCGGAGGCAGTGCAGCCGATCACGGTTGGGAACGCTCAGCCTGACCTCGAGCTAGACGGCAGCCCACTGCTTCGGCAGAGCACGCTCAGCACCGTGAACGAGTCACCCATGAAAGACAACGACGCGCTGAGCGAAGAAATTCTCAGGTCACTCAGCCCTACGCGCTCGGGTCCAGCAGACGCCGTGCTTGGCGGCGACGCCTCGAAGCTGCAACCTGGCGAACGGAACGTGGCAAGGGAGAGCAGCTACACCCTCAAGGACTATGACAGCTACTGGGCAGACACGTCGAAACCTGAGCCCATTCCTGAACGTGAACCGCCCACGGAGACCGAGCAGCCGGTTCCCGACGCAAAGATCTCGCCAACCGGTCCACCTGAGGCGGCCAAAGCAGAGGTCCAGGCCACGTCACCGCGCGAGCCCGGACTGAGGCGCAAGTTTTCATGGGAGGCTGATGAGACGGAACAGGCCAAGTCACCTGCTCTTGCTCCCGCTCCCGCCACCGCTCCCGAAGTTGTTCGCTCACCTGCCGCCGCAACTGTGGCTGCTGCGGGCGACATCTCGACAGCGGAAGTGTCTCAGATGCAAGAAAGGGATGCCAGCTCGGTTGCCGCCGTCGCAGCGCAGCAGCACCAAGAGCCTGAGCCACCTTCACCCGTGTCTACCAGCGACGAGCAAGCCCGCCTAAGCAAGAGATTGTCTCTAGCAGACGAAAAGGCTGTGTCGCAGCTTGCCCCTACCCCTCCTCCGGAGCCTCACCCGGCGACTGCAGGTCCGTCGACAGCCGACGACGTCATGGCGGTGCAAGAAGCATCGACGCAACCGCAGCAGCAAACCCAGGTCATGACCTTTCGCGAGATCATGGGCTTGTCGAGCTCGACAGACAGGATCAACAAGTACAACGAGACGCGCGAATATTTCGCCGCAAACGACTCGGGGCTGGATAACTGGTTGGTCACCCTCAAGGACCAGCACCCAGAGTACGCCAACGGCGCCGTGCCGTACGGTGCGACCGCCGGTCGACAGTCGGCGCCAGGCTCGTCCAGCGCATCTCCCGTAGGAACGCAGCCTCCGTCCCAGCAACCCTACTACCAGCAGTACCTCAATGCTAGCTCCCCGACGGCGGCCGGCCCTTCGCCGACGTCGCGCTCTCGGCTCGGTGGCCTGCAGATGCCCTCGCAAGGAAGCGGCAGCGCGTTTGGGCACTCGGGCAACCAAATAGGGACTAAGAGCAAGGAGTTTATGCACTCGGCTGGCAAGATGGGCAAGGGTTTGCTGAGCAAGGGCAAGAGCAAGTTGCGCGCGAGCGGGGACAAGGTATTTCACTGATGCTTTCTTTCCCGACCCTCTCAGTGAGTGGGATCCCCCCCGCTCTCTTTACACTCTTTACCGCCTGCGGGCAGATGATGTGTCGGGGGCTTTTCCTTGATCTAGCGTGCTTGGACGAACCGCTCGGGACGTGTCAGGATGAAGTGATGGGTCGCATGAAGATAGGAATTACACGCCACATTGTTCTCCCCACACCGCCACGACACGACATACGAGATGATGTTCCCCCCCCATCACCCATGTCCAGACGTGAATGGATATTAATGTTGCTTGTTGAATAGGACGAAGCCAGCGCCAGCCCTGCCCCAGCCCAGGAAGCGAAGCCCAAAAGTGAGAAGCGCATGTCCTGGGGGCTCGCCCTCGGGGCGCGCTCTCGTACGGATGGGCCGGCCCCACCGGCCGACACGGGCGCCGACACGGGCTCCAACACGGACAATGCGCCGTCGGTCGCTCCGCAGATCCCTCAGCCCACGCCAATGTCACCGCTCCATCACTCGAGTCCACCCGGGCAGACGCCGCCGTGGGGCGTCGTCCAGCCGCAGGCGTCAATGGGCCACGGCCAGCACCATCCACCGCAGTCGCCCCACCCGGTTGGGCCCGGAAGCCGGGCCACGGCCGGTCTAAGCAAGCTGGAGATACCTCCGGGAGGCCAACCGGTGACGGGCGAGCCGGCCAGGGGTTGGCAAGTGGTTGACGCTCAGTCAGCGGCCGCCAAGCCAACACAGCCCGACCAGAGGACCGCCGAAGGCCGGCCGTCGGACGACTGGGTCGTCGTGCCGCGGGACTCCGGGGACCACCCCATCGGATTCGCCGGGGTTCGAGAGGCCCCCGTACCTGCTCCGCCCGTTCCTCAAGACAGCGGCGTGGCTCTTCAGCCCGAGGCTCCGGCCAACGACAGCGCGCCGCAGCGCAAGACCTCCTTCATCGGCCTGCCACCGATCCGGCGGACCTCGACATTTGGGCTCACGACCAAGGCGAAGAGAGCCAGCGAACGCTTTTCCTTAGATGATGATGACGACGACGTTCCTGGAGGTGCTGCGGTGGAAGGCGGCGCCGCATCGGAGCCGCCTGTCGACCTCGACAAGTCACTGCCGCCGCCGCCGCCGCCTGTTGACCAAGGAGCAGCACCAGTCAAACCAGAGACGCACACGAGTGCGAGCGCCCCCGCTCCGCAGGCCGAGGTGGCAGACGGGACCGGGACCCAGAGGACTCAGGGTACCGATACGCAAAGGACACTCGTCGACACCAACGCATCGGGCCCGCCACCCGCGGCGAAGGAGGATGCGCAGTTCCAGGAGTATCCTGCTCCACAGTCGGCGCCTCGACCTGCGCCTCAGCAGACAATGGCGCCACCAAAGTCGCCAATGATGACCAAGGCGCATCAGATGTTTCCTCAAGGCAACTGGTCCTTGGAGGAAAGCCACTTGGCCGAACCGCTGCATGAGAGAACGAGGAACCGTGCCGGCACTGCCGGCTCTCAACACACGCCGACGTTCGGGTTCGAAAAGGAAACGGGCATGACGATGCCGCCCCCCCAGCGGCAAAGGACCTCGGACGTGCCGCCATCGTCTGCACAGCGATGGCCGGAACTGTTCCAGCGCCGCCCGGAATACGAGGGCCAGCGCCCGCGGGCGAATTCGGGAGCCGGACGGCCTTATCCGCAGCAGCAACAGATGCTGATCGCGCGAGCAGAGGTGGTGAACCCAAGGCCACAGACAAGCGAGTTCGCCATCGCAGGCGTGGGCCCTCCAGAGGAAGAGCGTGGCCGAAGCAAGCGCAATTCTGGCATGTTCAAGGGAATCGGCGATCGGATCTCGAGGGCGACATCGAGAGAGCGACGGCCTTCGCTCGCGGGCCATCGTCCTGCACAGCCCGGCGAAGTTCGTGGCGACGAAGTCTCTGAGAATAGTGTCGCCACAAGTGACGTCCAAGAGTCGAGGAAACGGCGCCCTAGCTTCATGTTTGGACGGAGCGGCCGCCCTTCTATGGACCAAAGCTCCCTGCGTAACGAGAGCATCAACGGGCCGGACCAAGCGGGACCCCGTGGCCCCGACACTCCTCCGCCTCAGGCGGAGCGCCGACGCTCGTTCTTCGGCGCGGGTGTTGGTGGCAAGCTGGCATCGGGACAATCGCCCAGCTCCAGCGTCGCGAATGATTCTAGCAGTGCGATCGCTGCCACTGCCGAAGACGGGACGCCCAAGAAGAAGCGGTTTTCCAACCTTGCCAAGGTGTCCGGCATCAAGGAAATATTCCATCGCCCTGGCCACAACGAGAAATCAAAGGACCAAAATGTTGAGGCGCCTGTGGCCGGCGGTCACCCACAGGGACCTGGAGTGATGGCGCCGCCCGCCGCACCCTTCCCGGGTGACGCGCGTAGGGGCAGCGCGGCAAACAACTCGCACGACTTGCCGCCGCCGCAACCTGTAGTGGCGGAAGGGGGCCTTGAGAGACGCGGCCGCAGGGGGTCGGCCTCGAATCTCTTCTCAGCATTCGCGGGACGGAGATCTGCCTCCAAGACCCGGCAGCAAGGAGATGTCCCTGGCCACAATCAGCCAGTAGTCAGCCAGCAACAAGTACAACATCCACATGGCATGGCTGGGTCTCTGCCGCCATCTGGCACTATGTCTCCCGCGCCGTCGGGCATAATGGGTTCTACGCCTCCTCCCAAACCCCAAGTCAGGGCATCCATGGACAACACCCGGACTCCCCAGCCGAGCGGCGGCCACGCTCAGTACGGACAGCAACCGCGCCCGTCGCCACTGGGTCCAGGGTCACCGCCCGCCCGTGGCGGCTCTCCTACAGCAGTCAGAGCACAGGACCTTGCGCAGACAGACAAGCCGGTGTCATTGCACTCGCGCAAGCCCTCAACGCCCCAGATGTCGCAGAGGGAGGTCGTTTCGTCCGAGACAGACCGCCAAGGGCCATTGGCCGGTATTGGCGCTCAACACGATGCCGACGTCGAGCTCTTACGAACAGCGACGGTCTCACCAAACCTGTCCATTGCATCAGATGGCAAAGCCGAGCAGCAGTCCATACAAACACGGAGCGAGAGCGGCAGGATGGGGACACCGCGGCAGTCGACTGCCACGGTTGGCGGCGACTCATCAGCTCCTCCAGGAGCCCATACATCTCGGCCAGACGTTCCCATGGGAATGCCGCGTGAAAGGGTGAGCGCGGAGCGCACGCCTCTCGGCATTGCCAATGCACAACGTTCGCCAGGCAGCGACAGAGGACCGCACTCACGCAACAACAGCAAAGACTTTGCAGCGGGCGGTACTCAGTTGAAGCAGGCGTCTCCAACACCGCAGGGTCCGCAGCTGGGCCCTTCGAGCAGTCCGCAACCCCACCCAGCTCATCATGCTCAGGGGCGTCCACCTGTAGGACTTGGTCTGCGCCAGCATGCGCAACAGATGCAGCCCCAGCGTATGCCGCCGCCGCAGATGCAGCCGCAGATGCAGCGACAGGGACAAGCAGCGCCGGGCGGACAGCAACAACTTCTCATGCAGCCGCATGCGGCACCCGCTGGAAACAGGCTGCCTGCGCCCCCAAGCCAGCAAGACCAGGGCAACCAGGCGACTTCCCGGTGGAAGGGCTTGAAGAGCCGCGTGTCAGGCCAGATGGCGCAGATGGCGCCACAGAATCAACCCAAGCAGGAGAAGCAAGAAAAGGGTGACAAGGGTGACCGGCTGTCTGGCTCGAAGCTGCTTGGCGCGTTCAAGCGCGGATCAAGACAATCCGAGCCCGCTGGACAGCCAGGCCCCCAGTGGCAGCCAGTCGTTCAGTCTCAGCCGGATCAGTTCCAGCCGAGGCCTACGCAGCTTCATCCGACGGCGAACGGCCCATCCCGAGGCTCGGTCCCGTTGGGCCAGGCCGCCGGCCCGGTGCCTCAGCAAATGCCGCATCAGAGGCACGTGTCCATGCCAACACAGCGTCCCATCCAGCGTCCCATCCAGCAGCCTGGCCCTCAGCCGGTCCAGCAGCCTGTACAGCAGCCCGTACAGCAGCATCCATTCGTGCCGCAACAGGAGCCCGTCTATGACCAGGTACCGATTCCCCAGGGTTATAGCACGGTCCGAGGCGAGGGCATGGTCGCGCCTTCGCCATACAACATTCCGCGACACATGTCGCAGGGGCACTACCAGCAGCAGCAGCAACAGCAGCAGCAGATGAACCCGGCACAGGGACCGCCGCGGCAGTCTCCGCCAGTCGGCCAGGCAGTGTTCCCGAGGCGGGCTTCGGCGCAGTCGCCTCCCTTGGGGTCCTCGCCGTCACCGCCATCCACTATCGATCGGCGCGAGAGCGTGGGCATAAGTGACGTGCTGGCGCACCAGCCAAGCACCAACTCGCTTGCGGCTGGTGGTGGCCGACCAGATGACGCTGCAGGAAACCAGCAAGGCTACTTGCAGCCCAAGGCGAGTGAGCACTCTGTCGCCGGGCACTCGAGCGACGGCAGCCACATGTCGGTCGACGGAGCCGCCGTATCGCAACAGTCCAAGTCGCCCGAGCTGAGCGTGCCAGACAAGAGTGGGCCACGCAACGCCGACCTGGGCATCGACGTCGACAAGGCCAAGAAGCTCGCAGAGGACAACACTTACGACGCGACGCCGCGCCTGAACAACACGAGCACGGCGGGGAGCCAGAAGCAGAGGCCGGCCCAGATGTCCCGAACGGTGTCGGGGGAGACGATCGACTCGCTGGGCGAGGTCAAGCAGCACGCCATCGTGGTCCACGACGCCGGCGGCGAGGAAGCGGCGGCGGCGGCGGCAGAGCTGGACGACACGGCGGACCGATACGAGCGCAGCCGGCGTCTCGAATCGCAGGAGGAGAAGATCCTGTACAAGCCCGAGGACGCGGAGGACTTTGCGCCGCAGATGAGCGCGACGAGCTATCCCGGGCAGGAGTGGAACCCGTACGGCGAGCCTGGGTTCGGGGAGTGGAAGGACGAGTAGCAGGGTTGACGGATGTATCACCAGCTCTTTGTGTGTGTGTGAGGACGTTTTTGCAGGCCGTTGGGCGGGCGGGCCTTTTCGTTTCGCTGGATACCAATTTGATATACCTTTTAGCGTGTATATAGCAGAGAGCGGTGCTCTTGATGGCAAGCCATGGCTTGCATAATATATAAGCTGGCACATAGAATATCGCACGCTGACCGCATGGATGATGTCTGTCTATTCCGAGCCTCACAGCCCCTCCTTGTTGTTCAACCCCGAGAACGGAGACTTGACGCATCGACACTGTTGAATGCCTTGCTCCAAACAAACGTCTGATGAGGAAGACACACAGGGCTATAAAACATCATCCTTTTTTCACGCAAACAAAATTCTTCCTAATCAATCGGCAGCGCGGTTGCGATGGAGAAGCGCTGCCGACTGTGATAGTATGTAGGGGTAGTTGATTGTGTCTCGCGCCACGACAGCTCATGTGAGCTGACCTCAAGGGGTGCCGACACTGCGAACAGCCAGGCGTAAAGAATGTGTATGGGACATGACTCAATAGCTCAAGAGTGTAATTTGTGTTTGGCTCGACGCGGTGCTGTATCACACTCTTGGGCTTCTCCATGTTGTGGTCCAATACAGACATGCAGAGGATACCGGGGCCGGGCGCCGACGACCTGCCTTTCTCCAATGGGCGGTTAGTTATGTAGTAGGGCAGCTCCGGGCTCGGACGCCACCCCGGAGCAAAACCGGCCGACGGCACCAGCGCCGGCGCCCCCTCCCTCCCCCACGCCTTCAACCTTTCCCACCTCTCTGTGCGCCCCCCCTCACATTCTGCCGCCCGCGGGACAAACGGCGCGGCGGTGGGGTGGAATAATTGTGGATTGAGACACGAACGGGGTTCGCTCCATCTTTTGCCGACCGCCGGTTCTCGCCTCTTTTTGCGGCCTCGCTTGTTCCCCAACTTCCAACCAAGGCCCAACAGCAACAGCAACAACAACACTCGTCCCCCCCGCTTGGGCGTGCTGGGCTTGTTCAATGCTGCCGCCGAGATGACGACCAACGAGGAGACGCCGTTGCTGCATGCGACGACGAACAAGAAGCAGCAGAGGAAGGGGCATGGGGCGACTACTACGACGACGACGTTGGCGGCAACCAAGGCCAAGGCGGGCTTCGGGGCCTGGCTGCGGCGCGTCTTCAACGTCGAGCGGCGGATTCTCTTTGCCGGCTTTCTCATCACCCTGGCGTTTAGCTACACGCAGGTTCCGTGCGTAGAGAGTCCCTTCTTCTGATACAGGAGGGACGGATTGCTGACTGGGATCCTCGACCAGGCTCTTCTACGTCTTCCATCTCATGGAGTGCGACACCTTTTACGACACGCACCCGCCGTACAACGGCACCGGTGATCGCTGCAGCAGAGATGAGATTGCTGCCGGCACGGCTACGCAGTTTAGCATTCTCGGCATGAGCACGACGCTATGCGGTACGTTTGCTGTTGTTGCTGCTGTTGCTATTGTCCTGTCGACGAGGCCGACGTAGGTTCTGACTGATACAGGAACGCTGAACCTCTTCGTCGCCGGCTGGGTCGTCAAAAAGTTTGGCCCTCGCGCCGCGCTCATGGCCCAGACGTTTGTGCCCGCCATCCGCGTCGCGACCCAGATCATCGGCGTCGTCGCGGGGAAGCGGGCCGGCATGATCATCATCCAGTGCACGCAGCTCATCACCATCCTCGGCGGGCCCGCCGGCTACATGTATGCAAAAGATCTCCCAAGTCCCCCATTCGAAGCCATCGCGTCAACCGCTGCTAACTGCAAACCTGCAGCCTCGTCGTCAACATCATCGCCGGCGAAGTCGTCGAGCCGTCGCGCCGCACTGCCGTGTTCGGCATGCTGCAGGGCTGCATCATGCTCGGACAGGGTATTGGGTACCTGAGTGAGTGTCGTCGCCGTAAGCCCAGTCTTGTATATGCACATTGGCGCTGACATTGTGCAGCTGGCGGCATGATTGGGGACGCCATTGACATCCGCGCTCCGTTCGACGTCGCCTTTGTGTCCTTCCTCGTTGCCGGCGTCTACGCTCGCCTGGCGCTGCCGTACATTGCCCCCGACGCCATGTCCGACGGCAAAAAGCCCGGCCAGCAGGGCGTCTCGGGGTTCCTCGCGCCGCTCCGCATCCTCGTGCCCCAGCGGCTGCGGCGCGCCGACGGCCGCTTGACCAAGCACTACGGCGTCATCTTCCTCTGCGCCGGCATCTTCCTTGGCGTGGTACGTCAACTCCTGTGTTCGAACCGACATAAAGGACGTGCCATTGACTCTTGTAGCTCGCCACGGGGTACGCCCCGCTGCTTATCCAGATGTACGCGACAGCCGCCTTCGAGTTCAACCAGGCCGACAACGGCTGGCTCATGTCAGAATTTGCCTTTATGCGGAGCTTCTTCCTCATCTTTCTCTTCCCGCGCATCATCAGCTGGGGGAGGAGGCTGACGCTGGCGCGAGCTGCACCTCAACCATTACCCGAGGAGCGAGTATGCCGCGACGACGACGACGACGAGACCTCGGCGTTGCTGCCCACCGACCCGGGCCAGTTTGACGCCGCGGCGGGCGAGCAGGTCGACGAAGAACCCATGGCGTTGGCCAAGTCGGAGGCAGGCCGCGACGGGTGCCTCTTTGATCTCGTCTTTTTGCGCTGGAGCCTCGTCGTGGACGGGGCGCTGACGACGGTCGCAGCGTTTGCAACGAAGCGCTGGCACATCTATCTAGGTAGGCACACCCGGTTTCTTTCTCTCAGTACACCTTTGGCTCGCGGGGACTTTCCATGGCTGACTCTACGACAGCCGCCTTCCTGCTGCCATTTGGGTCCGGGTCCGCGCCGGCCGCCAAAGGCGTCATCACCGAAATGTGCCCCGAGTCGCAGCGTGCCGACGCGCTCAACGCCGTGACACTCGTCGAGAACATTGCGCGCCTCGCGACGCAGGGCCTGTTTGGCTTCGTCTTTGCCAGCCTGGCCGAGGTGGGCAAGGCGTATGCCACTTTTTTCTGCAACGCCGTATGCTCCCATCCCACACTCTGCGTGTACGACCCGGAAGCTGACAGTCTACAGGCCGTTGCGGTGGTGGGAATGGGTGTCCTCCTCTTCTCCAATTTCCCCTCGCCCGATAGCACGCTCGTGGAAGATGACGGACTTGACGGGCTGCCAACAGACGATGACCCTGATGTTCAATGAGTAAGCATGGCTGGTAGTGCATTCAATGCAATGCAGCCCGGGAACATACATGTATACGCCAAGACGGGCAAGGGTCATGCCCACGTCCACGCAACATGAACAATTACGAACATACAGCATCAGCACACTTGTGCATATGCACGATAGAGTACATGCCTGACGAAAACTACAGCCTTGGCACACATTTGGCGAATAAAGCGAATTATCGAGGGCATGTGCCGCAACGACTTCATGTTGGCTCAAGAAGCCTCGCACAAATCCGTGACAAGTGTAAACAGAGTTTTGGGCGTGAATCAACGTTTATTTGTCTCTTTTTCGCCTCTTAGATTTGAACTTTGGGCTCCATCCGGCACGCCGGCAACGCCCCATGCATGTCAAATGAGCGGACGCCCCCAAATCTGAGAAGCCAAGACGAAGACAACCCAAACAATCCACCTTTGCACAGCACAGCTCACGCCCCCCTCAGCAACTGGGCTGACCCCACGCCCTTGCTCATCATTTGATGGCCCCTTTAGAGAATGTCGACGCAGTTGAGGAGCGCAATGTTGATGAGCGAGCCCTGCACAAGTGCGGTTAGTTCCGCGCCTCTTCTGATAACGAGAGGGGAAACCGCGATGGCATTGCGCGGAAGGCTGGGGTGACTTACAACAGGGGCCTCGGTGTTGCAGCAGTAGGCCTGGTTGTTGCAGGAAGCGCCAAGAACCTGGACGAGGCAGGTGAGGAGGCCAGAGCAGCAGACCTGCTTGCCGTTGTTGTTGCAGTTGCTGGGCGGGGGGTTGTTGTGGTTGGTGCGGGCCTCGAGGTCGGCGGGAGCGGCCACGGCGGTGGCGGCGAGGGCAAGGACGGAGAGGGCAGCAGTGTACTTCATATTGACGGTGGTTGGGTTTGGGAACTGGAAAAGTTCTGAAGAAAAAGGGGGTGGATGTTTGGGAAGAAGTGGTGAAGAGGCTTTCTTGTGCTGTGCTGTGCTGTGCTGGCTGCTGAGCTGTCTGGATAGATTGACTTGTGAGGGCGAGGAGCGCCGTTTATATAGTTTTTGTCAACGTTGCTGTTCCACCGCATCTTTCATGTTCTCATCGTGCCGCGAGGCAACGTTCCCCGATCCAGTCCCGAGGGAAGAGGGAACGGTCGGTCTGGAGTTGCCAGTCCTGGACTTTGCTACGCGCAGTTAGTCACCGTTGCAAGATCGGCATCGATAGTTTGATGCCAGAGCTGGACGCCTCGTACACGTACATCAGCCGTTGACGTGGGTATGTTGTTGTCCGTCCGCGAGCACGGCCCCGGGGGGGGGGGAGGGGTGTAAAGCATGGCTCGCGGCGGAAAGTTGTAGGGCGCTCTCGGTCCGCACAAGTCCAACTCGAGGAGGCGTGTCGTCAGAGAGCATAGGCCTCGCGAGCGTCTAGGTACATGGACAGGCCTGCCTAGGAACAAGTCCTCCGTGCATGTCAACGTGAGGCACACGGTGATAGGGGGGCCGGGGTCGGCGCAGCAAAGACGACGGGCCGCGCATACGTCTCTCAACCGCATCTGATCTGGGGACGACCTTGCTGAGGCCGCCGCCATACTCTTTGCGAACATGGACGTTGGGGCGAATCTCTTTCCCGTCCGGGCTAGATGGCTTGTTCGTGGCATCGGGCATGCATGAGAGCCCATCCTCTTCGGGTTGCGGTGAACCGTAGGGGGCAAAGTCTTTTTGCTTTCATGCTGCTGTCATCAGCCGGGAGTAGGATCGCGCCCGCTAGGCCGTGCCGTGGGGAATCGGGATCCTGTCGCCGTAGCATCGCGCCCTGTTTGCTCCCTGTACGACACATCGAAGTGGTGCTTTACATAGCGATGCCTGTCTGGTTTGACTTGGCTTAGAACACACTCAATCCATGTCCGTATCTACAACGGCGTGGGACCCCTTCCCCGCGTCCCCCCTGTCTTACAGTTACGAGCCACGCCATGCCCGCTTGAACTCTGTATAACACCCTCTTACAGAAACGGTCCGAGTCTAATCAGGGCGTGCAGAGGCGTGCTTCTCCTGCCGTTTGACATCACTCATCCAAACAGCCGCACGGACGAGAGCCGCCATTGGGCCCGACGAGCCGGCGCTTCTCCTGATCTCGCCGACGTTGGCGTCCCGCCCTGCCCCCCCCCATCCCATGTCGCGCAGCCTGGGTGCATGTGGGTGTGTGCAGTCTCCGTCCCTCCCTTGCGCCGGTTAGCTAGGTTAGCCTCATGCACGCCACGTCCCTTGGGCGGCGCCCCGGATCGGCGCCCGCCCGCTAATTTGGTGTATTGGCAAAGAGCATCTGCCGATGCCGTGGACCTGATCTTCTCCGGCCTTGACATCGACGGGGCCCCCCTTTTTTTGTTTTGTTTTGGAGAGGGAGGCGGTGGCCTGGAGGGGCGAGCCCGGGCGAGGTGGTGATGCTGTCGAATCTCACTCAGCCTTTGACTTGTTGGGTCAGAACTCCCCAAGCAAGAGACAGAGGGAAAAAAAAAAGCAATGACTAGCTCTTTTGGGTGGCACCTCGATCGATTCCCCCAGTCGTCATGCATTGCGTGCATAGTACTGCTGAGGCGCGAGACATTGCAACGTGAGAATTGTCTCACCGCAGAGGATTATTCCGACTGGACTGCTGCCGCCTCGCCCTTGGCCTGTCTGTCATTCGGAGCATGCAGAGTTCAAGACTGTAGACTTCACTTGTTGGCATGCGCCAGAAGGCAGGTTCAATCAGGGCCGGATCAAGTCGGCGCTGGCCTGAACCGGGCCGCGATCGAACGGTCCGTGACCCCATTGCAACCCCAAGCATGCCACATCGGGCGGCCGCAGGCATCTCACAGCGCGTCCATGATCAAGGCCACCAAAAAAAGGCCAACGACAGGAAAAACAGCCCCCAAACGCCCCTCGAGCGCGTTGCCGCCTCCCCAAGGAGTGGCAAACCAGCGCTACTGCACCCGGCTCAGCCCGCGAGTGGCCACCAATGCCTCAGCTCGCCCTCACCTGCCCCTACTGGCCTGCTTGAGGCACACACGGCTGGCTTAGTTAGTAGCTGGCCGCCCGGCAAATGCCGCCCTGTTCCGCTGACCGGTTCGCCGAGGAGACAACAGGCACCGCCGCCACGACCGCCGCCCCGACACCTGTCAGGCTGTCACTGCGCCCGCAGACGACGCGATGGAAGCAACAGGCGTCGGTGGCGTCCCAAGTCAACTGGTGGGCAACGGATGGCGCCTTGCTTGACGGGGTCAGGGCCGCCCAAAAGCGGCCGCGACAGGAGGAGGCGCTTGTTGACCGCAACATGGGCCTCGGCCTTGGAAGCGCAGAGCCCGACATGGAGTCCATCTGGGTCAGCGCGGCAAGCCTACTGTACGAGATCGGCGCCAGCTGCCGTCTCCGAGAATAGCCCTCCACTCTATCGCGCGCGTTGGGAAAAGAGGGCCAGCCAGAGGGCGACCGGCTGGGGGAGGCTTGGGCCGCAGGGGGTAATGTCCGGCAGGAGGCTTGGTGGCGAGGTCGGCGACGTTGTTCGTGTTCCGCCCTGTAAGAGACCGGACCAAACCAGGTCGAATCTGCTCTCGCAAGCTCAAGCCTTCATGTCCGGGTCGAAGTTGTCTCCTCGTCCATCCTTTCCCGAATCCGGACGGCGCTGTGGCACCTCACGGCCGTGACCGGGACTGCTCGCCTTGGCTGAAGCGGTTGAGTTACACCACGTCAAAATCAGGTCACTTTCGATGCGCATTGTTGCGGCTGGACGAGCTCTGATCTATAACCAGGCAAAGGAAATCTTCTCCGATACCTCACAGTCAATAGTTGCCAATGCCTGTCAACATGTTTCTTGCCCAGCGGGCGTCACTGGGCAGCGGCCCGCAAGATCCCTCAAACCAGCTTACATACACTGGGGCCATCGTGACCGTGAATCCCGGACCAAACGACGCCGTTGCCTGCACGGGAGAGCAAAGCTAGCAAAACGCGGCGGCCAACGGGCGTTGTGATCACGGCATATTCTTTCGGAAGGTAGATCAGTCCTACCAAGAGACGGCAAGGTTGCGGAACGCAACCCATGGATCCCGCGGCCCCTGCATCAATAGTTTCGAAAGATGGCTTGAACCAGCGCGGGTATGCATGGTGTATTGCGTCATCATTCAGTCAAGACTCGACGTCGGAGCGGGTGCGCAGACATGGTGCATGGCCGCTGTTCAGCGACAGCCATCTTCAGTGTGTTGCATGCACCCTGCAAGGACGAGAGTTGTTGCCCCCTTGAACCTTGACCAGATATCAGCAGCGGGCGTGTCGGTGCAGGTCCTTCCCAGTATCCGGTGACGGTCAGTACATGTATTTCAGCCATGACGTTCCGCGGACACCCACACAGAGCTGGCTTTGCTGTAAGTTAGTGTTCGGAGGGATGGGCGTTGGGTACCAACGGAGTGTTCTCCTGGTCGGCAATCGCCAGGCGCGGCGCCTTCATCAAATCCCACCCGCGGGCCGTCGCTATGAGTTCAGCTCACACCTAAAAGAAACCTTGCACGGGAGTTAGCGCTGCAGATTATGCCGCCGGTAGTAGTGCCATCTGTCACCAGGAGCTCCTCTGATTCGCGAACCAAGACGCAGCTGCGTCGCGGACCGAGTATTGTTCTCAGCAGATCTGGCAAGAGATCGTCGTAGCTGACGTGCGTTTTACGTGGGTCGATACAATCACAAACGCAAAGTCCAGAGTCACGAGCGATTGCAACAAGGGGGCAGCCTCCCACTGCGAACCTTCTCGCGGGCTGAGAGACTGTCAACCCGGGGTACTTTGACTCGACATCCATGCATTCTTGTTGGATCTTGTCAATGCCGAGGTCTGGTGGTTGCTTCAGCGATGGCCACTCATGCGGGTCTCGGGATCGAGAGCTCTTTTGCTCGAATAGCTACAGAGGAATGTAAATCCAACCCCCCTCAGACTCTCAAGTGGGCTGGAGACGGAATGTAAGAGCATGTGAAGGAAAAGCCTGTGATATCTAACAGTCCTTCTCATGTACGATGTATGCAACCCCCAGAACCCGTAGCCTATAGGAAACTGGCGATCAAGACGGTATGGAAAAGCCAGCTACATGTCACGTCAATATGACCTAAACCGCAATTTGCGCCTGCTGTCACCTAAGTGCTCTTGTGTGAATGTGTGTATCTTTCACTCCTCGATTCTGACCGTAAACGCCGATCCTCGACTCGTAATAGAAGACGTCTCTCCATTGTCGTGACCATGCGGCTCTGCTTTGCTCCTTTCCGAGGACTGTTCCCGAATCGGCGGCGGCACGTGGACCTGGTGCTCCCGCCGTCGTCTCATTTGCGAGGACATTTTGGGGGGTAGCGGCCACGACGGCGCCTGCGAGATGGATCGTTCGTCGGAGGTGGCGGAATGGAAGTGCTGTTCCGGCCCTTGCCAGTGTTGATCACCGTTCGCTGTAGCTGGACCGGGCATGGGCCGACTTGGGGAGCCGTTGGACGCGGCGGCCCGTGCCAGAGCCGCGCGACTGAAGAAGCGCGCAGGAAGTCGGGTGGTTTGGCCAGACCGTGGCGTCCGCGGAGTAATGGTGAAGGCGGCCGGACGCCGTCTCGCTGGCGGCGCTCCGTCGTCGCAGGACTGCGTGTTTGCCGAGGACGTTCCAAGAGTCTCCGACGATCGTCGCGGCCGTGCTCTCTGCATCTGCGACATGATGTGTTCGTCGTGGACGTTGTCCATGGATTCCTTGGTGGCTGAAGTCGATCTGTCCGACATGGCCGACCCAGGCCGTCGCCGCTCCGGTGTCATGTTGTGGTTCGTACTGGCTGCCCGGCCGCCGCTGGCGTTGTTGTGTTCATGTTCCGACTCATCGTCGACAATCACAATCATCCACACGCCGACTTTCCCATTCGAACCCACCAGCGGCGTGCAGTGCAGCCATCGCGGCCGGCCCTGTGGCTCTGGCTCTATCAGAGTGTCGGTATCGTCATCAAAGCCCAAGTGCGCTTCCAGCGGGTGGTTGTAGGGCGTCATCCGCCTGGGCGGCTGGAACTGCGGCGGTCGTTGCGATCCACTGAGCCAAGTTACCTTTGCGGTGACGCCCTGTCCCTCCGCAAGCGCTTGTACCAGTTGATCTCGCATGTGGGCCGAGCCGCCAATTCGGTCGAGCAAGGGCGATTGGAGAATCCCGGGCATTCGCATGGACGGGCTTGTGAACAGGATGCGCAGCGACGGGTATGGCCGTACGAGAACGTAGTTTTCGTATACACCGGCGAGTCGGCCGTTGTGCTTGAGTGCCAGCGATGTGGGTTGCTCCGAAGCATCGGTCTGTTGACCATGCTCGCCCGCCACTGTGCTCTGGCCCTGGGGTTCGGGATCTTTCAATATGACCCGATGCTTGCCCGCTCCGCTTTCCTTGTAAGGCTCAATATCGTAGGCGTTGTTGGCGGTTGGATTCGACGACGGCTTTTCTTGAAAGCGACGCGGTCCCGCTCCCGTCTGCTGGAACGGCGGCTCGTGCATCCGACCGCCGTGTTCTCGTACAGTGTCGAGCTCTCGGCGCCCAAGCAACTCGGCGAGTTGCGTGAACTCGTCTTGGTTGCATGTGGTGGTGGCAGGGTCCGGCTGCTCCTTTGGCTCGCCTTCGTCTTCGGTGACGAGCTTCTTGAGGGCTCCGAGGCCATAGCAATCCCTCGCCAGACCCGACACGTCAACCTGCGCTCCCAAAAAGTATCGTATGACGCCCCGACTGTCATAGAGCGGCGCGAGCTAGCCGTGAAGTCAGTCAGCGTAAACGATGTTGGATGGGGCTTTCCGATGACCATACCATCACGAGGTTCATGAAAGGCGAACCGTCTCGCCTGTAGTTGAGAAACGTTTCATAGTGCTCCATTCCGGCGTTCAGCCTGTCTCGGATGCGCTTCACGCTGAAGGGACTTGTGCTCGGTCCTTGGAGAAATCGGCAATTGCGTCCAATGACGTAGTCCACTCCGTACTGCGTGGTCCTGTTGAACTCCTCCGTCATGAAGACAATGGGATTGTCGGGCCGGGATGGGTCCGTGAGACAGAAGACCTCGGCCAGGCCTTCTGATGCCGGCCGCGGCAGCCCCTTGATCCTGTGTCTGATGGAGACCGTCACGGTCTGAATCCAAATGTGTGTGATGTACATGGGTAGATCTTCCCTCGCCAAAAGCTCAAAGGCCGCATGAGCATACGTCTCAAGCTCTTTGTTGGCAGTTGCATGCGCCAGGGCAGTCTCCTCTGTCGAGTCGAACTCGGTCAACGGACCAAGTTCTCTCAGCACGGCATTGCTGTAGTTGATGGCCTTGAGGGCTTTCAGACTCTCCATGTAGTAGCTGAGAAGTGGAACGGATGCAGGCCGATGCTGGTGGAGAAACCTTGCGAATCGATACAGATATGCTGGGTCGTCGAAGATTGCTTCCAGATGACGACTGGAGAAGAGCAGCTCAGATCGCTTCTCAAGTTCATATTTGCCGCCTCCAGCTCGGTTTGGCTCTACTGGGTTCACCAAGTCGAAGCTACCCGGCTGCAAGCCGTCGAAGCCAATCGGGTCCAGACCCTCCGGGTCGCCATGAGCTGTTTGCAGTTGTGGCAGGTCCTCGACCTCGCATGTCTGTGCCTTGTTGACCGTGTTCCACTTGGGCTCGACAGCTTGAAAGGGATAAGGATCGGCGGCAAGGTCGAGCTCTTCGAAGCTAAGGGCACTGCGACCCGTGGCAAGAGCAGTTAGTACTCTGTGTTTTGGCAGACGGATGAGGCGCGGTGCCATACCTAGAGGACGGGGACAGGGGAGGGACGCTGGCTGATACATCTACTCGCTCCATGGCGAACGGTGTAGTGGCGACCGAAGCGGAACCTGGATGAGACTATGGCGGCTTCTGGCGAATAGGATCGGGGAAGGCGGCAGTTGCCTTGTCCTCGCCAATAGGACCGTTGTCGCGGCTCAACGAACACGTAACACCACCCTCGGAGGGAAACGTTTTCCGCCTTGGAAGAAACAGACCTGAGGAGCAGCGCGCCGCAGTTTGTCGGAAGAGTTTCCTTAGCATGTCGCACAATTCCGGGGAGGGTCAGCTCAAGTACTTGTTTGTGTTCTTTGGGTCTTCCAAATTTTCATACTCATCGTGATCGCAAGAAACTGTCAGGATGCTTCAAATCGGGTTTCTCAGCGTGATCCCCTGATCGGCAGACGCTCTGAGCCTCTTCCAAACGCCACTGGAACAGTTGCGCCAATGAAGCTCGGCCAAATGGGTGAGATGCGTCGTTTGCTTTTTCCCAGCCGCTTTGACGGGTTGTCTTACTGAGCAGCATCGCGGACCAACGACCGATTGCGCCGGCGTTTAAGCGATTCTTTCCTCGCCCGCTGTGGGTGCGGATTGCTTTTTTATGCGGAAAATGACGTTGCAACGAATAACGCCGTGACTGACGGGCAACACGAGGTGCCCCTATTATGGGACATTTCAACGGTTGCCGCCCTTCCCGACCACCTGGTTTCACGGGTTCAGAGTTGGGTATTGCACGTGAGGTGCTGCGGAGACTTTAAAATTTCCGAGCCACGTGTGTGCCCTTGATCTAGTATTCGTTCTGTCCACGTGCCGTGAGAATGGTTTTCTGGGCCAACTGCCACCATCCACCAACCAGGACATATTGTCTGTCTTTGTGGTGAGTGCGTTTGCATGCCAGAATGGGAGTTACTCCCCCGAAAGCTGCCTTCTGGTCCTAGAGGCAGCCTGAAGCGTTCAGGAAGAAAAGGGCCCTATGATTGCCAGCAGTACATGTGCCAAGAGCTCTGGTGAATGCATTGTATGGTGTCACTGGTATGCCGCAACTAGCGGCTGGGGGACGATCCATGACTCCCACGAAGACTCGCCGTGTCGAGCATTTCAACGAAAAAAATAGCAAGACGGTGCCAAAGGTGGCCTGCAGAGGACTGCATGTGACATATGACATATAGAGGAAGTCCGCATCCAACAGCACGATGGCTCGGCCTGGGACACCACGAGGCGATCGAGATTCACGGCAGTTACCCACGGGGCTTATGCGGCCTTCAAGTTCATAGCTGGGCATCTACCCACGAGGAAGATCATACTGCACGGCTTGAAAAGGCCATCAATATCTCTATGAAGACCAAGATGGGAACGTACCGCACCGCCTCAAACACCAACGATTGCTTGCTTGCTTGCTTGCTGATTTCGGCTCCGAGAATGGCACAAGTTTGTGAATGCAAGGTGTCCACATGGCGTGACTCCGTTGAAGTGGGAGTCTCAGACCAATGGCACTGGGTGTTGCCTGGCTGATACTGACCAAGCTGACACGGAGCTTCTGTGGGCGATTTCGTTCCTACCGGGCACCGGCCGGATTGCCGGCGCGTAAGTGTAACCCTGGCGGGGCCGGACAAAAGTGGAGCATGATTCCAAATGTGTGCGACAAGACCTGACGGCGGAGGCAACGGCTGTCAGCAGGTTGTTTATATACTGCTCATGGCACCCCTTGAGCAAGATCACTGAATTGTGGCCATTTCAGACCGCATGGCATTGTCGAAAATGGCTCGACTACCATACGTTTCGGCCGATTCGTTCCCATCGGAGCTGCCGCCGGCGAACATGCTCCGAATGTGGGCCCATTCGACATCGACCCTGCGTCCGGGACTGGCTCTAGGCACGGCTTGCATTACGGCGCTGTCACTTTCTCCGTTTCTTCGGGAGACCCTCGCACTGTACTGCTCGATCAAGTTTGAGTGCGAGTACATATGGAATCGCCATACCGACGACGCGAGAAACGCGGGCCTCACAGACACACACCTCCAAGCGCTCAAGGATCGCGACATTGGCAATCGTGGCGTATGGACGGAGGAGCAGGTATCATTTCTGACCTTTCTTGGTGATGTCATCGACCGGCCTGAGGCAACCAACGCGGCCTTTTCTGAGGCCAGAAAGTGGTTCGATGAGAGGCAAATCGTTGAAATCATCACCGCACAGGTAAGGATCCTGTTGAGGCTCGTCCTTGTGGTTTCAAGACTGACGATTGATAAGGGCTTCTATTATATGTGGGCGCGTGTTGCTACGACCTTGCGCGTTGAGCCAGACACGGGGATGGAGGGAGACGACCAAAAGGCGAAGCAATGGGCGAATACTGCGAAATGATTTTGCTGCCTCGGATCTCATTGGCGATGCCTACTATGAAAGGGCATTCCAGCGAACATCAAACGATTTGACGTAGCCAAAGTTGTAGCAACGCGCACGAGTCATGGTTTACGGGGTTTTCTGCTCAAGAGTGCTCTCAACAGGACGTGGAAATGTCGAGTGGTCATCGAGACAGGGCGGGCTTGCCTCCTCGTGTACCAGGGCCCGTATGCACGTGAAGCCAGGAATACAGAAGGTCGATTACGGCTTCTCTGTAGCCGTTGCCTTATTTCCTCACCTATAATAATACAAGCCATACGGTCAGACCCAGCTTTTCAGCACCGGACTGGACACTGTGTTCCTGCGCGCCAGCGCATCTCAAATCCAAAGAAAAAAAAAAAGAAAAAAAAAACATGAAAAAAAAATATACTACACCGCAAAACTACTCGGATACCAGTCCAATAACGTAAAGCGAAAACAATGCCCGAGTCGTCTTCAGCACATGTCCCGGGGATGCTCGCGGTCACTCGGCCCCGATGTTGTGCTGCCATGCTCCTTATCATTCTCAGTCACCACCACTGTTGTGACAGTCTTCACGATCCCGTCGTCGGCAGGATACGTTGCAAGATGAATATCTGACCCCGAACTTCCCTTGTTGATCTCGACTTCGTGTCCAAAATTCGCATCCTCACCCTCTCCGGCCAGAGTGCCGTTGTGGGATCCCGGTCCCGGGAACGTTGTGTAGTTACCATGACTCTTGCGACGGACTCCCGACGAATGGTGACCATAGCCACCACTTCTGTCGTTTGTGCCGCTGCGCACAATCTTTGCGATGAGCGAGGCCATGGTGAGCTCGATGTATAACTTGACGATGTAGGCCACTGGGGCAAACTGCACGTAACTATATGCCAAATTAGCGACTCCAATATGCCATTTGGATCGTTTCCTCCTAGAGTTTGCGGGAGACAAACAGGTATGGATCAGGCAAGCTCAGGAAACCGAGAAGGAGAATGTCCATGGAGGTGGACAGGGCCACCATGCCGATGTTGAACTTGAAGAGCCGCCAGTATTTGCTTAACCCGGACGCAATTAAGCGGAATCGAACCAAGTATAAGAACAGCATGTTGAGTCCCAAGTCTATGATGAGGAAAAACGACTTCTCAGTCTTTTCGAAGTAATCGTTGAGCTCGACGTCAAATGGGGTGGCGTAAGGTTCGTGCGCTCTGACCCAGATTACCCACACGACAATGTTGACGCAGGTGATCGATACGAAAAGCCCAATCTTGAGCCACCTTGCCTTGTGCTTGTGGACCATGATGAGCGAGACTCGATTGGCGATAATCTGAGAGAGAAGCTGTGTCTGAACAGCCCATAGTAACACTGCGCTTGCGGATGAGCGTTGGAGTTGTTGAGCGCGCGAACGACCGAGCGAAACGTACCAGTGCCACAATAGAAGGCAGTACTACATTATAGTATTTAGTACTGAGTGTGGTATATAGTTGAAGAACATAAACTCACGTGCCAGGGATGACTCCCTTTAAGTAGAGAAACGTGACGAGAGCAAAGACAAGGTTGACCAGCGCCTCAACCCAGATCATATAGAGGTACGCATTGTGAAGACCTCGTGATCGCGAAAGAATTTTACGAGTCTGCTCGGCGACCTTGACCAGAGTAAATGGGAAGATGCCTAGAAACAGGCCGAAATACAACACGGCAAGATCGATCCCACTCATCGTCGAAAAATTGAGAAGGATGAGGCGGGTAAAGGAATGGACTGGCCGGCAGGGCACCGTCTCCGACAGAGGTTTGAACAATCCTGCGTCAGCAGTGGATGGTAACGAAGCGGTTCACCATTCCAACCGACTGATCACGGCTGCGACGCCATTATGTACCGCAGTACGTCTGGTCCTTGTGGGCGTTCTAATGGTAAGCCCAACAAGCGACCCCCGAAGGTGTCACTTCCCTGCCAGGGCTCAGTCTGGACTCTCCAGTCCCCATCAATCGCTCAGTCTGGACGTCCCCAGGTCACTGGAAGACATCCGAGATGGGACGAAATGACGATAGCCGAGGCCGCTCGGTCGATTAGTGCCAACGTCTTTTGGCTTGAACCAGTCCAGTAAACGTAAACGATGGTGCGTTTGGGTTGGACGCGGCTGCACCTGGTTCCTGACATGATATCCGAGTCCCTACGTCCTCCTCTGCCCGGGCACTGGGTCCACTCGCCGTTAAGGCCGTGCGGGTGCAATGTAACGAGCTCTCAGTAGAAGAAGTGGTGCCACACTGACGCTGCCTCCATGTCAGCAAATGTGCCCCAGTTGGTACGGCTTCCGAACCAGGCGGTCCATCGCTTTCTACCAGACAACGACTTGGACCGGTGCTGCCAGAGATCGCTTTTCACGGCTCTTTACCCCACTGCCACCCCCGTATTCTGTAGTGCTCATGAAAATCGGTGCGCCCTCTTGCTTTTTCTTCTTCTTTTGCTTCCCTGGACAAGTGTTACATAGTACATGTCATTTTTGAGCTATTGTTAGCACGACCAACGTCCCATCGAGTCCCGAGAGCCGCGACGGGCGAGTCGCGGTGCTATGTCTGTTAGCGAAATGCAAGTCCACCCAACAGCCGCCATTGGCCACTGGTCACTGATCACGGATGCGGGTGGACTGCGATGAAATATCATTGCGAGGCCGAGTGATTTCCTGCCTGCAGTTGGTCGAAAATTGATCGATCACGGGCCTGGATCATGTGTGCATCTCCAATCACGACCGTCGCCGTTGTAGATATCTGTCTCCCCAGAACGCAGTCACTCATTCCCACATGTCAAAGCGCTTTGACACATCATGCGGAGTTGCGATCTGGTGGAAGGGTGCTGCCTCCAGCTCCTTGAAACGCCTGGCATGTGCAGGGTATGCACGGAAAACTTCTGCCCGTTGACGTCGAACTCGAAACTTCGCAGTATACCATGACATTATTCGAGTTCCAGGCGAGAAGAGGAATGGCAAACTGCGATTCGGAGACTTTGTATTGGTCCGGCCCAAGACTGTCACTGTATTTGCCATCGTACGGGTGGCATGATTGCGCATTTGCTCCCAAGACACAAAGACCCGTATCCCTGACCCCCGTTGGAAAGCGACTTAGCATTCGCCTTTCCCGGCCCTCCGCATGGACACATGGGTGGGCCATCTTAGCACCCTACATTGATTGCCTGGGCATAAAGAGTGTACGTGTCGGCGTGATTCAGGTTCTGTGCCGGGGTAAGGCTGCGAACAAAGTCATAGCCATAACCGCCGTAGTCATCAGTACCCTTGATCTGAGTCAGGTGTGTAGACTCATGAAGGTTCGTATTGGCTTTGTCTTGAGCATGGCAGGTGTTGCTGAGGTCGGGCAGATTGTTGAAGTACAGCGGGCAGTACACCATCACACTGTACGATGGGATCGTATACGCGAGGACTCGGCCACCGCAGTTGCCATAGGGGTCCCGGCAATGGTACGTTGAGACGCCACTGTTGGTAGAGCCACACTCCGAAGCCACGCGGCCGAAGACGGTCGAAACGGTATTGCGGACCTGCTGACTGGATGACTTGAAGTACTCCTGCAACTTGGCGGCGGGACCAGATGCAGCAGCCTGCTGAGCCTTGCGGGCAATCGACGCGCAGTTGCGTAGTGCGGTCTGGGTAACCTGGAGCTGCTGGCCTTGACAGTCGCTTTGCACACGGGTCCGCTTCTCGTGAAACGCGGAATGGACGGCTGCAGCAATGGTACCGTCAACTTCGGCACCGATATGCTTGGAGACGTAGGGGATAGAGCCGATCAGAATGTTGCTCTTCTCGTCTGCAAAGCCAAAGGAACCGTCGGCTAAGACGTCAAACTTTCCGCCAGACGAGAGATCGTGCGTCTCGGCAATGTCAAACGTCACTTCGACTGTTTCGCCGGGGGAAATGCGCTGAAAATCGCTGTCATCAAGCACATTCGTAGCAAGCCTTAGGCGTGCCCCCTGAAAGGGCACTGGCGTTTCTGGTGATGTGGTCGTCAGTATGTCGGCTGTACGTTGCGCTACGCTACATACCGCCAGAGAACACTTTAGCCTTTTCCACAGACGAAGTGTCCAGTATACTTCCGGTCCTAAGAATCTTCAACCGATTGTTACCCTTGTTGGTGAAGGTGGCTTTGATCTCCGAGTTTCCAAGCATCTCGAGTTTGACCTCGAACGGTGAAGGGCCACGGTTCTCCGCAGAGGGAGCGGCAGCTACCATGGCCGCAAAGGCGAGGACTTTGGCAAGAGCGTTCATGTTGACACCTGCACGGCAGAATAGAGCTGGAAGTGATCTCTGGTGTGAAGGTTTCGGCTTGACAACGATCCCCCCGAGAGCTGGTATCGCTGGCATTATATAGGTCTGCAACGCTCTTTGTTTCATGAACTATGTGGGCCACGTATAGAACAGGAGTAACTCGTGGATAACGGGCTACATTCATCATGGACATCCGTCATCCTTCACTACGTCGTCGGGTCCAGGTACCCCTTCAGTTCTATTACTGCCAAGATAAAACTAACGACTTGGATTGCGTGATGTTACTTTCCCTTTTTCGCCCTTTGTCCGAAGTGGTCTCGAGGCGCCAAAGACCCGGAACATTTGAACCGTGGCTCAACAGTCTGCATCCATGTCCTCCCGTGTTGCGGGGAGAGATGCACCAGTACCGGACGGGTTTGCTTCCGGAACAAAACCGAGCCAATCACTACACTCCAATGAGGTCACAGCCATGGCAATATCAAGACTTGAACAGCACATGGGTTTGCGGTTGTGCTCGAGCAGCTAGTGAGCGGGGTACAATCTTCCCCAGACTTGATCGTGCGACGTGGCGGCAGGGAGCGCTGTTTGGGAAGGTGACAAGATATGGGCTGTACTTGATCGTACGTGGGCCGTCTGAAAGCCATAAGACTAGCGTTGGAGTTTCTCTGCATCATTCTTCCTGAATCGCAAGTTGAGAAGAGGACTAGAAGTGCACAACTGGTGTCTGATTCATCCGGACATGCAAACCATTGGCAGCGTGCAAGTCTATCACACAGAGGCACATACCAAAGCGACGATAATCCGAAAAAGCCTCAAGTCGATTCTGCCACTAGGAATTCCACGTGGTGCATTCAACTGGCGTAGGATGTCACCATGGAGTACAGGTCCCAGAATGCAACGTTTACGTCGCGATGCAACAGCTTCCACCTCGGGGAGGTGTCACACACATCGTGCTAGAAGTCATGTGTCTGTGGAACGAGAAACTGGAATGCTCAAGGCACCAACTATCCCAGGCATTTCTCAGATGACTTCTCTCACTGCGAAAATGGACACCTGTTGCTGGACGTCTTTACGAATACACCATGAGCTTGACTGCGACGTGGTTCAAATGCGCCCCTTTCCCCAATCTTGTGGTGTTGGCTAGGCGAAGTTGGGCAGGAGACGTGTGAATAAGCTTAATCTGTGTATCAAAGGTTGCCGCAACTGCATGTACGAGGGCTACATCGGCCTGTGACTGACCCAGCTCGACCACCGCGCGATGCCTCCAGGGGCACCCATGTCGCCTGCCTTTCTCGTATTGGGCCCCAAACATGTACAATGCTGTTGGCCACGGTCACAGACCCCCCCAACGGGCAACTTTTCATGCCCGTCACAAATTCTCGGTCCTGCCTCCGCCAGTTCACTTTTGGCGTTTATGAAGTGCCGGTCCCGTGGCCAGAGTCGTCATTTCGCGGAGACATACAGGGTCTTCGCCAAGACTGTTGGAGATACATGTACAGATGGCGTTTGTCTCGCATGGGTCTTATGAGTCTCCGACGTGCGCTGCTCGGTCCCGAGAGTAGCTGTCGTTCACGAATCGGTAACGATGTTTCAAATACATACTGTGTCGGTCATGCCGCCCGCCGCCTGCCTTAATTCACCAGTTGGCCCGCAGTGGCACCGTGTTGAGATCCGGAGTCCGGACGGCTCTGTGGGTCTGGGGGGTTTGCGGGCGGTGGGGGCTCGCTACGGGTGTGGGAAGATTGAACTGCCGGGAATGTTCCAGGCTCGGAGATCAGCAAGAACCAACAGTCTTATTGGATTCAGGCGAAGCGCCTTCTCCCTATGAGAGTGTTGCCTCCACGCGCCGCGTAATTCATTCATCTCTTGGGCGGCTTGGCACCCCGACAACGGCGCAGGCAGCGCGTCTTGGTGATGGAGCCTCTGAAGCACCGTGATACGGGTCAAAGCCACCTGCCAATTACGGCCATCGCGCCCAAACGGCTCCTGCAACCCCAACTTGGGCTCAACTTGAAGTGACGAAGAGGAGAGAGATCCTTTAGCCCGGAGACGAGACAGCAGGCGAGAGACTAAAGACAGAAGGTCAAAGAGGCTAAGCGAATAGGCGACAGTCGCCAGACGAGCCCTACCATGGAACAGCAGTTGGGCGATGATTGTGTTCAGCCACATCAAGTAGGTGACGACAACGTCGCGGCTTTAGTGACTTGAATCAAAATGTCCATTTCACATATTTACTCTTCGGTTTATTTTCCCTTTGTGGCATGTGGCTTCCGGTGTGGTTCAGCTGACGAGCAGTTTTCTGGCAAAGCAAGCTCCAGACAGGGTTACTAGCACGGCGCTTTCTGGCGAGCCTTGAGACTGAAGGCTACTACAGCCTCTGGGTCGGACAAGCAAATGAAGCGCTGCGATGAAGATCTTTTAAGGAGGGCAGGTAACCTGCTAATAGATATGAATACTGTAGATACCTGTCTGTGACTTTGTCTAGTGGCTTGAACCTCGCGCCCCGCCAAATGCAAATGGTCACCCGCCGCTTTACATATTTGCGAGTGCGGTATAGTTGACTTTCTGCGCAATCTCAACGTCTGCTTGGACTGTCTGAGAGAACCTGACCGTGTCTCTGTATGCGTTCTGCAACCTCTCCACGTCGGAGGTCGAAAGTTGCAGTTTGCGAGCCTGTCCTGGTCGAAGGATCTGTGTCATGATCTCAGCCCACTGCCATGGCCGAGACGTACCCCCCGGCTCGCTGTTAAAGTATTCCCACCCCATCACTCCACCAATCTGTCCATGTTGACTTCGAAGTTGCACGATGGTTGAGTTTAGCTGATCGTACGGTATATAGCCGTTGCCGTTGGCCGCTGATGTCAATTGCCCAGCGACAATCTTGGAGGCGGCCAGCCCGTGCGAGGTAATGCTATTGAAGTCGTCGGAGCTTCTCATGCTTCCGAATCCTGAATAGAATTGGGCATTGTAAAAGGAGATGTCGTCTCCGTCGCTCGACTCGAGCGCAGAATAGTCAAATCCGCTCAAGTTGCTCCCCCCTCGGAGCGCCGAAGCTACCGGGGCCAGCGTGATGGTGAAGTCGGAGCCAAAGTCATGGCGTAGCTGATTTACCAGTCGGGTAATGCCAGCCTGGCTCATGTACTGTTCGACATCCAAGTCCATCCCTTGAAGGCCGAATTCCTGGATGACGGCTTTCAGTTGGCCGTAGTATTTGTCAAAGGTTGCCTGGTCTCCATCGAGCGTGTCCTTTGTAAAGGAGCCCGCGGCAGCTCCGCCAACCATGCCCATGACTTTCACGCCAGAGTTCCTCATTGTTACTGTCTCATTCCACAGCGTATAAAAATGGGGGTCTCCGGGAGGGAAGTCGTTCAGATGTATGTCGGAATCCTTGTTGATATGAAGGGAACAGACAATCAAATGCGTCAGTGCTATGCCCTGCTCCTGGACAAGAGGAAGCATAGATATCGGGTGTCCGCTCGAGTCATGCGTTGTTTGGAAGTATAGGACCAGTCGTGGTAGGTCCCCCGCCGCGATGGGAGCCCGTTCTGTGGGTTTGCCATATCCCGTACCAATCGAAGCCAGGAGCAGTGGGAGTATGGATAGCCCGAGCATACTGATCGTCGTTTGGGGCTGCACTACTCTTGCGAGCAATACTCACGGACTTGACAAGCCGAGCCCCAACTATCAACATAAGCAGAGATTCTTGAGCTTATAAATAGACTCTATTGTCTCAACATGACGGCGTTTTCTCCTTGCGTACCCACGTAGGGCCGAATATACGTTTTGTGACCCATATTCGTGATGGAAACATGTCGAGCGACCATATGCCGAACACGTCTGCGCAAATCACGACTGGTTACGGATCGGTCATGCAGACTCTGGCCCCAGTCTCGTGCTACGCGCCAAGCACATGATGTTACAGTGTCTGGAGACGTTGGCAAAAACCCTATACGCATGCAGACAACGAAAGCGGGATCTGACTGACACGGTCAAGCGACCTAGTGAGACCTTTTCAGCAAAAGTTGGTCGGTGGATGAGGGCCGGCGCAGAGTTGGATAGTAACAACAATCGGAGTCGCGAACCATTCACGTTTCTAAGGGCCCAATAAGACGCCACGGCCTCATTACCGTGATTTCCTCTCGGTTCTTTATTTACGGCGAGATGAGAGGGTTTGGCCAGTGCCGGATTTGAGACAGGGTAGTCACGGACTCACGGACGGGTGCAAGTGAGACAGTGGGACTTGCTCGCAGAAACCCAGTGTCCACACTCCACAGTCCACAGCTCGATTAGCGAGCAACCCACAGCACCCCCGCGCACAGGACGCGCGGGGTGAACCCCGCAATGGTCGGCATTTGGGGCTCGGGCGCAACCGTTCTGGTGGTGGGCGGGGGAGAGCATGCCGCTGGGGAGGTGACATTGGTCATGCAAGCCATCCAGTCCCTGTGACCCGCTCATACCAGAGTGGGTGTTTAGAGCCGCGGCGTTTCCCAAAGGATCGAGAAGTGATGGCGGCCTGCAAGTGACAGTAGTCACAAAGCAACTGCAGGTGACCATGCGTACGGTCGCCGCGTTCACACTGCCACTGCCAAAGCCCCATCAACGATGTGCAATCGTCACAACGCGCCCTCCCGAGTGCCACCAAACTACAAGTTAACAGCACCCCACCGATGTCGCGTGGGCTGGCGTGTCAAAACGCGGCTGTACATGTAACGAGTTGCCTTGGACATCACTCCACTATGCCGCCTTCCGCCATTAACTATGCAGTTGGAATGGCTTCGGCAATTCGATCCGTTGCTCCAATAAAGGCATGAGTATGCCACGAAACACAGCGCGCCCCATGCGTCTGTTGCTCCTGCGTTCATAGCATGACTCCAAGTACGATTGGCATGCTCCCAATTAAAAAGACTATTCTCGACATGCTCAGTATTAATCAGAGTTCTCGCAGTGACTGCCCCCTCTCTGGGTCCCCCAACGGATGTCTCTCAAGTCCTTCTCTCGGCCATCATTTCGACACCGCCGAGTGGTCGATCTTTGTCTCGACCCGGGACTCTGCCTCAATCTCCTCTTGCTTGGAGCCAATTTGGTTGTCGATATCCGTCTGGTTCTCGTACTTCTTAAAGTGTCGCGGCTTCACCCCCTTGGCATAAAGCTCATCGAGCTTCTCGAAGCGCACGCCCTTTGTCTCAGGATAAAGGAACCATCCGAGAACGGATACGATCAGACCCAGGCCGAAAAAGATGAAGCCAACCTTGCCGCCAAGGTGTCCGGCATCGGGGTTGATCTGCGACGATATCAGCGTTATGCCTCTGCCTTTGGTGCTCGGCGACGTACCATATAGGGGATTGTGAACTGCATAATCAGACCCCAGACACCATTGCTCATCGTCACCAACGCCTGCGTGACGGCGCGAAGTCGCAGCGTGGCTACCTCGCTCGCCAGTACGAAGCCCGTGGCACCGATACTGACTTGATAGACGATGGCCCAGAGGTAGATGAAGACCACAATCGCCCAGCCCGCTTTGGCTTGGTTAGGGACGCAACCCATGATTCCAATGAGCAGCAGGAAAAAGCAGAGCAGAAATTGCGACGGGACGATCAGTGTACGGCGACCCACCACCTCGCTCAGAGGGAAGGCGGCGGCAGAGGACAGAAGCATGATGATGTAGAGTACCACGGACGCGTCGAAGAACTGCTTGACACCCAGGAGCTCCAAGAAGTAGGTTGCGTTTCCGATGACAAAGGCGGCACCAATGACTTGCTGCGAGCTGGCTGCGCAAATCGCCGTCAATGTCCTCTTTCGGTTCTGCTTGTCGAAGCACTGCAGCTCGGCGGTTGGCGATGGAAGGAAGCCGAATATCAACTTTTGGGACTTGCTCGTGCCTGTCATCTCTTCGCAAAGACGCACGTCTTCCTGCAGGCGCCGGATCTCGATGTCGTAGAACTCGGGGTTCTCGAAGCCGTACATTCGCTCGAGAGACTTTCGTGCCGCATCGTACTTTTCTTCGCGTACCAGCCAGTACGGAGACTCGGGGAAGAAGGGCCAGACGACGATGAGCATGACTGTCCAGGGAGTTAGCTACGCTCAGTGCTTGTAAACCCCCCTGTGTACGTACATGGATAGATGTACATGCAGATCACGGGGATCCACCACTGCCATTTGGTATCGAGCGAGCTGGTTGCCCGAGCCACGATGACCCTAAGAAGGTAGCGTATGAGCACACGAAACGGCAAGAAGAAGTCGCGGCATAGCGCCGCACTTACACAAGCATCTGTCCCCAGATGATACTGGTGTTGACTGGCTAGGTCAGTATTCACACCTCGACATGGAAGCCGGGTCCTCATAACGTACAAAAGCACAGCCAGAAACCGCGCAGTTCCGGGCGGCACGTCTCGCCAATCCATAGCGGGGAAATTGTAAACATGATGCCGATGGCAATGCCTGGTGCAGATTCGTCAGCGACGTGTCGTCGACAAGTCCGCCGGCCCAAAGGAGGAGAAACCACGCACCGTTGACAGCGCGGCCAGCGAGATGGACGCGCCAATTCGTAGCCAGCTGCTGGAGGATAATGGCAACGACGGAGACGAAAGCCGAAAAGAGGATGAGCGGCTTTCGGCCATACTTCTCCAGCAGAGGCGCCGCAAGCCAAGAGGCAATCACATCGCAACCCAGGCCGATGGCGCCCCAGGCGGACAGGTATGTCGCAGGAATGATCCAGCTACCGTCAGGCTGTTGTACGCCGAAAAATTTCTGGAATTCGGACAGAGCGGCCAGCTGGCTGCCAATGACGTAGTCAAATCCCAGCATCATGGAGCCGATGGACGTCCAAAGTGCTGCCGTTCGGGCGATTAGGAAACTTGGCCCACGAAGCCTGGCGGTGCATGAAGGTACATGTAGTCACTCACCCCAGAGGCCGTAACGCCACTGAACGCGAAGCATCCGCCATTTGTTGGACGGATTGATGACATTGTAGTCGATCCTGTTCGTCATGTATTTAGCATGAGTAAACGGAGGCGGCTCCATGGTACTCACTCTGCAGGCGAAACAGCCATGTTGTGCGATTGCCTTGGACGTATTGGAGCTTCGATGCGCGTGCGGTGAACTCACGACGAGACCCAGAGGCACACTGGCGCTATATATGCTCCGGTCGTACTCGCAGCGTTTGGCGACGGAGAGAGAAAGGGTGTACGTTCGGCTTGAAGTCCTCGCCGGCCACGATGTTATTGACGTCGGGCCACCTTGACGACTAACGACATGCTAGATGCGCCACCAGACATCCCTGGAATCAGCATCAAACAGCAGTAGAAGAGGGACAGAGGACGCGGGGAAGAATCTGGGGATCGCGCTTTGTGAGGGTGACCCCAAGGGGCCCCAGGATGTCAAGCTAAGGTAGTTTAGGCGCACGAAAGCCCTCGCACCATGGAAATAATAGCCGGCTGACGATGATGGCGCTTGCTGATTCTGGAAGCCGAATGGACGACATTGGTCCGTTGAGCCCACCCACCGCGCGGAGTTGGTGCCAACACTCCGCGGTCATACCAAGTGGTGTGCTCGGTGGGGCCATCCGTCCTCGACATGATGACCCGATGTCGCTGCGCGCGGAGCGGGATCCATCAGCTACTGCCAAGGGCGCAGTCTGCCGATTCTCGTTTGGTGGGCGAATTTCTGCTGGTACCCTCCCACGTGGAACTGGCGAACGAAGGTGCTCTCGGCATCGAGATCATCCAGGCGGTACATGCGTGAAGTTTGAAGGAGCCCGCTTGCTCGGTGGGTCAAGCCGTCAAGGATGAAAGAGTCGTCCTGCTATGAAGTACAGCACATTGGGACAAACAGAATGTCCTGTCCTTGCTGCAATGGGGTCACACTTAATCGCACCATAGACTGGATGTTCAACTGTGTATGTACGTGTCTCCTCTACATGTGAGCTCATGATGAAGTCTTGGTCAATTATGACTGCTGGTTCTGCTTCGAAGAGGCCTCGTATCGGCGTCGGACATCCGCAGCCCATTCTTTGTTCTGCGCCGCGCGCTTCCTGCTGTCCGCTGCGCGGCGCTCAAGCCATTTCATCTTATCCGCCACAAATTCATCCAGGCGCTGTTGCCTCTGCTTGACCATTTCTATCTGTTTGTCCGTGAGACTGCGGTTCTCGGACTGCTTTGGTGGCACTATTTCTGCTCTGGGCGGCAGACGCTCGCTGACCGAAGGAATCTCCAACCGGGGGCCTGGGAGGGTCTGGTACCAGCTAAAGGAAGGTCAGCTTTTGGACATGCGGGGGTCCGCCGATGAGAACTCACTATGCTGTTGAGCTCCAGTCATCGCTCAAATGATTGGCATGGCCCGACTCCATGGTCACCTTGATCCTGGTGTTGAAGCGAACGGGGTCTGGAAGGTGCCAACGATACGACACCTGGTAATGAGGCATCTCGCCTTCGTGAACAATGCTTCCCGCAAACGGAAAGGCGTTTTTCTGCATTCCCCAGCCTTGGCTGAAATAGTCTTCGCTGCCTGTCCCGTGCATCGAAGGCGGCCACGTATCGTCGTCGATGAAGATCATATCATCACCTTCGCCCCACCAGCTGCCTTGGAAGTGATATACAGAGTGATTGCATCCGATATAGGCGCCGGCACCCGTCGTTTCTAGAAGCACATAGTTTGCCTTGCCGTCCAAATTGGGGACGTTTGCTTCGAGAGAGTTTGTCTGCAAGTCGGGCGGGGCCCAGCCCGATGTGGGATTCTGGCGTCGCCAGTGCGCGTGGAAGAACAGGGTCTCGGGCCCGTGCGGCTGCAGCTGGATATCGTAGTCGATGTAGAAGTACTGGAAGTACGCGATATCGTTTTGGTTCTCGACTTCGATTCGGGCTCGCTTATTGAAGGGCCTTTGGTGGTGGCAGGGGTCAGTGCCATGGACTGAGCGCTGAGTGAAAGATTGAATACTTACATGGGGAGGTAGCAGTTGAGCGCTGCTGCCCCGCCAAACTTCTTGTCCTCGGTCGGCTTGACGGATGCCGTGAAGGGAAGAGATTGGAAGTTGGCCGCGATGGAGTGGCCCACGCAGAAGAAGTCGCCCAAGGGAGCCAGGACATTGGGCGTGGTCGAGTCGTCCCAGTACATCCGAATGACTACTTTGCGATAGTAGTCTGGGTCCATGACCTCGTAGTTGGCTCCCTGGCCATTCTCAACCTCCTGCATCGCCACTCCAGATTTGGTGTAGGGCACCAGCCCAGGGCCTAGGATCCGGCGGCATGTTTGAACAAACCAGAGATGCGTTATTGTTCCTGGACCTTCGATATCCGCCAGAACAGCCGTCTCGCCGGGCTGCACAACGAATGCATCCTCATTCAGCCCGGAGTGGTCCCAGCTCGATATCCGAGCGCTTCTGGCCTGCTTTTGCTGCGTGACCGCTCCGAGGAGTTCTTGGCCTGTCTCTTATACACATCTAGATGTGTATAAGAGACAGCTTCTGGCCTGCTTTTGCTGCGTGACCGCTCCGAGGAGTTCTTGGCCGAGCATTTTTTTTTTTTCCTGTTTTCGTTCTGTAAGCACACCCGTTGGTCTTGTCGCTTGCGTGTATGCTTTGGAGAAATGCAACGTTCGCCGGCCGAAAGCGACGCAAGCTGGGACGGTTTCCTTATTTGTTTCTACACTGGAAGCCGCAAGGGTGGGCAGGCAATTGTGACGATCCGTCTCCAACCCCCCACTGTCCCTGTCTCGCTACCCGACGTCCCATTCGGGAATAATTTGATGGAGACGGCCCTTCACCCGGCGTCAGCCACGCGGCTAGATGCAGCCTCCCCGCGCATGGCCGGGAAATTCGACGGCCTGGAATACGCAGACTAACGTTACTGCGTGTCTGGACCGGTTTTGATGTGGGGAAACACGAACGCTGGCCGGACATGCCTGACAAGGTGAGCAGCGCAGTCCGGGGTCGGGCAGAATGTGGCAGAGGGGAGGACGCGGACGGGGAACCTTAAAGCTCTCTCCGCACCCCCCCGCGACCTCGTCCCTTCCAAGACAAGACCGTCGCGGACATGTCAACGGCCATCCGCGTCGAGCGGAAGGACGACTATGGCGTCTCCATCACGCGCCCACGCACGGCGGATACGCGTGCTGGCATGCGAGGCGTGTCGCGCCCGGCGGACGAGGTGCGATGGCCGCAAGCCGGTCTGCGGAACATGTGAGACTCGCAGCTGCGAATGCAGCTACCCTCAAGTACGTGGGACGAATCAGACTCTGCTACCGACATCGCTAATCATGGCGGCCCTTTAGGACAACAAGCGTCCGGCAAGCAACAGGTGCGTCTCGCGCTTGTCCAACTTCATGTTGGCCCTCCTGACCTGCAGACGACATGGACTGAACGGCGCAGCAGCGTGGAAGACCAGCTTTCCCAAATCAGATCGCAGCTGGATCGCATTGAAACCACCGTGGCGGCGCGCGGCCCTCCGGAGCCTCGAAGCAATGCCGCGCAGATCCATGCCGTGGCTCCAAGCCCCTGGACCTACCCCGGAAGCGCATCCAGCACCACCGCGAGCCCAGGGTCTCCGGAGAGTGGCTTCCCGTACATGAAGCTTCAGACAAGCGCCTTCACTGGCATGGCCGGCCTTGGCGACGACTACGGCAACATGGTCATTCGGCTCGAGCAGGACCTCCCGGCCGCCACGGCGCCGACGTCGGCCATGTTCGTGCTGCAACATGCCAAGGTCATGTCCGCGCTGCAGAGCTTCTCGGACAGAATCCACCCTTGGTACCCTATCTTGGAAGCCCGATTCTCAGACTGTGTCTCGTCGTTTCTGGCCAACTCCTTTGAGCGAGGCGCTGATGGCTTCCTCGTGCTCATGGTCCTGGCGAGCGGGACCATTGTCCAGGAAGCGACACACAGCGTGGCCCTGGAGCAGAGGCCCGACGCCATGTACTTGAGCGCCGCCATGGAGATGCTGCATCTCGTCTTCCTCGAGCAGAGTCTGCGGAGTGTGCAATGCCTGGTAGCCATGAGCATCCATTACTACCTGCTCCTCAAGCCGCTGCAGGCACACGACCTGGCTGTGCTTGCCATCAAGAAGGCGCAGAATCTCCACTTGAGCGGCGCCATACAGCGCGACAAGGAGAGCATGGAGCATTGGACGCGAGTATACAGGGTCGTCTTGCTCATTGAAGGCGAGCTCGTCGTCCCTCTCCAACTGGCCGACAGCAACGCGTGGGAGTCTGAGGACGACATTGCCCTGCCTACGGGTACGGACATTTGGACCTTTGAGACCGATCCTCAGTCGCCCGCCATGACTCCGCAAAAGACGCGATCCGATGATGTGATAACGTACCTCTTGGCTGAAATAGCCATGCGGCGAATGCTGCGACGAAACACCACTGCCATCACCGTCACGGCAAATGGCAGCGTCGAGTACGCTCCGCTCGTGGCCAAGGAGCTGGAGGCACAGCTCGAACAATGGTTCTCATATCTACCAGAGCCATTGCGCTTCTCGCGTGAGTTTGACGGCATACACGAGGATACACACATGCAGATCTCGTTCCTGCGAACGCAGTACTGGGCCTGCATGGTGTCGTTTTACTGGCCGTCCGTTGTTCAGGTCATGGAGTCTAATCGCCTCACCGATGTTACCATGAACGGGTGCATCACGTACTTTCGCTCATACCGGGAGTTTGTCAGCAGTGCAACCGTGGCTCTGGACGCTTGCCTCCCCAACAAATGGACCTTGTATGCGAGGTTCGTTCAAGATTTCCCCTTTCAATTGAAGATAGGCAACGGCCTCTGTCGGAAAGACTCGAACCGCTAACGGAAGGTGATAGCATATTTGCCATCTCGCTTGGCGCATACATGGGAGCATCGAGTTCCCTACTAGCTGCCACCGCGGGCCGCGAGACATGGGCTGCATTGCGGTTGGCGCGTGATGCGTTTGGGGAGGAATGCCAACGCAGTCCGTCTCTGTCGGTGATGGCTGACAGCATCAAGGCCACGTTATCCAACGTAGAAATGCATAGGCTATAGGAATCTTGGGTGTCATGGATCAGTGTTTTGGGTAGGCTGTCCTGCAAACATGTACTGTCTTGCTACGTTCTTTGCCACGGCAGCGACATGTCCGGTTTCCACGAGCACCACCTCAATTGTCGTAATACACCTCCAGCTCAGCGATGGACGTGAAAAAGAAGGAACCACCCGGAACACCAATGATCTGAATACCGTCACCAGCCACGTCGTCGAACGTGAAGGTGAAGGCCTTGTTCGGTACTGCTGCGTTGTTGTATGGATACTGCGGGTTCACTTGGAGGCCGCTGACGGTGATCCACTGGAAGTTCTGGCGGACTTGGACTGTCAGGTTGCTCGAGAACCACCCGCCATCTGGGAAGGAGCTGCCAGTCGTGTAGACGACGCGATTCATGCGGTACTGCGTAGGCCAGACGTAACCCCAGCGGTCGAGGTTCTTCTGAGACCCGTCCCAACTGTCCTCGCTCAACGTCGCACCATCGTTGAGGTACGTCAAGTGTCCATAATGCGCCGCCTTGCAAATCGGCACGGCACCAGCGGCGCGGGCCAGGTTGGAGGAGCCGGGCTGGTTGGCTGCCTGCGAGGCCGTGTACTTGGTCACCTGCAGTCGTCGCAAGGAGAAGCAGTAATTGACGTCGCTGCCCGCCGCCGCGCCGACAAACCAATTGGACTGAACCCACATGTTCGTCCCGTCCGCCGAGATGAACTTGGACGGAATGGTCGTGGCATAGCCGCCATTTTTCGGCGTGCTCGTGTTCCGGCCAAACCATGGAGTCACGCCGAAGTCCTTGGACTCGAAGAGCGTGAAGGGGCCCCAGGGCTGGGGCGCCTCGTAAAAGTCAAAAGTGTAGTCTGTCCAGCTCGTGTAGATGTACCTCTTCAACGGTGCGTTGTACACGACGCTGCCTTGAGACAGGACGGAGAACCCGTCGGCTGTCTGGTCGCCTGGGTACTCTCGGCGCGTGTCGTGGAGGATCGACCGGCGCGCCTTGATGTCTGCCGTCCAAGCGGGCGAGGAGGCCGAGCCGCTGAAGAATTGCCATTTTGAGACGTCTTGAATGGCATTGATCGGGGCCCGCGCGAGATAGAGATCCTGCGGGTCGGGCACTGACCCTGCCACGGAGTCGCGCCAATTGTTGTCCAGGCCGTAGGCGTACACGTACTTGGGGCCGTCGGCTCCCAGCACGGAGGCTTGCGCCTGGCTCTTGCCAAAGTCGAGGAAGAAGACTGTCGTGAAAGTGTAGTTGGCAAACATGGGAGACTGCGTTGCCGTCCACGTGGCGCCGTAGTTGGTGGACCGCAGGATGCTGGCCGCAGGAACATCGTTGAAGGCGGCACCGTTGGCTCCATAGTTGAGGTCCTGGATGGCCAAGTAGAGCTCGTCCTTGCCGTCGCCGTCACCATCAACGGCTACAATGCCAGTTGGCTTCCTGTTGTATGTGCCAGGCGTCCAGACGGGACCAAGCTGGTTACCTGCCGCCAGTCGCAAGCCGGTAATGCCGGTTTCTGGTGTCCCCGAGATGCGGTTCACCACGGCATCGGCGAAATCGGCTTGGTTGGTCGAGAAGCCGCGCCCGTCACCGTTGGCCGTGTAGAGGTAGTCATCGTCGGCCCAAGTCGTAGGCCACAAGTCGCCGTCACTCGCAGCGATGTTGACGCTTGAAGAATACTCCACAAGGCTGGTTGCAAAGAACGAGCTCGGCGGGGTGATCAGCGTGCTCTTGGGTACGGCACTGACCCCACCGAGGCCTGCCAAGATCGTGAGGGCGCCGGCAAGGCGGCTCCATGTATGGGGGTTGGCCATCTGGCGAACAAATAGATGGAAGGTTCGTGGATATCTCAGCGCGAGCCCTACGCAGACATACTTTACTATCTATCAAGCGCAGGATGAGCGGCGTCAGCTCGGCCTTTATATCCCTCCCGACGATGGAAAGCATCGCAGACCGATCAACTCTCGCTCCCATCGTTATGCGCACATCGCATCCGACCCCTTAGCGGCCGTCGCATTGATGTCGAGCTCCGAAGGCTTCACTTGAGCATGTATCGACTGCCGGCCATACTGGGCGTGAGCTGCCGCGGCGCAGTTGCTGCTCTGACAAGTAATAAGCAGCAACCTTGGATGCACGACCACTGCGTTCACGACCGATCTTGGCACCCCGCACCAGTGTGCCCTGAGCCTGGCGATGATCGCGGGGAAGGCTGTGGGGGTGAGCACACCCTAGCGAGGTTCAATTGAACGCGGAGAACGTTGAGCAATTCCGCGACGCTCTGTAAAATGCGGGGGACGGGCGCGACTCGGCGTGTCATACCACGACGTACACCTAATGATTGTGCGCTCGTCGTGCTCATTGACCGAAAGAATCAAGTTGACAAGCCCAAGCTCAAGCGGGTTTGCCTTCACTGCTCCGCGCTGTGTTCATGGCGCCCGATCAGACGGGGGGACTCTGTGGCAGATGCGATGCGCCAGTAGCTCCGGCGCTCCGGCCAATCGCGCGACTTCGGGTGAGCCGGGTGAGCCATGCAGGTGTGGTCGCGCGACCTGGGTGAGCTAGGCACCTCTGCAGCGTCAGAGGAGGGGCGGCTGGGAGGCAACTTGGTCCTCGCGTCTCAAATGGTGTCGCGATACCTCGACCATCGGCGTCGAGCTACGCTCACGATCCGGCCGTCGCCAACGTGGGCTCGCCACCTCTGACATGTCTAGCAGAAATAGCTCGTCCGCAGTGAGGCGGCAGCGGAACTCTTTACGGGTATCCTGAGCCCAAGCAGACTACGGGTCAGTGTTCAGTTGCTTCATCAATGGCAACCGTGCACGTAGCGCCAGAACTACATGTAGGTGACAACCCAGATCCAGTTCGTGGACAGAGCCAGTCTGGCTCGTTCTCATGCTTGCTCGTCGTGCACCGCCTTGTCATGGCTATAGCACCGTGCTGCCACCGAGAGAAATGTTCAGAAACACCACTCTTGTTGGCAGTCATTTGTTTGTACTCGTCGCGTGCGATGGGCAGCAATAGTTAGGCCTCGGCATAACAGACATTGAGTCGCTATGTAGTCGTGTTCTTAAACCTCTCATGGAGTCGCTAAAGGGCCTTGCACTTTATACCGACTGGGACAGCGGGTGCTCTGGGCAGCGTGGCTGAACAGGCCGACAACCTCTTCCACTCTGTTGGCGTGGGTTTGTCAAGGCTCATGGCAGGGAACTAACTTAGTCTTTGGTAAAGCTGATGGCACACCGCGCGTATGCGTCGCAGGTCCGTCTGGACCAATGGGCGGCGCAATTGTCTTGCCAAGCTGATAGAGTGGCGTGGGGAGAGCACTTGGTGGCTTGGTATGGAGGCGCACCAAGGTCTGCCGCATCAGTGCATGGCAGCGGCCGATGGACATAAAAATGATGAAACGCCCCCGCATCTAAAACTGCAACGTCAATACGTGCGAGTCTGTCGCCATCGAACTTCGTTTCGTGAGCGGGGATTCACTCCCCGATAAGTCACGACTCGCGGGTGGTCGCTGCCATCCGCGACGGTACCGTCTCCGACGATGGAGCTCAATAACCTCAATGTTGCGGGCGGTCCTCCGATTACACATGCTGCCTCGCGCACGATGTGGGGACCGGACTATGACGACGACCAACCACCATGTTTACAGCGACTTCTGGAGAGCTTCAAGCCCGAGAACACCTGTAGCTTTTTCCCCAGCGATCATCTCAGCACGGTCAACAGCGAACCAACTACCCTACGAAGCTATCACTCGTACTCTCATTACGATTTGCACCGCGCGGCAATCGAAACGGCCGACATTGGCCTGGCGCGAAGGCTGAAAAGCCGACATCTGCAGATGATTGCAATAGGAGGTTCGATAGGCACAGGCCTGTTCGTGGCATCCGGAAACGCGTTGCATATAGGAGGCCCCGCGTCTGTACTAATAGCCTTTTCAATCGTCGGCGTCATGCTATTTTGCACGACCCAGGCACTAGGTGAATTGGCTGTTAGTTTTCCCATTGCGGGTTCCTTTTCGTCATGGGCGACGCGGTTCCTAGATCCGTCGTGGGGCTTTGCGATAGGTTGGCAGTACGGTTTATTACTGTCCGTATTTACTGCCAAATGCTGACTCGACCGCCATGTAGATACGCGTTACAGTGGCTCGTTGTATTTCCGTTGGAAATCGTCGCTGCATCTCTAGCGATCCGATACTGGACCGACCAGCTGCCTAGTGGCGTCTCAGTGACCCTCTTCCTAGTTACTATCATAGCGATCAACCTGTTTGGCGTCAAGGGGTACGGTGAAGCTGAATTTGCGTTCTCTATCATTAAAGTTACCGCCATTATCGGGTTCATGTAGGTAGCTTCCCGGACGCGTCGATAACCTCAGGCTAACGTCTTGACCAGCCTTCTCGGAGTTGTACTGAACTGCGGAGGTCCCCCCGATCGTGGCTATGTCGGCACCGAGTTCTGGCATGATCCAGGCGCGTTTAATAATGGTTTCAAGGGTCTGTGTACTGTGCTCATCACAGCCACCTTCGCCTTTGGCGGCACGGAGCTTATTGGTCTGGCCGCCGCGGAAACTGAGAACCCGCGGAAATCACTCCCAACGGCAATCAAGCAGGTATTTTGGCGAATCGCATTATTTTATATCATTGCATTGACGTTAGTGGGTCTCTTGGTCCGCTCCGATGACCAACGGCTCATTGACGCGACTAGCAATGCAGATGCAAATGCCTCGCCTTTCGTTATTGCCATTGAGGACGCCGGCATACAGGTGCTTCCATCCGTCATGAACTCCGTTATCCTTATTTCCGTCTTATCGGTTGGAAATTCCGCCGTTTTTGGATCCTCACGAACGCTAGTCGCCTTAGCCAAGCTACACCAAGCACCGAAGATCCTTGGCTACGTTGACAGAAAGGGCAGACCATTGGTCGCTATCGCACTGGCCGCGGCGTTTGGCCTACTCGCTTACCTTGCCAACCTTAACCAGAGAAACGCCGTTCTTGACTGGCTTCTTGCTATTTCGGGTCTTTCGTTTGTCTTCATATGGGCGTCCATTTGCCTCTGCCATATCCGCTTCCGACAAGCATGGGCGTACCGCGGACGCAGCTTGGAATCTATCCCTTGTCGGTCCCAGATCGGCGTTATGGGCTCATATGTTGGCCTGGCATTAAGCCTCTGTATTCTTGTCGCGCAGTTTTGGGTCGGTGCCTTCCCTATAGGCTGGGAAAGTATGAGTTCAAGCAATGTGGCGCAGAACTTTTTCCTAAAGTACATGGGAGTTCCTATTATCACACTGCTTTATGTCTCGCACAAGCTGATGCTCAGGACAACGTACGTCAGGGTATGTGAAATGGATGTTGATACCGGACGAAAGGGCTTCGATCTTCCGATATTGGTGGAGCAAGAAAAGGAGGAGCGTGCAGCATGGCCCACGTGGAAGAAGCTTTACAAGTTCATATGTTAATGGCAAAATGAACATGTACTTGATGTCCTTGTTGCCCTGCCTCTAGTCTGTTCATCGCCCGTGGGAGCAGGCTATTATACCCCGACGGAGGTTAGAGTGCCGATGTGTACATCAGCCGTCTGGCTACTCGCTTGCGCTTCGTGCCGTCTGACCACTCGCAGGCTCAGCCACTTGCAGGCCACTTATATTATCGCAGTCTCAGTCAGTCTGTTCTGGTTACGCGCTTCTCCGTGGCTAATCATATCGGCCAGCAAATCTTGAAGTGCGTTATGGTGCGGTAGATGTCTGAATCGGAAGAAGCAATAAGTCGCTGAACTTAAGCATGCACTAATAATTGGCTAGCTGCTATGTGTGGACATAGCGCCCGTTCTGAGACACCGGCTTAGTCGGGATAATCGCATTAATAAATGACAGTTTCTTCATCCGGCTATTCCCTTTATACTATAATCCTTATGTCTATTAACGTTTTTAGCGGTAGCGGCCGTGGTGGTAGTTGGCCCACGTGGCGCGCAGGTTGGCGAGGAGCATGTCGGCGGCGGACTCCTCCGGGAACACAGCGTCAAAGTTGCCGGCGTCGAGGTTGTCGGCGTCGATGTGCGCGTGGCAGAGGCCCCGTCGCCGCAGCTGCTCAGCCATTTCGTTGCCCGTCGTCGTCTTGCCGGACCCGGAGCGCCCGGAGAGGACTATCACCTGGATGTGCATTGCAGCAAGGGTGAGGCGCGTGGCGTGCTGCGGCGGGTTTTCGCGCTTGCTTGGCTGGAGCGGACGGCGATGACGACGGGGACGCAGAGCTCGGAGTATCCGCGTCGAATACACTTGATCGGGCATGTATGATATCTTCGGTGTTTTGAGCCCGGAGGGCGCACCGTCAACGGGTACGGTACGTTGCATGGTGACTGGAGCGTCGCGCGGGCGGTGATGTATGACTCAGAGGATCATCACTGTCGGCATCCGCAGAAGGAGGGGGGCATGCGCGGCGAAAACAAGCTGGACAATTGCGGTTCCTTTTTGGGTGCCGTAGACTCGCGATAATGTTCAATTGACTTGACTACTGTTCATGGCTGCAAATACCAGGCATTCCTAGTTTAACGTGTGAACTCAGTTGCGAAGACCAGCGTTATACCACCCACGGCATGCAATGACCTCACGGCCGGCCGAATCGCGGCGTGATTACGGCCTCTCTGTCCATTGAACGTCTCTACCTACACCCTGAAGACCTTGCAGATGAGATGCTGTATGCATGAGCAGACCGAACACAAGGTGGAATAGCAACAATGCTGCAACGAGACTTTTGGTACAGTTTATTTCCCAACCAATGTGCCCCTAAGTCGGCTTCTTTTCTAATGACTTGCCCGGCGTGACCATTCATTACGCTTTACCGAATCCCAGAAAGCCACCATCGCTATCAAATGCCATCCTCCAAGCCCTCAAAAAGTGCCGTCCGGTGTTGACGTGAGGCTCATTGCGCCGAGGATCCGCCAAAGTCAATCTCACGCTCGAGGGCACCACACCATTGCGGATTCCCGCTGCGTCCCCGACCGTAAACGTCTCGCTTGCAACAATTTTGCTTCGTGCCCCGAGCGTGACATCAACGACGGAGCCATTGTTCAGAACGGGGGGCTCCTTGCGGTGCACCTTTGTCCCGAGCGGTAGCGTCATGTACATCTGAGCCACGCCCGTGTCCACAAGGGCAGTTCCGCGTGTGCAGGCGGCCCCGTCGACGGACATGCAGCACCCTATCGCGGCCCAGTCATGCGGGCCGGACCCTTTGTTTCGGAGCGAGAGTTTGAAGAACTTCATGTTGACCGTATTGGCCTTGGTGAGACCGATGGTGATGCCGTCCTTGGTGATACTGTAGCCGTTGCGGAAGCGGGCGTTGCCTTTGACGTTGACCCGGTCGATGGTCCGCACGTTGAGGAATGCGTTCTTGTCCGGGGTGCCCTGCGGCTGTCCATCCTTCTCGCGCCCAAACCCAACGCCGAGAACCCGAATTCCCTTGGGCATGTTGGTCACGGTCGTCTTGGAGCCATCTGTCGGGGTAGCGCAGCGGCTCGTGTCCCGCGTCCTGTTGTAGTTGGGACAATGCGTCCTCGTCTCCACGGCGAGAACCGGGATCCGCGCATGCACTTCAACGCCGGCGTTTGTGAAGTAGAGGTCCCTCGGGATCCAATGTCCCGAGTAGAGGATTTTGCTGCTCGAGAGAAACTCCCAACCGCTGGGGTGTCGAGATGCGTCCGTCTTGTTCCAGCCGGGGAGATCCGCCGCCGACACCACAAATCCGCAGCTCCCCGTGTCGATGATGGGATGGAACGTCTTGGATGTGTCGCCGCTGCGAACCTGTACCGCTGTTCGGACGTCATCGGTGAATGGCACCCGGTCATTCGCTGTTGACGGGTCAAAGGGGATAAACGCTTGGATTGTGAAAGCCGTGTAGACGGCCTGCGCCACAGCCGCGGCGCGATCCACAGGCCACATTCTGCGTTGTTGATATCGCCGCGACGCCCGTGAGCAAAAGGGGGCAGCGGTCCTATTAGGGCCAGTGCGGAGGACAATGGATGTGATGGCGGCGACACAGTTTAGGCACAAATTGAAATGATGTCGTGGGAAGAAATGGACGGAGTTGGACGAAGTCTTGCAGAAGAATGATCAGCAGCTCGCAATAGCTCACCCAGGCATGTCGCATATGGATCAGCGGTGCGCATTCCCGACTGCATGTGGTGGCTGACAGGGCCATGTCAGTCCCGAACACTCACTTCTTCGGTACTCAGCCGCACCGCGTGGACCCCTGAAAATAGTCATTGGGGTCGGGGCAGAGACTTGGATAATTTTGGTTGTCATTTCGGATAACGCGGCGTAATTCAACCTGCCGGTTACAGAGTAAGCACAGCCATTTGAACCACATACTGTTACATCCGTGTGCGATAGTCAAGTAATACGACAGCAAGTGGCTCCGACTGTGGAGAGAACGAACGGAAGTGTCGGCTTGTTGATATCAATGATATGTGCTCTTGCGGTCTCGGGTTGGTTGACAGTCCTGCAGGACAACGATAGGATTCGAGTTGGAAATGCACTTGCTCAATGCTGACCACATGACAATGGGGCGCCTCAACACGCGCGTCGATAGGTGCAGCGTTGCTCTTATTGTGCGGGTTAAATTTCCAGGAGATAAAGCACAAGCTTGCTCAAATACATCCATCGTCGGCCTCGCCGGCACGAACCGCCGCACTGCATGTCCACTGAAGTCGTCATTGTACTCATGAGCTCACGCGCCAGGCCGAGGCCGACCAGTATCAACACCCGGATAACACCTAACAAAAGTGTCATTGTTTTGAATCGCCCGTTTATTGTGCAAGAACCGGAAAAGGCGCGATTTGATCTAGACACATGGTACAGTGTAGGAAAGCGGCTTCGGTGGGGTTCGATATCTCTCGCCAGAGGCCTCGCTGCCTCATACTCGAGTAGAACCGACCCATGTGAGATCCTGGACGAGCTGGCTGAATATGTGGACAAACGGTAATCGGACTTGATTCGCCGGAGTTCCGTATCATCTCCCTACCGTGGGAGCTATTGACTCGCCGTCGGGGGAACTGTCTAAACTTGCGTGGCTAGCCAGAAGGTCCCGTCACTCTCGAATGCTACTGCTTCCATCGCCATGGCGTGCGTACATGCGCATCGGTGGGAGTTGCACATGTGCCTCAATTCGGCAGCTGGGCCTCCTCTTTCTGCGCCACCTGTCGTGTGCAATGGTTCGAGTGGGACGTCTCGAGCAGTTTGGGTGTTGAAGAGATGGCGTTGTATGTCCCCCCCGGACTGGCGGTCCCGTAGTATTGAATGATCGACTCCATTGTGGGGATAGATCCTATCTAATTCCTCGGCTGACGACAAGGCAATGCCAGCGATATAGTTACTCTGCCTCGCCTTGTGTTAACCTCAACGAATCGATCCTCCATGGCGAAGACCTAAACGGCAGGAAAGATTGAGCGTCATTCTCTGTTTTGGCGGCGGCGGAACCCGGGCTGAAAATATGCTGCTTTATCTTGTACTGTGTGCGGAACGCACGGTCGCAGGTAAGCTTTTGTCTTGTGCGGCTGCAGGTCGAGCTTGACGACTCCTCGACGCCAATGGTGGCTAGTTTATACAGGGGTCTGCGAGTCGGTGACGTTACGCGTCCCTTTGCAGAGCCGTACCGGTGGAGTTGCTTCGGGTTTGAGTGGCTGAATAATGGCGGCAGATCCCAGCAGCGTTTTGCAACAGGTCACGTTCCGTCGGGCATACTACGATCTGCTCGACGAGACGGAGCGGCAGCGCGAAGAGCACGACAGTCCGCATAGTCACATAGTCCCTCGACCACGATAGCAGGCATTTCGTCCAAAACACCAGCACCCTCCATCTCGAATGCAACCACACCTTCTTCCTTTGCGATCCTGTCCCTGTCAGCGACAGACTTAACTACTCTATCACGAGATGCAACAGCGCCAACATGGACCGCCAGCTAATGGGCATCGCTGCCGTCATGCTCCATATGTTGCTTTGCCTGAAGCCGTGCTCTCGTAACAAGGTACCCGGAATCGCAGCCTAGATCAGTGCACGACGAGCTGAGCACCTCTTCGCAAACTGGGTCTGAGTCACTGAGCAATCGCGGCAGATACATTTGGGCGATACGTGATGCTTGTGACGGTAATTTGGCTCAAATAGTCTGTCCCTCGCTGCCCCAGGGCCGTCTTATTTTCACCATATCCCAGGCTGCTCTTCGAGTTGAGTTTCTCTCTGAGCGCTCCAGTTTCTCGTCCAACCTTCATTTGTCGCTGGACCGCTGGTTGTTCAAATACACACTGCCTGCTAAATCGCCCTGTGAATGTCCATGGTGAAGCAGACAGCATGAAATTCTTGCGTCCCATGACTCTCGTAGTTTGAGATTTCGAGGTCATGGTCCCTATGCCTTCTCTCCGATCAACACTCTACCCAATGATCCGGTACTCTGGAATCAGTTCGAGTTCCGACCTCTTGGGCCCGGCGTCCATCGGAACAGAGATCCAAACAATTTGAGCAAACGGCTCCCCGGACTCTTCGTAGAGTGGAGTCTGCACCTCACAGCTGTGGGCAGGTCTTTTAACAAAGCAATTATCGTGATAGACGTCATTGAACTGGGCGCACCCGCCGATCGGGCTGGCACATTGATCGTGTTGCCCGGCGCAGTCAAGCATCGGCTTCCAATGGCAGAATCCGGTCACTTTGACATGGAACGTCCAGGTCTCAATGCGGCATTCGTGACGAGGTTTGCACCACATCTCGTAGGAGACTTGTCTTGTGTCCGTCCTGCCGGTGGTGCTGGTGTCGGAATATGATGCGGAAATCTCAGCGCCAACCGAATTTCCGTCTTCGCCGACTGTTCCGGATATCTTGCCCCCAATAGTCCAGCCTTGAGTTCTGGATTCCGTGATTGATGTCGACTTTGATAAAACTAATTTCTGAGTGACGTTGCTATCGGTGTTGATCGCACTTTCTTCTAGAGAGGCTTTGTAGTAGACTGTCGCAGTCCCATTTGCCAGCCAATTTCGCCGGTATTTTCCAAGGTTGGGACACTTTCCCCAGTTTTGCACGCACGTCCCTTCCCAGTACTTCTCTGAGTCAAGGTATGGTGGACTGGTCTCGTCGATTTTGAAGTTGCTTTCGATGTGGGATAACACTTTCATGGCATCCGCGCCGGTATCTGCAACGCCGCTGCAAGCACCTGAAGCAAACATGGCGACCAAAATAAGAGCCCCAAGAGTCATTTCGAAGAGGGTATAGATAGCCATTACGCTGGGGATGCTAGCTGCCACGAGAGTTGAGTGTGATAAGCTTGACCATGATCGATTGAGACCGGCCGACATGGCTGCTTTTATAACCGCGCAATGCTACGCTCTGGATCCCCCGAGGCATGTTGCGTGATTTCCATTGACCATTTGAGCCCCGTATACAAAAAGGACCAAGGGGTCGGTCATCGCTGCCCAAACGATACAAGTAGAGTAACAATATATGGATCGTCGTCCTTGGCAAGCCGCTTTCATGCAGTACGTAATATCACCGTCAATAGGTGATTTGGTGACGAGTATTGTGGCTGTGTAGGAGGGCTCTCGTGTATGTTAAGCCATGCCCTGTGTTGCGTAGTAATGCTAAGTACGACTATACCTACCCTGACTACTGAGTCAATCCCCGCGGACGACATTAACGGGCCTCCGACGGCGACTGGGGCGTAACACGCCTTCGGACTAGCACACCGTGAAGTGGGCTGAGGGACTATCTTGGCGCAATTAAGGCAGCCCGTGCCTGTTCTCGCTACAGCGTCTTGTCACTTGCCTGGTGACAGGCCCTAGCGGCCGCGGGGATATGACTCGGTGCGCTTTAGTGCTGAACGGATACGCGTCGTCGGGAAGAAGGAATACTGTAGCCAGCCCAGAGCGCAAAAGCGCAGTTGTTGCTGTCGGACGATATACCCTGCGGGGGACGGGCGCCTGGAGCTCCCCGTCGTTCACCATGTTCCTGTTCAGTGGCGAGCGCTGACGTGGACTGCATACGGGGAGAATTCCTCCGTTAACAGCATCGCTGGCAAGTACGGACAGGAATATATTTACCCTGGCTATATTGATATGGCGGGCCGTTCAAGCGCTTCGTAAAGCAGTGCTCGACGGGGCGACATCGACTTCCTTCAGCAGGCACAAGACCGGGGCAACGAACTCGACGGTTGCAATGTAGTAAAGATCGGCAGAGCCATGACTAGGGCGTAATATGGCGCCCTTCATGGGTACATGTAATTGGCTGAGCTACGGAGCCCTGTTGAACTGTCATTTGGAACGGCTGCGTTGTGGCGGAACAAAGCGTGCTTGAGATCCTGCCGAAGGCTTTGACCTGCCGATCGTCTCAGCCACTGCAGCCGACCTGACACTGCTCACATCCAATGAGTTGGTCGAGGTGCTATCTTTGCAATCATTGCTGGAATGGACGGCTACACAAAATCTCGAAAACGAAAGGCTTTGTAGCAATTTACCTGGCGCAGACATCGCTGCAACCAACTCTAGCGGGAATTAGCAGGGGCGGAGAGCTGTAGCTCTGTCCTCCCTCGGCAGCCGGCTGACGATCGGCGACCATGGTCAAAAAGGCACCGCAAAGGATATGTGCTGTAAATACCATTGAGCTCGACAATATCAGTTCACATTCACGCGTTGACTGTTCTCTCTTTCCGAGCAGCTCAACGGATCTGGATGAGCGCCGACGTTCCCTAGTAGTTCACAACAGAGTACGGGCTACAGTGCGCCCGTATTCTCCATGAGTATCGCAACAACAGCTTTGGTGGGATAGTCTTGACACTTCCGCGCCAATCGAACTCTGTCTATCAGTCATTTAACTCTGTTGCTATTCTAAATGGCACATAGATGTTCTAAACAGCGCCTTATTGATCATCTCACAAGGCCGGCTGCTCCACTGCACGGCCGTCATACCGGAAACCAGCATTCGAGGAACGAATCTCGCCCATGAAGGAAGGCGTCAGTGATGGAGGTTACTCACTATTTGGCGTAGTATCTTAAATTGAACAGCATAACCTATGTGGGAACAGTACTGTATAAAACCCTGGATATATCTATTTCTATCGGCCCACCCAGTAGTTTATATATCTTTGCGAAGTTTGCCTCTTGCTACCGGAATGCTTAGTAGTGACGAATCATTACGACTATATCTTGACATGATTAGTCGTGCAATCTTGAACATTTGCCTTGAGATGTCCTCTTCCTCATTTGTCTCCGCAGCTGTTCGTTAAATCCGTACGTCAAGGCATTGGCTAGTCCAACGAACTGTGTTGATGACTGTAGGGCTGCCAACCATCTTGGTGAGCCCCCCGTCGATTCGGCAAGGCGATTCGCGATCCCGGGGATCCAGAGCACGATGTACGCTATGGGATACCCATTCATAAGAAGAATCTTTCGAATATCTGGTGATGCTGGTACTCGAGAACGATTTCTTGCCCTGATGGGCGAGATGTCGACAGCACGAACAGGAGCGGTGTTCTCGGAACGTATGTGGCTACCACCATCTTCCGTAGAAGGTAGTGACCATGTTGTTACGGTGTCGCTGATGGCACTTCCTTGTTGCCCGTAGGTTCGATTTGGTCGATTGTCAAGTTCGTGCGATATAGTAAACGAAGTAGTCGCCAATATACCCTGAGTGTCGGAGGGATCGTTCTCCAAGGCATCCCTGGCCATGCTCCGATTTCCGGTCGTGGACGACAAATGTTGCGACATTCTAATCTTGCCAAAGACTCTTTTCAGACGAAAGTAGATGCAAGAATAGATAGCAATGGTAGCTATGAAAATGGCTATGCGCCACCCATGCGTAAGAGCGTAGCGGAGGCCTAGGTGACTTGGTTTTATCCAACACCAATTCCCGTTGACGTATCCGTAAGCATCGAGTCCGAGGCCGACATTGCCTGTTGTGTTGCTCTGTTAGCTTTTCGATTCTACTCTTGGAATGAGCCTGAAATCTGTATACTTGTAATCAAGCCTGGGATCCATGCCGACGCGCATACGAGTCCAGTTGTCCAGCCAGACGGTGCTGTGTTCTGGCGATTGCTGGAGACCGTGTATAGGACGACTATAGATATCACCAAGATATTAAAGTCGACTGCCTGAACCGAAAATTGACCGATCCACGCATTTGCAATGCATCTGCTGTCGGCTGGGGCCGTTGAATCGTAGCCGTTTGCCAATATGATGCTGCCGGAAACCGTGTTATTAAGACTATTGATGAGATCTAGTGGTGGCAAGGTGAGAATCTTGGTCGTCTCGAATCCTGCAAGGATGGCCTACCTGCGATAAGGAGATTGATGATAAGCGCATGGCGGAAATGACGCTTTGGTGGGAATGCGGCGTGCAAGCCGATTACGGCCAAAGAAGCCAAAAATGATAGGAGAGAGCCCACAAAGGTCGGGACAGCAATAATTTTGTCAATCGATGAGGTGGCCATCCTGGTAGAATACGAAATATTTGCTATTGCGGAACACAGAAATACTTGTACGGTCATGCTGGGCAACGTGGAAGACGTGTCCTTACAATATATTTGGGTTTCATCAAGGGGTGAATAAAAATGTAACCTGACGAGTCAGTCGTGTCAGAGTGCTCCGTTCGTCAGGTAGTGATTTCAAGCAGCGGAGGTCCCTCGACAGGGGTAGCTTGTCAGAGGCTTGCGCTGTTCAAGCGGGACCGGCAATCGCTCCCCTAACAAGGTGCACCTTAGTCGTAACTTGTAAGATCCATCGACTGCTGTGGGGTCTGTTGAAGGAGTCGCGGCCTGTTTGGACGCATTGTGGAAGGACTTTGGGGCCTCGGGGTTGTGTTTGTCCGTTGGAGCACTTGTAGAGCGCGCCGCTCTCCCAAGTGGGCCGGGCGTTGATGAGTCTGCTGTAATTTCCATCCCAGCTGAATCCTGATATCGTTGGGCAGCCGCTACGTGCTGGGCGAGGTAGTGATGAAGCCAGCCTCGCGTGCGAGAGGACCAGTGGGCTCAATGGTGACAAGCCTCTCAGTGAGCTCAGGGCACGCATCAGCTACGACAAGGTTCGGCCTTTGCTATCGCTGCGGAGAACACGGGCCCGCCGGCTTTCACGTAGCGGCGCATCACCAGCGGCCCAATCGGTCGTGCATTGCCAATGAACTGGACGTTGGGGCCGTAGAAGCAATCGCAAAGGAAATCGTGAAATGCACCATTCGCCAGGCCATTGGGGTATGGGAGATGGATTGCGACCAAAGCTGCAAGGCTACGTAGCGGAAAAATGCTGTTCAATGATATTGGCAGAGGCCGCGGGATGTCTGTTCGGCGACCCGGGCTTTCGTCCCTCGTCGGACGCATTGTACACCGCAACCACAGCCCACATCCACAGCTCACTTCTGGCAGGTTCATGTTGGACGTTGTTCGTGTTGAGCACCGGATCAGTACCGGCCGCCGTCGTGATGTTGAACTGGCTTTTATGGATTGATGCCTACCTTCGCAGCCCACTCGACCAGGCCAGGGCATTGGAGACGAGCTGATTTGGTTAGCCCTTTAGCATGTGCAGCAGCCGAGCAAAGATCCAAGGTGGACGAGAAGAAAGAGGTGCGAGTAGTTCCGAGACATGGACCGACGAAAGCAAAACTCCCCGCGCGTTTCCCGCAGGATTACCCCGCCGCGTTGCCCTTCTGCAAGTAGATATACGAGGGCTCGTGCTAACGGGCCAGGACAGTACTTGTACAGGGGAGTGAATCAGGGATGAAATCCCCAGTGTCACTCACCGGTTGCCAATTGCTTGCCCTGACGAACACAGATCTTTGGTTATGCGCTCAGCGCGCTTTCCGAAACGGTGCAGACGGTAGGACTTTGCGAAGTGCCGCGAGACTGATCATACTAGTGGCGGGGACAGCTGACTCGCCCACTTGGCTCGCTTGCAGGCCGGGCGAGCTGGACAACGGCAGAGAGTGATGAGTTTGCAGATCAACAGCCCTCGACCCACCTACTGCCGAGCCGAACACGATACAGGGCTTCGGAGGACCTCGATCAAAACCACTAGTCACTACGGAATGTAAGCCTTCGACGAACGGGGTCCTTAATCCAATAAAAAATCCTGGAGTCTTTCTAAGGACTTGAGTTCCGTTCGGGAAAGGGTCCAATAGCCACACTGCAGTCCGTCTAATGTCCAGCTTCCCCTCCAGGCTCTCTCTTCATGGGGCTCGAAGTGATGCCGAGCCCAAAATCTTGAACATCCAAAGTCCTGAACCCAAACCGCCTGTACAATGCCTTCCCATCGGGCTGTGCGTTCAAGTACGCCATCCACCCATCTTCATCCACCCTAGTCAGTCCGAAGCGCATCAACTCTCCACCGATGCCCCTGCGCTGATGGCTCTTGCGCACAGCAATGGTGCTGAGGGCCCAAAATGGGCGACCCTCGGTATATCGCCTAGTCGCTTCAGAGGTTGCCGTTAAGAATCGCACCGCGAGTCTTGGGTCGCCTGTTTGCGGAAACATATCCTCGTTCAAGATGGGCGGTGCGGACTCAGTCCCCGGGCCAGCCACTGGCCGACGTATCCAGCGCGCCCATCCAGCGACGACAGGTGCTCCGGATGACGTGTCTTCGGCGACAACTAAGTGAGACTCCGTATCCGTGAAGCCACTTCCTATGTATATTGCTGTTCCTTTGGCGGATTCTGGGTCAGAAGGCGGAAAGCAACGGCTGTGCCATTTCCCGTCGGAGAAGGCATCGTTGAATACCTCGATCATGTCTTCTAGATCATTGGGCTCGGCGGCGCGGAGAACAATGTCGGATAGCATGGTGAAGGGCTGATGAAGTATACGGTAATGTCACTGGAGTAATTAAAGTAGAGGTGAGTGTGTTGAAAACCTGCTTTGCAGTGAGAACGCGTATTGCATATATGTTAGGTTCATGTTGCAGACCCCGCTTCAGGTATTCAGAGAAATATTTTGCGACTGCAACTGAGAGTAAGAGTCGGGCAGTCAATCGGCCGGCTGTCACTAAAACTTAGCTTACTGCTCGTGGGGCCCACATTCTGCAGAAAGCAACCCTCTATTGATATGCCTTAGAGCCAGCTGCTATTGAGATTATTTCGCCTGCTGTATATGTTGGGCCCGCATCCTTACAGTCTCCTATGCAAGCTCGTCGACCCTGAATTCCCCAATGTTCTTTGTCAATTCCATGGACTTAAGCCTATTTGCGTCTGGTCTTTCTATGACGGCAACTTTGCTGCGATGACCTCACCTCTAATGCCTTTCATTACTGACAGGCCGCACTATTTTACGGGCATAGTATAAACCAAGGCATTTATCTTCCCTCTCGGGTATTCCGGATGTCTCAGTATGTATTGCTTTGCCTCTTTCGGTTATATGAATCACACGGATTTGCCATCCCATAGTCTGTGAGGATGGCTCCTAGGCACTTAGACATCTAAGCTAGGGGAAGCCTAAGCTAAGACAGCTCGCCCATCCTCTTGTGCTGTAGAGATGCCTGGCTCACCTAGTCGCGCGACCACACCCGTCTAGCTCAATGGCTCACCTAGTCATTCGAGCCCGTTGCCACGAGCTCTAAATCGTGCGAGAAGGTCACTGACCTGACCGCGGCGCCATGGCTCTTGAACTTCTGCGTCTGCTCGCCCATATCGAAGCGCCATAGCCGAACCGTGCTGTCGGATGATCCCGACGCCACGAGAGCCGAGTCGCGTGAGATGGCCATTGAGCGGACCCAGTTGCCATGGCCTTCTAGCGTCTCCATGCATTCACCGGTATCAGCGCGACAGAGTCGGATCGTCCTGTCATTCGAACCCGAAGCTACAATCGCCGATTTGTGCGAAAAAGCCACTGACCAAACTGCGGCACCATGGCCTTTGAGCGACCGTATACCGCCCAAGTCTGACCAGATTTGCGCCAGCGACATACATACGTCTGGGCTGGTTCAGGGTCGACTGATGGCTCCACGCGCTTAAACGATAGAACCTCACCCATGCTGCCCTACGTTCATGCGCCCAAAAGCTATGCTCTGCATGCCCTGCGCATGGCACAGTGTCACGCAACATGAAGGGATCATCGATGAAACGACCCAAAGGCTGCGCCGCGTTGGCTGCTCGTCCTCTGGATCCCTTGAATCTCCCTTGCATCTCAGCAGCCAGATTTTTTCTTGGTCACGCAGCACTCAAAGTTGTGATGGTACCTTGACTTGCCCGATTCGCAAGCTGTTTTTCATGGCCGCGCGACGCGATGCTTTGGGCTCTGGTATGTCAGCAACACTGTATCAAGTTATGAGACCTTCCCCCTCGAAGGCGAGGACCGAGCTCATATTGCCTTCTCCATTCGGTTCGGCCGCCCCGGTTCCCCAGATGAGTAGACCCATCCATTGATGGAATTATCCAGTCAGCTGGACGAGAGCGCACGACGTGGCCATGGACACCGTAGAGTATTGCTGCCGTACCAGGCCTTTCATGGTGATCGCGTATCGCGGCAATCATCAATGATTGCGGCTCACGTCTTGCAGACTGGAGACGCCTCGTGCTCTTGGATGATGAGCTCGGAAAGCGAACCGCTGAAGCTCCTGATGTGCATGGTCACACATGCATTCTTTACCAAGCTCTCTTCTCCAACGAGACCATCGTCTGTTGTAGCCCGTTCGTCGGACTCTTGATCACACACCGTCGAATTTGTTACCACTCTCGGACCTCGCGATATCGCGAGGAAGGTGAACCGACTACGGAAGGTACTTGCACCAAATGCCAGCACGCCGTAGGGGAGGGATGACAATAAGCAAAAGTCGGAGGACAGGATAGGAAAAAGTGTAATCGGACGTCGGGCCTAGAGCACCACGCCCCCACCTCCACCACGACGCAGTCATCGGGGCTCGCGCCAGGCTTGTCCCGAACGAGCATGTGGTTGGATTCGGGCCAAGCCGAGCTGGCGCGCCAAACCTTGCACCTTGTCGATGAGGAAAGGTTGCATTCTAGATGTGGTCAATGCTGTCCGGGACCTGACTGATCTGTTTGCCAAGACGAGGCGGTTCGTCCGGTCCTTGGAGCCGGTATATGTCCGCCGGGGTACGACTAAGTCGATTCGGCAGTTTGCGGTCACAAGACGAGCGATATCGCCATCATCTTCGCATTCAAGGGGATCACTAGCCGGACCCAACAAGGTAGGAATCCCTGTTCCCAGCGTCTTCCTGACTTGGTAGGTGACTTGGCTTGGCCTGAGGCTCCTCCTGACTCCGGCGGCAATCATGGAGGCTTCACCATCACCAGATCTCATAGACCAAGCCAACATGTATATAAACCATGGACATCGCAGAGTGTTTGTCGTTCCATCAGCCCAAGGACCTCTCTTGATCCAAACTAGCAATTCATTCACAGTCAAGTCCGTCAAAATGCGTCTCTCCGTTCTCGTGTCCCTTCTGCCCTTTGCTGTGGCCAGCCCGACGCATCGGCGCGCGGAGCCCGCCCCGTTGCACGTCCCGACAACGGAGACCAGCAACCTCATTGCGGACAAATACATTGTCAAGTTCAAAAAGGACAGCCCTCTTGCTGTACTGCACGACGCTGTCAAGGAACTCAAGTCGAAGCCTCACCAGGTCTTTGAGAACGCCTTGACTGGTTTTGTCGGCAAGCTTGACAAGGCGGCCCTCGAAGTTCTTCGGTACCATCCCGATGTACGTCTTATACGCGCTCTTCCTCGCTGCGACTGATCTGACCTCGGTATACAGGTTGACTATATTGAGCAGGACAGCCTGGTCACGGCCAGTGGCTTCGTGGCACAGAACAATGCGCCCTGGGGTTTGGGCAGGATTTCGCACCGCCGCGCAGGGTCTGGACAGTACGTCTACGACGACAGTGCGGGCCAGGGAACCTGCGCGTACATTATCGACTCGGGCCTTGACGGGTCGCACCCCGTACGTTTATGCTGGCACTTACTCGGTACCCCATGAGACAAAATTTTTGGTTGACCGGTCCGCGCAGGAATTCGAAGGCCGTGCTCGGCTCGTCCGATCATTTGTCCCCAACTCCCAGGCCGACACCTGTGGACACGGCACCCACGTCGCCGGCACCATCGGCAGCCGAAGCTACGGCGTCGCCAAGAAGACGCAGCTTTACGGCATCAAGGTGCTCGACTACGACCGCGGGAGCGGCAAGTGCCTCGGGTCCAACTCTGCCATCATCTCGGGCATGGAGTACGTCGCCACGGATGCGAGACAGCGAAACTGCCCGAACGGAGTGGTGGTCAACATGTCCCTTGGCGGCAGCTACTCCCAGGCCCTCAACGATGCCGCGGATGCCCTCACCCAAGAGGGCTTCTTCGTCGCCGTTGCTGCGGGCAACGACAACATTGACGCCTCGAATGTGTCGCCGGCTTCGGCCCAGTATGTCTGCACGGTCGGTGGCACTGCGAAAAACGACTACCGATACTCGGGCAGCAACTACGGCTCGGTCGTCAACATCCTCGGCCCAGCTGTTGATGTCTACTCTACCCTGCCGGGTGGTGGAGCTGTAAGTCGCACAATACATCGAGCGACGGCCATGGTATGACGTGCCTGCCTACGACATTTGCTAATCCGTTTCTACAGGGCTACATGACGGGAACGTCGATGGCTACGCCCCATATTGCCGGTCTCGCAGCGTATCTGGCTGCTGTGGAAGGTCAGCGCGCGTCTCCGGCGTCGTGCAAGCGCATGCAGGACCTGGCCACGAGGGGTGCGATTGCTGACCAGCCCTGGAACACGGTGAACCTTCTCGCCTTCAACGGCAACCCGTCTGGCTGAGTGTGATGGGATGGGATGGCAAGTCGATGCGACTTCTCATGACATGATTGCTGCCCATGCAGTGGGATGGTCCCGAGGGCGCGCGGAGGGTCCTCGTGTGACTCCTTGCTCGTCCACCAGACGCGTCCAGCTCCCTCATTCCAGGCGCAGCCTCCCTGGCTTGCTAGCCAGTCTTATGACAGCGATGTTTTGTTACAATGATCGTTCTATACTTCTACTAGATGAGTTGTTTATGGCACCTGACCAGTATAAAGTAGCCCGGGGCCGTTCCCTTGCACACCTTGCATACTGTACATGCCCTGTGCTCCAAGACGTCACTTCGCCCAGTCTCGCTGTTGAGGTCAGGTAGCACCCCCCTGCGTTCCAGATCCTGTGAGCCTTTTCGCTGCCACCCATTCGTGTCGCCCGCCACCTCTGAACTCGGGGCTCTTTATAGGACATCATTTCGGTGTACCATGCAGCCAAGCAGAGCTTGCCCGAAAGCCCTTTCAACGAGCCATACAGGCCAATTGAACCCTGTAGCGGCCACGTGCTTGCAATTGCCAGGAGGCTTTTTATTACTTGGCAATGCTCGACTTCCCGCTTGCTCTGCTCTTGGCGAGAGCGCCCGAGATGCCGAACTGGGAACCGACACCGTTGATGCGGTGCGTCGAGTTGAGGTTCTTGACGACCAGAATCTGGAAACAAGTGGCGCTACCTTGGCGAGAAGCAATGACAGACCAGGCCATGAAGAGCTCCCAAATCTAGAACATCGGTCAGTCACCTGGTTGTGTCATGTGTCGGGTTCGAACTTTGCAAATGAGACGTACGCGGTACCATCGCTGGCCGTACTTGGCCGTGATCTCCTCCTTGTTGCCGACCCAGTTTCGGTACCACCTCCACAGGGTTGCGGAGTAGTGCACACCGACGGTGTCGACGCTTAAATCATGTCAGTACAGCGCCCCATTCGTCTGACTTGAATAGGCCATTCTTACCTCTTGATCTCAAAACCGGCCATCTCGAGGGATCGGGTGTAGTTCCAGAGAGGCGTCGAGGCATCAGCACCTCGGAAGATGTACTTGTTCAGATACAGGCCCCAAATGAAGTCCTCGTACTGCCATGCCTGTCGCAGGCCGGACAGCTGAACGTACATGGAGCCGTCATCCTCGAGCATGTCGTAGCACTGGCGGAAAAAGGTCGTGAGTCTCCGGATGCCGACGTGCTCGCCCATCTCGAGCTGCGAAATCTTGTTGTACTTTTTGCGCGGCGCATCGCGATAGTCCATGCAGATGATGCGGCTCTGCTCCTCGGGGACACCAGCGCGGCGCAGAACGTCGTTGCCCCAGGCGGTCTGGTTCTCGGCAATGGTGAGGCCCGTGACCTTGGCACCGTAGTTGACACTGGCGAACTTGGCCAGCGTTCCCCAGCCGCAGCCAATGTCCAAAAGGGTCTCGCCCTCCTTGAGCTCAAGCTTCTCGCAGACAACAGCCATCTTGTTGTCCTGCAGCTCCTCCAGGGTCTCCTCCTTTTCGGTGTCCGAGATGATGCCGCTGGTGTAGATCATGCGAGGGCCAAGGAACCAGGCGTAGTGGTCGTTGCCCCGGTCATAGTTGGGGCGGATCTGCTCCATGTCCTGGTCCCGGGTGTGCAGGGCGACGTCGCGGAAGAAGGTGAAGATGATGAACTTGAACAAGTCCCAGGTGAAGCTAAAGTTGGACCAGTCGTGGCGGTACTCCAGGACGTCGAGGCAGTCGCCGTTGAAGTCGGCCTTGCCATCGACGTAGAGCTCAGAGAAGGTCTGGATGGGGACCGTGTTCCTCCCGCTCCACTTGGCCTTGTCCGCGGGGTCCTTGAAGGTCACGTACTGCTCGACACCGCGCCCAGGGAGCTGGACCTTGTCATTGACGCGAGGGCTAAAGCGCGAGGCGTAGGTCCAAAAGGCAATGAGGATGGGGAAGAACAAGACGATGATGAAGAAGATGGTGGTCTTGAAGCCGCCGCCCAGAAAGCGCGCAAGCAAAAATGGCACGCCAACGAGCAGGATGATCAAGGCCAGGTTGGAAAAGCTCACATTGCCGGGTCCCTCAGCCGGCAACGGGGCATTGTGGATGGCCGCAGACTGAGACGAGGGTCAGCAAGGTTCAATGGGGGAGAGCGGCCGCTGAACGGGCATCCTCGAGGCTCACGCTGGTAATGGGGACGCCGCAATCCTGGGTCGACTCAAACGCCGACGGCTGCGCCTTGGGGGTCTTGATATACCGGATATCGCCCTCAAGCTCGGCTTTGGAGGCCATGATGAAGCTCTCCGAAGACGGCAATACTACTGACGGGGTTCGGTTTTGCCAATCGCTGTCACCTGGGAAGCTTGCGGCGCGAGGGAAAGCGGTGATGATGCCAGGTCTGGGAAATTTTCGGTGGGAAGCTCCTCCCTGGTTTAAAACTGGCGGCGTGGCCTCTGTGCCGGCGCGAGCTGCCCCGCTGCGAGCGGAACCCTGCCGCCTCGGTGGATGTGGCTGGGAATCTTCGGCTCCCGAGGCTGCCCCAGCCCAGCCCCGTACCCAAATCGCGGCCCTGGGAGCGGACCCCGTCCGCTTCCCAACCCCGATTCACCGTCGGCGTGATGCGTGTCCACATGCGTGTTTCGCGGTAATAAAAAGGGGCCACGTCCGGGCCGCGTGAGGCGCAGCCACGGAGCGGCCCTTCTTCCAACATTGAGCCCGCCGCTGGGTGCTTTCCTGGTGTCCCGTTGTCGAGCTCACTATCAACACTGTCGGCGGGCGCTCGGCATGACCTGGCGTTTTGGCAGGACGCACAGAGTTTGGTTCTAGGGTCTGACACGTGCATGCCAGCCTGCTTCGTAGAGCCCCCTTGCTTGGCGCGTTGGCGACAACAAATGGGGGTTACCCTACATGATAAGGCCAGCAAACATGAACCTTGGGCGTGATCAAGGAGAGGAATCCAGCAGCGGTCTGTCCATGTCATCATACGCTGCTAAGTGATGCGGCGCCATAGAATTTTTTCTTGGTTGACGCTTAGCCGGAGGCAACTTTCTGGGGTGATGGATAGGTGCAGCTCCTTGTCGTGATCGTGGCCTGGAATTGGCCGCTGGATGGTTGCACCACAGCAGTTGGTGCGTCGGCGCGCATCAATCCTTCAGACATGCGCGTCATGGCAAAACTATAACTAGTGTCAACGTGTACATCGCATCGCAAATTGATTGGCACAATGGAATGGGCGTATTCATGCACACATGGATGATTGCGGCTCACCTGCTGTCCGTGCCCGCCATGCGCCGTTTTGCGTTTTGTTCAACAGATCCCGTCCTTGACCTAAACCGCGCGTTTGCCAACCCAGTCCACTGTCCCCTTATACCGTCTTCGGTGTCGTTTTTTGGCCACATCAGGGCGCATCAAAGTAAACAAAGATCTATCGAGATGCAACGTCATTGGTGGAATTAAGCTTATGTTGTCAAACCAGATCGTCGTTGCATTCGAAGCTACCCTTCCATGCATCGAGCGGCAACAACGTGCCGAATCCGGGGAAATCCGGGGAACCGGCCGAAAAGAGGATAACCTCTGGCTTCCATGATCGCGCAGACCTCGAGTACGATGCATGTTCCAAGCGCTTTTTGGGCTGGCGTAGGATCAACCACCGGTTCCGGGGATTTGACCGTAGGCGTGCCCCGGCGTTGACATGGGGACGTTTCACCGACGCCCGAATCGAGCCACAACGGCCGTGACACGGAGGTTGTGCATTCACATGAGATTGGAAGCAAGGAAATAATGCCAGCCGAAAGTATGGACAGGTCGGGCAAGAGATTTGTATATAAGTCGTGCTGCATCCTCAACCAGACTTTATTGATGCACAAGTGAATTGGCACGGAGCATTACTTCCTAGCATCACGCAACATCACTACCTCAGCTCGTGCCAACATGGAGAGCGCGCTACGATTCTTTGCCTTGACCGGCCTTTTGATGGCCTCGACGACCACGGCTCGTGATGTACCACAGAATGTCAGGGACTTGTACAATTCGATCCGCAGTCAGGGCTCGTGCAAGAACCAGCTCAAGGGCGGATTCTACAGCCAGGAGGGAGATTCCAAGAGTGAGAGGCTCTGATCGGTACTCTAGTGAATGTGCTGCTAATGTACTCCCAGACTTTGGATACTGTGGCGACCACCTTGCAGACTACAAAATCATGTATCTCCAGGGCAAGAATGGCGAGTTGGTGAACATGGACATTGACTGCGACGGTGCCCTCGGTGAGGGCGACGGCAGCTGTGACAGCTCGGGTGATACCCAGCCTCAGACGACCTTCCAGGAGACCGTTGCCGGCTACAACAAGGGAATCAAGGACCTGAATGCCTATATCCACTCATTTGTCGTCTTGGGCAACGACGGCAGCAAGAATGGGTACATTGAGTTCAAGCCAGAGCAATACGGCATCGAGCCCCTGTCCACTGTTGCCGTGGTGTGCGGCGACAAGATGGTGAGTACACGTCGCCTCGATGAAGAAAAGGCCCGATTGCTAACCAACGTGGGGAAAAGTTCTATGGTGTCTGGGGAGATACCAACGGCGATGACGGCCCGCCGCTCATTGGCGAGGTGTCCGATTCCCTCGGTCGCGCATGCTACGGCAGCGCCGTGAACGGCAACGCAGCGCACGACGAGAACGACGTGCTGTACATTGCGTTTACTGGCTCCGACGCTGTTCCGGGGGCGAACGGTGCCAAGTGGAATGCCAAAAGCTTTTCCGAGTTTGAGTCCTCCCTCGGGTCCCTGGGGGACAAGCTCGTGCAGCGTATTGCTGGCGGCGGCGGCGGCGGATCGCCTGGAGATCCACCAGCCTCGGACTGCTCCTGGGAGGGCCACTGCCTGGGGGACAAATGCTCCAAGGACGGCGACTGTGACGGCGAGTTGGTCTGCAAGGCGAAGAAATGCGCCGTAGATGCGTGATGGCGCTCGCACCAGGGTCGAACGAGTCGTTCGTAGGTACTGCTTCACACGGCACCATTGTGTCTGCTCCTGGATTTATCGCACGCCCCGTCTAGCTCGCTATTTTTGAGGCTCAATATAGTATATATCGTCGGCGCTTGTGGGTACAGTACTCTTCTGCTATAAGTGCGTGGCCAACGTGGGCAGAGATTCTGGGCAGGCCGTGGAAGTGCATGTACACTGGCAGTCCAAACGGCCGATGTCAAGCAAAGGCAGAACATTCACATAATCTATCCAGGTATATGGCGTCCTGGCTCTATATACACAAATGTCTATTGTACCGATTGCGCTACGAGCGCAGCGCCCAGGCTCGAACCGTCTTTCGCGAGCCCGATTTTGATCCGCCTCTCCCCGTCCAGCCCGATCCCCGGCACCTGCTGTAGCGCCCGCCGCATTTCCTTCTCAAACGTGGGATGGAATTCGAAGAGAGACCCTTCAATCCCAATGTCGATGCTGTCAGAGCCGTCTGCTGACCGCGGCCCGTTCTGCGACGGGGGCGCCGCATCAGAATCGTCCGCCGTGAAGCAGCAAAAGACGTATTTAAAAGCGCGGCGAACAGCGGTCCACACGGACGAAGGCGCCCAAGACCACGATGTGCGTCTTTCCGTGAGTTCTTGCTCGCGATAGACACTCTCTGTGCCTTTGCACGCCGGATCGATGGCGTCGAGACGACCAGACTGAAGAACGATGGCAGCCGTCGCCACGCCAGCCAGACGGGCGGCACGTCGGACGACAGCGGTAGAAATCAGGCGCAGTGCGAGCGCGTCGTGGACGGACACGCCTTGCGCACCGAGGACCTCGGCGATGTGACGCCTCGACTCCGTGAGCGACTCGTCCCCGTCCTCGGCCATGACTGACAGGAAGGAGCTGTCCACCCCTTCGTCTACGTACAAGGGCGAGCCATCTTGCACGACCATGTCGAACCGTTGCGCCCGGTACAACTCCAGGGCAGCCAGTCGTGCCAGCTCGCCGAGATACATGCCTGACGTCAGCTTCTCCAAGATTTGCCTGGTCGGGTTTGCCGATGCCAGGTCCAACTGCGTGTCGTATGGCGTTATCGGCACAATGGTGTTGTCGTCGTCGATCCAGGCACCCCACTCGGTGTTCATCACCATGAGGTCGCCCGGGCGGCGGGTGCGGGAGCCGTCGTGGGCGTGCAGCTTTCGCACGTTCTCCAGGCGCTCTACGTACGCGGCATTGGTCCCGGTGCCGAAAACGGCGCCGACGAGTGTCGACGAGCTCCATGGCGACGTGTACGCCCTTGCCATCAGCGTCCCGACACTGTCGCTCGTCATGGCCGAGACGAGCACGGGCAGTTCGAGATCGTCAATGGCCTTTTGGAGCATCTCGCAGGGGTCCCTGCCCAAGGCGTCCGCAATGTCCCAGCCCTTGTCCCACTGCAGCATTGTCCCGCTGGAAAGCGAGTGGCTCTCGTATGTGAAGCTGAAAGTGAAGCCCAGCTTTCGATAGTCGTCTCTGTGCAGCACCTTGCCCTCGACACTTTCGACATCCGCTTCTGGATGTTGACTGAGAAAGTCTGCGATTTTGTCTGCGACAAAGGCGAACAGCGGTTTGTGGCTGGCGTTGACCTTGAGGGCGCGGGGGATGACATGCTTGGTCTGGATCAAGGTGTACGTCGAGTCCCCGTGTAGGTCCACCGAACAGACCCGGCAATGCGTGCCGCCGAGGTCGACGGCGAGGAAAATGCCCCTTTCGGATCCATTGGGAATTTTAGTGACAAAAGAAGGAATCTGCGTCGCTCCATGGTGCTCGAGGCCGTTTCCTACCGCTGTGTTAGACAGAGCCCGAATCGGATCTGCAAGAGGAGGTTCGGGCGCAGGTGGATGGAAGACACATACGTACTTGCCCGAGGCAGTAATCTGCTGCTCTGGCGATGTCGTCGGGGCTCAGGTCGAATTGTTGGGCAATTCTCTTAGCCTCCGCGAGCAGCCCTGCGTCGGGACTGGGCTTGCTCGTAGACATTTGGTCGCCAATGGGGTAAAAGAGCTCCGTGGCGCACTTGTCGGTTCATTTTGGGACAAACCTGGACAAGATAAGTGAAGATGCATCGAGGTCCAATTGTAGCGCAAGCACAGAAGAGCCGGAGCAGACTGGAGGCAGTTGCAACGTCGCACCGGCGAAGCCGGTCGTCGGACAAGCCAGTTCAATGACCAAGTGGGAATCACTGAAGCGCGCAAACCGCACTGCGAGCACAGGCGCTGGCCGCGTAGGTGGGAGGCTGGCCCGGCGATTGTGCCGGACTTTGCCGGACAGCCGAAAATTGCCGGTCTCTGCACACGCGCCGCAGCCAGACACGGCTGGAGAAAGAGCGAGCAGCCAGACTCGGTCGCGGTTCACCGGAGAGTTCCTCTGTCCGTCGATGGCCCGTAATGGAGCCCGGCGTAAAGTGGACAACCGCCGCTACAGAGACGAAGTCCAACGATGCCGATCCGGGGCAAACGCGTGAGGAGGTTGTATCCAGCATTACCCATCAGATGCCAGGCCTCTCAGGCTCTGGCCATTCCCTCCATTCCCCTCCCATAATCCCATCCCATCTCCACCCCTCACGCCTAGCTCCCCCTCCCATCCCCCCAAAACCCCGGCGTCAGGCGATAGCAGTGCCGCTTACCCCTGGGCCCTGCTTCTGTGGAGAAAGGGAACCTGGGGGAACCCCGCAATCCTGCTACTGGCGGAACGCCGTTATCTCGACAGGGGAGCAGCAACTGGGCTCTACCCTGAGCTCTCTGCCAGCCATGTGCCACTTTAGACTGTCGCCTTCCAAACGACTGGCAGCTGATTTGCCCTTCGTCATGCGAGCGAGACGACTCGGACTTGTTCTGTCTCCGCCGCGCTCGCTTTGTTTCCTTGGATCATGACCACCGGATAACACCATCTGACAATACAGCGTGCTGGCACGAAGCTGCTTGGCAGACAGTTGCTCCGGCGCGGCGCGCGGGCACGGCACCGGTGATCCACCGCCAACGCAGTGATTCAGGCGCAATCATGTCACCAACGGGGAGCGGCTCGGCCATGGACGAGGACCCCACAGAGCCCAAGGCTCGCAAGGCCTGCAGTCAGTGGTGCTCATTCCGGAGCGTCCTTGCGTGATTGAGATTTGATGAGTTCGCATGCTTACCATGTCCGTGTGCGGCAGTCAACTGCAGGCGGCAAAAGATGAAGTGCAGGCTCGACAATGGCACCACATGTCGTCGATGCCAGCGGGCAGGACTGCCCTGCATCTTTGTGCCTCGCGCGAATGCATCGGCCTTTATGGTCCCCGCGTCATTGCCCTTGGCCGAGCTGACCGGCCCCTCCGAAGTGACCAAGGACTTGCTTCGGCGCGTGCGGGCCATCGAGGACCATCTCGGCCTGTCTCTCACGGAAGTCGGGCATCGCGTGGCCCACGAGGTCGCATGCGACAAGACGCAGCCTCTCGACCAAGACGCGGCATTTGCGAGCTTATGGGACGCCGCTGCGTGCTTGGAGCGATGCACACCGGGGCCGCGGGATGCTGCGCTGTGGGCAAGAAGCCGCGTCAAGTACCTCTGGCAAACGTACGGGCCCCAACCTGAACGTGGGACATTGATCTGACAAGCTCCCATCCAGTTTCCATGACAAGATGCCTGGCCTCCATTTCCTTCCCAACAAGCAAACCTTTTCTGCTCCGCAACCGCTCCTCCTGGCAGCCATGCTCTACTGTTCGAGCGTCCGGGGAGCGCCGGAAGATGCCGCCTTTGCGTCACAATATCTAACCGTCTTGTGCTCCGCGATTGCGCAGCTGAGCATCCCCGGGAGCGAGATCGGAAGCCCGCCGTCTGACGAGGACGATCCAGCGGCTCTGGAAGACTGGGCGTTCCAGACCGTCCTCGGCATTGTCCTGGCGGGACTGTTGAACGAGGCGAATGTTCGCGAGACGGGCATATGGATCTCCATCGCATACCGCCTGATCCTCGAGCATTGTCCGCCGCACATGGACGAGCGGTGCCGAGACTGGCAACGAATCTTCAACGGCGTGCAAATCGTCGACCTCGAGCACGCGTCGCTTCACCTCTCTTGCCCCGTCATACCCATCGAGTCTCCGCTTCCGGCGCTGCAAATCTCACACAGGGACCAACTCTATCGGCTATCGCGTATGATGAACACTGGCCTGACCCGGTTCTCGGGCCGTGGGCTACCCACCATCTGGTCTTGCTTCTCGAACAGCCCCATCGACGCCGGGCAGGCCCCGTCGTATCCCTTTACGCCAGTCGATGCCGCCGTCATACGAGACTGGGCGCGGCACTTGGACGACTGGCTCGTCGAGTTCACCAAGACGGGAGACGACTCGGACCCTCAGCAGCGTATGGTCGTGTTTCGCCAGTACGTGCTGCATCGCCTGCTTGTGCTCTCCATCTACCATCCCGCCCGCGGCTGCAACCTGCACTCCAACAGCATCACCCTGAATGAGCAACATGAGCTGCTGCTCTCCGCTCGCGCCACCCTCAAGCTACACCTGCATGACAAGTCGATCTGGTCCAACTGGGATCTTGTCATGATTACCTGGGCAGCCTTGATTGTCATCCAGGGCATTGAGGTCGGCGTTGGTGAACCAGACGGTACGTGTTCACTGTGATACCCGCAGGTCGTAACGCTTTGCTTACGTCTAGCAGATCTTGCAAGCATCCGCATGCACCTGGACATGCTTCGGGAGACCAACGAACCCAAGCCTAGTTTGCGCGACAAACTGGCATCGCGATTGGAGCAGAGTCTTCAGACAGTCAACACTCCGAGCCCCGCAGCGATGGGCCATATGGCTCAGGCGGCCGCCGAGGCAGAGTTTGACTGCTCCTGGCAGATTTTTGACCAGGCCATCATGGATCAAGTCATGGATCCGTTTTGGTCTCGACCAGCCGAGCTGCAACCCATGTAGCCGTGCACAGGCGAGAACAGCCGGGTGGGGGCAGCAACTCAGCGAATTCGTCAAATCTGACTCCCTTGCCGGCATCACAAGATCCAATCGGCTCAACATGGTAAAATGGCCTCCCAGGACACATGACGGCTCGTTCGTCTTGCTGAGTGTTAGTGCCGTACCTCGAGATCTTGCGGATGTCCAGCTGACAGGGGAATAATTAGCCATGGACCATCACTGGACGGTCCTCGGGACTATTGTCAGGCTTGGCTTGGCCACGCAGAAGGTTTCACAGGCTGGATTGACAGGAGACCTCGCTCCAGTCATTCTGCCTCAGCCTACATGTAGCCATGAGATTCACATCGCACGATTATGTAAACAACACTGCAGACAACACTGTCATTGCAACACGGGTGAACCCTGTCCACTGGCGAGGCCATGCGGACGTCGCCTGGAGACTGCGACGAAATGACAAACCGATTCGTGGCGAGTATGCCGCGTCGAGCACCAAGGGCTTGCTGGAGATGCTACATGTACATACGAACCGGGCTTGTCAAAGCGCACTATCGGTGCAGCAGCCAGGCCTGCCCTCAAATTTCACCCTGACAATGCACATACACAATCAGAGCGGAGGGTGCGAAGCGAACACTGTATTTACTTTCTATAAGACAGTACGTCTGGTATATGTTGCACCAGGATGCAAAGGTATATATGTACAAATATGCACGGCTGCGTGCCATGTAGATACCGCCGAATTAACGCACAAACACTTGAACGAGGCCGACCATTCCTCAACTGCTCGCATCTCTCACTGGCACTTGGGGAAGGCGGACTTGGACGAGGCCTTCTTGAAGAGGGCAACCTCCTCCTTGCGGCGCCTAACAAGTCCGGGCAGGACCTTGCCGCCCTGGCCCAGGCGCCACTTGGGAAGCTCCTCGGAGGCGACGGTGTTGGGGTTATCGCCCTTGTTCAGGCGCTTAAGGAGGGTCGAGCTCAGCATGTTGTTGCATCCGACGTTGAAGGTCCAGGACGTGAGAGCAGCCCACTGGTTGTCGTTCAGCTTGACCTTGCCGCTGTTGAGCGCCTTGCCCAGGCAGCCGGTGTAGTTGGGGATGTCGTCGTTGAGGAGCTGAGACGCGGTCGCCTTGGTGAGAGGGAACTTGTACTTGACTTCGGCGCAGCCCTTCTTCTTGCAGAGATGGCCGTAGCCGACGGTCGGAAGGCCGACGGGGTCGGGCGAGGGCTTCGCGACGAAACCCTCGTGGGCCTTGACGAACTCGATGCCGCCCGCGTTGAGGCCCTTGCAGAACCCACCCGAGGGAGGCTTGGGGGTGCCACCGCCAGAGCACTTGTCGGTGACGTAGCCGTTCTTGCCAGTCTTGACGTAGAAATCGGCGACGTAGCAGCCGTCGGTCGTCTTGTCCCAGATGGAGTTGCCCTCGATGACCGGCCCCTCGGTCTGGCACACCAGCTTGACGTCGACGCCCTTTGCGTACGTCTTCTTGACGGCGGAGCTCGTGTTGGGCTCGGCTCGGCAGTTGACCGTGGTTCCCGTGATGGGATACGCGCTGACCAGGGACGAGGCCATGGCCACGGCCAACGCAGATGCGGTCGCGATTCTCATTGTGGAATGATCGGACGTCGGAATGTCGCGTGGATGAAGGAGTGTGGTGTGCAGAATGGAACTCGAACTGGCTACAGGTGTGAAGATCGTCTCCTTCCAGACAATGCAGCGAAGATCACAGATGCACTTGACTTTTATAGCAGACGTCTTGCGCAACGCAACATCTCCTCCTTTTTGGCAGCGGCATGATTATCGTGATGGCTTACACTAAGCTCGGAGACCGCAGCGGGTCTCGACTCGCAACTGCATCCCAATACTGGTCCGCCATTGACGCCAAGAGTTGAGAAATTGAGCGGCTTGTCGCGCAAGTCGCGGATGGGCTGGCTTTCGCACGGTCCTTGGCCTTGCCTCCAAGCCCGTGGCCCGCCAGATTACCCACGGGAGAGGTTGAGGTATGGAGTCTGCACCGCGCTCGGTGCTAAATTTGGGCCTGCAAAATAAGATCGGCGTTCTTGGGTTCCTAGCCAGGGGCAAGCGTTTTTGCCAAACCCCCAGTCCGCCGGGCCAGCCTAACGCAGGCCAGGGCTGGATCGGCGTCCCTGTCATTGAACACCAGGAACAGCATGCTTCGCGCGCAAACCCTCAGGTCTAATTTAAAACGCAAGTAAGCCTGGCGACCGGGTGGGCCATGAACGGGACAAATGCAGAAGTCTTGGGCAAGTTGCCGTCCTTTTCCCGGTGCTGAGGCTGCCTTCCGCCATTCATTGACGCTGCGACGACGCCGGGCACGGCAGCCATAAGCCGGGGCAACAAGACGCCGGCGTCTATTTTTGGCGCCGAACCATTAAGCTTCGCGGCAAAAAGCTGCCCCTCGAAGCTCTTGGTATGGATTGATTGGCCACTTGCCGCGGCGGGTCATGTGTACAGCTGCCTCTCATTCCTCGTTAGACGCCCAACATGGCCTGGCCCGCGTTGCGCGCATGAGTTTCCCAGAAAGAGGTCGCTGTCGAGTACGACAAGGGAGCAGCGGTATTTCATTTGGACCATCACGAAGGCGCAATAGACGATGATATGTACAGTCATCATGTGCCCGCTCATGACGCAGACGGCCCCTCTCCGGCATCCGCCTCCGCAATCAGATCATAGTCCTTGAACTTCCTCGCCGGGATCTGCCTCTGGAACAGGATATCCAGTTCCTCGTACGTCCTGCCACGGCTCTCCGGAAGTCGGAAAAAGCACCACACGAGACAGAGCGCGCTAATGCCTCCGAACAAAAACCCAGTCTTGCCTCCCCAATTGGCCTCGTCGCTGTTTAGCATATAAGGCATCGCAATGGTAAACACGATGGACGCAACGGCCTGCACGGCAGTGGCAACCGCGATGGTCTTCTCGCGAAGTCTCGTCGCCGAGATTTCGGATATGATGACGAAGCAAATGGGACCAACGGTCATTTGGTAGATGAACGTCCAGCAGTCCATGAGGGAGGCAAGAGCCCATACGGCGCCTTTGTTATTCTTGGGAATGCCGAGGAACCCAATCACAAAAAGCAGGACTGTCATGAGGACCATGCCGGAGTTGTAGATGGTACGCCGCCCAAAGAGGAACTGCGACCAACCGGTAAGTATCAGGAATACACAGCCGCAATGGAGAAGTCAGTCACGTACATAGTTCATGAGCGGCCACGATATGAGCGTGCCTGTGAAGCCGAGTGCCGTATTGCCAACACCCACTAAGCAAGGAATTAGCATCATTACCCTCAAATCCACGGCAGCACGGCGAAGCGACTCACTGTTGAATGCATCGGCCGAGTCAAGGCCCGCCTGCTCGAAAAAGTAATTGGCGTATCCAATGAGAGGGTTCCCGCCGATGACCTGGATGAGGTAGACCATGACGGAGATTTCCGTCCTTCTGCGGCTGACACCTCTGAAGCAATCCATGTAGGATGTCGATGTCTCGTACTCACGCTCAAGGAGATCCGTCTGCTCAATTCCGACGAGAACATTGTCAATGTCCGGTCGGTCTTTGGCCGACGTCAACTTGAGAAGGGCCTTGCGCGCCTCTTCCCGACGGCCACGGCGGACGAGCCAGTACGGGCTCTCGGGGGCAAAGGGCAGCGCCGCGAGAAGTACAACAGGCCACACCCATTGGATAGCCTGTGATCGATGGAGACCTTTTCGTTAGCACTGCGGCGACAGCAGGGGAAACGATCCCGGGAGGCGAAATCCAAGCCTTGGCCGTGTCCATGGGCGGCCTGGGCCAGCGCGAACAGAGCTCAAATAGGGCAATGAGGCTCTTTTGGCAGTAAGGCAACAACTGCACGAGAGCAGTGGAGACATTGCGGCCGATAGGGGCAATGCTGGCAACGGGGCGAGGATGGCAACGGTACCAACGAGGGCAACCGAAGCAAGGCAGCCAACAAGACAAAAAGAGTAATACCACTTACAAAGGGAACTTTATAGGCCCATTCATCCAATCGGCTCTCCACGCCGGCGGCGCAGCCCTGCGCGATAAACTGCCCGATAACAAACGCCAGGTTGACCGACGCCGTGAGAACACCACGAAGGACAACGGGACAGATTTCCGACGCATAGGTCGGCGCAATGACAACGTAAAAGCCGTACGCTAGGCCGCCGAGAATTTCGCCCGCGCAGAGCATGCCAATGGACGTGGCGAAGAACTGCACGAAGACGAAGCCGATCGACCAACAACAACAGATCGCCAACGTCTTGCGCCGACCAAGCACCTGGAGAGGATATCCGCTGGCCAATGCACCAGCACACTGGCCGATGGGATTGCCCATGCCTAGGGCTGTCTGCCAAGGTGCTGAGATCTCGTAATGGTCTCCGATGCGGTCGCCATATTTGCGTTGAAAGGCAGGGAGGGCGTAGAAGGAGGTGATGATCTGGGCGTCGAAACCCGCCATCACGACGGCGATACAGAAGAACATGGACCAAAACGTGGCCTGCGGGTACATTCGAATCGCCTTCCAGAAGCCTAGCTCGTGCTCCGTCACGGTAATCTCGCGCGTTTCGCCGATTTCCAAGCCACGGCCCTGGGCGTCGCCCGGCTTGGCGACGCCGGCATCTTCGTACTGGTGGGCTGTGGCCTTGGCATTATTATCGCCCGGCTCGCGTTCCGCGGCGCCAGGGTGCTCCATGGTTTCCTAAATTGTGTTGTGGTTGGACACGACGGTTGAAGGCGGTTACGGAAGAGCTGAGGGATGCCCCTGCGTCTGGTCCCAGCAAACCGTGGTTCGTATGCACGGGACGGCTCGAGCAACTGGGTCAAAACGGACACTAGCTTCTGCAGGAGTGCAGGTGCTGCAGGAAGCGAAATGGATGTTTCCAGATCTGGGAACAGGACTGGACAGGAACGCGCAAAGGGCTGGGGCGCCGTTTCGAAAGGGCGTCACAGCGTCAGAAGCCAGACAGCAAGTCGGTAAACTCTGATTAGCAAAGGGAGGAAAGTTGGAGGTCGAACCGGAGCGCCGCCACAGTCTTGTAGGGGGGCGTTTGGACTGTCCAGTCCCCGGGTTCGGGTATTGATCACAGCGGGTACGGCCGCCCGACATGCGGAGGCCGGGGTTGCGTTGGACTCTGCGGGGTAAAAGGGGGGGCTTGAGAGGGGTCCATTCACCACAGTGGAGGCTTCTGTCGTAGACATCACGGTGGCTGTCAGCATCTGATGCAACCTAGTGTTGGTCCCTCATGGTCGGATCGAAGGGTCGTTGGCCGAATAGTCTATCCGCATTCCTCCTAGCACGGCCAAACAAAATGAAGGCGAAACAAAGTGATCGCCGGCGCCACCTCGGACTGCGCTACAGCTGCCAAATCACCAACGTGGCAGGAATGCGGGTGACATCAAATTGAGGGCGCGCGGGCGGCCGCCCGCACAGGAGGAGGAGGGACGATCGGACATCAACCTGGGCGCAACGCTCGACATCACAAACCGTGTGCGCCTCGCGACACAAGCGTCGCCCGCAAGCCATCTCCGGCCACGTCCAGCCACGCCCTCGTTCGTGGCGTGCGTTGACTTCCATTCACGTGGTCCACCCAACTAGCCTTGCCCTGCAGGCAGGCTGTCCATTGTCCGTCCCCCTGACGTGCCACGGTGCGCGTGGAAGCCTTTGCACATGCACTCTCGCACCAGCAGCACCAGCAGTCGTGCAAGTCTTGTCTTCACCAGTCGCGCGACGCAGACGACGCCCCAGCATAGCACCCGCTGAAGAGGAGCCCAGCCAACGGCTCAGGCGAGGCAAGCGGGAACGAGATGGAAAAGTGGCGACAATGTAACCTTTTTTTTTTTTTGGCTGCCACGGCGGGCGACGAGCCACTGGAGCACCGGAGAGAAATTAAACGCATGACAATGGGCCCTGTTGCACAAAACTGCTCGTGTCCACGGCGTTTTCGTGTAATACAGTCGGCCAGCCTTGCCTGCGGGCATGTTCCGATGTGATGAGTTCAAAAGTCGCTGTGACCAAGCCGAGTGTCACAGCTGGGGGGGGGGGGACCTTATCAAAGCGTCTAACGTAAAACAGTCCCTGTTGTGTTGGAGCGGTTGTCCAACCCAGACAGCAGCCATGGTGAAAACATAAGTTGGCCGCCACGGACGCCCGAGCCATTCAATCGCCAGGAGTGAACGAAATGCTGCACCCTGACGCCGACGGAAGGCAATCCGCATTGAAGAAAGAGCACATCAGCATCCCTTAAGATCGCGAGCGGCCGGATCCATGCTTCAAACAGGCACCTAATCTCTCTCGGATACAAGATCACGACAACATTTGTCGACGCTGGGGGCTCGCCACACCATGACAGGCATCGACGGCGTGCCGGCCCCGACGGGCCACGGGATCAACGAGTCCGAGATACCGGGTACCGTTCATCTCGTGGATCTCGACCACAACGCCGCAACGTTGCATGACGGGACACGAGAAGATATTATCCTCATTCCTACTCCTTCGGCAGACGTCAACGACCCCCTCAATTGGTCCTGGCGGCGAAAGCGGCTTCATCTCTGCTGCTTGTTGGTGTGAGTATCCATGTTCCGAAGTGCCGCGATTGGAGCTACCAGACATGGGGCCGACGTTTGATTCGGCCATGGCTTTGGAGCATTGGTTGGGGTAAATGCGTTGCTGACGGCTTTTGGTGCGGCGTTTGACAGATTTACCATGTTCAACGGCTTGACACTTGCCGTCGTCTATTCTGTCCTCGTGCCGCTGTCCGACGCCCTTGATGTCCCGAGTAAGCCAACACCATAACGCCTAGTCGTCCCGTCGGTTGCATGTCCGCACCGGACGAGCATCATACAGTACTGTACTAACGTGGCATGCTTCAACAGTCGGTGGGCTCGTCGCCGGGACGGGCTACATGTTCCTGCTACTCGGCTGGGGACTGCTGTTCTGGCAGCCCTTTGCGCTGCAGTACGGCAAGCGACTCACCTACCTGCTCTCCATGCTTGGCTGCACGGTACGTCGTGACGACGGCATCGATTCGAGCCCCCCCCCAACACCACCCATGGCCGGCAAGGCGTCTCCTCCGGAGTAATGGCCCTAACCATCTATACTGCAGGCCATTTCGATATGGAGCCCCTACGCGAGGGGCAAGGGACAATGGATAGCGCGCAACATCGTGATGGGCTTCGTCGCGGCCCCCGTAGAGGCTCTCCCGGCGGCGTCCATCACCGACATTTGCTTTACGCACGAGCGCGGCGCGTTCATGGGCTGGTACTCCTGGGCGCTGGCCTCGTCCAACTACGTGGCGCCCATCATCGCGGGCTTCATCAACGACGGCATGGGGTACCAATGGCCGTTTTACTTTGTGGGCATGTTCGCCGGCGCGAGCCTCGTCTTCCTCTTCTTGTTCCTCGAGGAGACCAACTACGATCGCAAGAGCGTCGGCGTCGTCTACACAGAAGGCCGTCCCGCGACCACCGCCTACGAGAAGCACACGGTGGCGGAGGAGGGAGAGAAAGGGGGAACCGCCGACAAGCTGCGCCAATCCGAGTTCGCCGACGTCGAGTCCACCGTCGACGGCAGCAGTGTCCCACACGTGCGCGGCGTCCCGGCAGGTCTGACGGGCACCGAAAAGTCGTTTTGGCAGAAGCTAAGCCTGCTCGATGCGCCGCGGCGCTTCATGATGTTCTCGCGCGCCTGGCAGCTGCTCAAGCTGCTGTCGTGGCCCGTGGTGCTCTACTCGGGCTTCTCGTACGGGTGCTACCTGGTCTGGTTCAACATCCTGACGGCGACCAACTCGGTCATCCTGAGCGGCGCGCCGTACCACTTTGCGCCGAGCGTGGTGGGACTGACGTACATAGCGTGCATGATTGGGGCCATCATCGGGTCTGTATCTCTTCTCCTGCTCCTTTCCCCTTCATGGAGGGAAGCTAGGTATGCTGCGAGTTGATAAGCTGACTGTCCCTCGGCTTCCAGAGCTGCGTACAGCGGCCCCGTGTCGGACTGGTTCGTGATCCGCATGGCACGACGCAACCACGGCGTGTTTGAGCCCGAGCAGCGCCTCTGGCTCTTTACGGTGACGACCATTCTCGTCCCCGCCTCGCTTCTTCTCTGGGGCGTCGGTGTAAGAAGGAAACCCCCTCCACCTTCGCAAGTCCAACTGGCCGGGCCACACACTTGCCTCGTCGCCCGGCCTCACGATACGTGTATGTATGTACTGACACGCCGCTGCAGGCCGCGCACCAAGTCCACTGGCTCGCGCTGGTCTTCGCCATGGTGGTGCTGTCCGCGTGCTGCGCGTCGGGCATCACGCTCTCCTTCAACTACCTCATCGACTCGTTCCGCGACATCGCGGGCGACGGGCTGGGGACGTGCATCATCATCCGCAACACCATGGGCTTCGCCATCGGGTACGGCATCACGCCGTGGGTCGGCGCGCTGGGCCTGCAGGACTGCTTCATCAGCGTCGCCGCCGTGTCGCTGGCCATATGCGCCGTCTACCTGCCCGTCATCTTTTTCGGCAAGAGGCTGCGCGCCGTGAACCGCGACGGCTACTGGCGAGAGGTCAAGGCGCGGCTGGAGGCGGGGAGCATCTGAGACAAGATGCCCTGTTTTGTACTCAGTATTCTGTACCAAGATGGTTGATTTTACAAAGACTGCTGCAATACTGCAATGCATGGCAGGGTCAGCCGTGCTGGACCCCTGGTTGTTTGTTCATTCAGCTGGCTCACGGCAGCTCGGCGCCAGCATTTTCGCGTTTCACGATGGTCTTGCCGGCCTGTCGTCCCGGCCTCGGTGCGACGTGACGGAAGACTCCGACGATAACGGTAGACACCGACAATGGTTTCCGACTGGACCTTGCCCCGGAGTCTGCGATCTGCTGAAGCCCTCGCACATGCTCGTAGCTACGTGGACGCACATCACTGAGCAGTTCATCAGTATCCACCCAAACGAAAAGCGCAGGGCTCCGTCATCCAGGCCGCCCGGTGGATACGGGCACGGGGTGGCGCAAACTCGCGATACGAGGTCCACAGGGCCCTTTTCTTAGTCGGGCTTGGAGAGCCCCGTCCGCGCTGAGCCGGGTCAGCTCCCGTCTGCACTCTGCATCCTCCCGAGCAGCTTGGTGGAGCGCACGGCATCGCGGGAGCGAGGCAGTGACGTCGCGGCTCGGAAACGAGGGTCCCTTGTTCGGGCCCGGCAGCCAAGTGCCACGACGATCCCTCGGCAGTACGAAGTACGAGTATTTAACTGCTCGGCAACCCTCCGCGGCGTGGTTCAGCATGTGGTTGACGTTTGGCACTTTCTCCCATCCCTGACCAGGTTCTTGTACGCCATCCCCCACCAGCATGAAGCTTGCGTCTGCCTTGTCGGTCGTACTCGGCGCCGCTGCCATTGGCGCCGCGTCGCCGTGCCCGGCGCCCAAGGACTGGCTGTCGCAGAAGTGGGATGCCATCGTGGTCGGGGCCGGCACGGCGGGCATCATCGTCGCCGACCGGCTGAGCGAGGCGGGACTGAAGACGCTGCTCCTCGAGCAAGGCGGGCCGTCGTACGGCGTGACGGGGGGCACCGAGAGGCCGGGCTGGCTCGACGGCACCGACCTGAGCAGGGTCGACGTGCCGGGTCTTTGTATGTCGTCTGGAGGCGTATAAGCCGCTTCCCGTGGAATAAGACGGCCCCGGAGACACAGGACAAGCTAACTTTTCCAGACTCGACCATCTTCGCGGGCCACTCCTCCCTGCTGTGCCCGCCTCACGTCGTCCGGGCCTTCCAGGGATGCACCATGGGCGGCAACAGCGCCATCAACGCGGGCCTGTACTTCCAGCCGCCCGCGTCCGACTGGGACACGTACCACCCGCCGGGCTGGCACAGCGCCGACGTGCAACCCGCCGTGGCGCGGCTGCTGCGCCGCCAGCCGCCCGTGACGACGTACTCGTCCGACGGGCGCTTCTACGCGCAGAGCGGCTACGACGCCGTGCGCGACTGGATCGTCGGCGCCGCGGGCTTCGCCAACGTCTCCTTCGCCGACGACCCGGACCGCAAGGACCGCGTCTTTGGCCGTCCCGTCTACAACTACATCGGCGGCCAGCGCGGCGGGCCGGTGCGCACCTACCTGCAGAGCGCGCTGGCGCGGGCCAACTTTCACCTGCAGACGGGCGTCCGCGTCAAGTACGTCGAGCAGGCGCGCGGCCGGGCGTCCGCCGTGGTCGTAGAGGTGAACGATGCGGGCAACGGGACCACGACGACGGCGACGGTCAAGCTCGCGCCCGGCGGCCGCGTGGTGCTCAGCGCCGGCGCCATCCTGTCCCCCCAGCTGCTCATGTACTCGGGCATCGGGCCGCGCGAGACGCTGGCCAAGCTCGCCGCGAGGGCGCACACGCCGTACGTCAACGCGTCGTCGTGGGTCGTGCAGCCGGCCGTGGGCGAGGGCCTCTTCGACAACCCCAACACCTTCATCGAGCTGTCGGGCCCGTCGGTCGCGTCGTACACGTACGACTACGGGGACGCGCTGACGGCGGACCGCAGGGCGTACCTGTCGTCGCGCAGCGGGCCCTACTCGTTCGCCTCGCAGACGTCGGCCTTTTGGGCGTACGTGCCGCACGGCGACGGCTCGCGGACGGGCGTCCAGGGGACCGTCAGCTCGGCCGGCTACGCCGACTTCACCGCCAACAACACCATCACGCTCAACGTCTACGGCACCTCGGGCGTCCTGTCGTCGGGCCGCGTCGAGCTCTCCGACGACGGCAACTTCACGGCCGGCCCGGGCGGCGGCATCTACTACTCGCACCCGCGCGACGCCCAGGCCATCGCCTCCTTCATCCACTCCATCTTCCAGGCGCTGCCCGCGTCGTCCCCGGAGTCGCCCGCGCGCGACGGCCTGACGCCGCTCAACATCCCGCGCGACGCGACGCTCGAGCACATCCGCGACTACATCACCAACTCGTCGGCCTACGCCGTCGGCTCCGTCCAGCACTGGTCCAGCTCGTGCCGCATCGGCGCCTGCGTCGACGTCAACACAAAAGTCGTCGGCTCAGACAACATTCACGTCATTGACGCCTCCGTCCTCGCGCCCATGACGGTCAACCCGCAGTTTGCCGTCATGGTGGCCGGGGAGCTGGGAGCGGAGAGGCTGCTGCGGCCGATCAAGGTCTAAGCACTTCTGCTCCTCGTGCTCTCGTAATGGGGTTAGGACGGGGAAACGCACTGGATAGGCGTTACCGCGGCTTTTGAGGCATGAGCGCGCTTCTCTAGGCCAGAACGGCTTGGTCATGGTGCCTGGGAGGACACGGAAAAGGACATGAGCAGGCTGGGGCTGGGCTCGCAAAGCTGGGCATCAACACCTCACGCCAGCAGGTGCGGCCACTCTCGAGAATGCACAAAAAGAAGAGAAATGACTGGCCATGTTCCAGTTGGCGTGGCATCCTGGCTCGATTTCCAAGATCTTGTGCAACAGGTGTTCTGTAATACATAATTGTCGTGATACTTCAAGCAGGCCAATGCAGCGACCCGCTCGGACAGTCGCGCGCCCACAAACGCCATTACATGCTCCGTCCGTGCCAATGCCAATGCAGTCGTGACTCCATGCTTGCCCTCGTGTCCGTTCGTTATATGTACGCCGGTGGCCCGTCTCCCTCCCCTTCCTTGTCCTTGACCAGCCCCATTCGCTCCTCCTCGGTCGGCTCCGTGTGGCGCCGAAAGACCCGCTGGAAAGAGAACTGACGCCTGGCCGAGTGCGGCGGCGGCGTGGGCGCCAGGCTCTGAGCGCCGACTCCCTTCGCGCCGTGGTACTCGGTGTCCTGGTTCTCCAGGAAGTGGTCCCTGTGGCGTGCGTGCGACGCCGGGACGACATCGTCCGAGTGGTAGCGCGGTACAATGATTTCCGTCAGCGGGACCGGGTGCATGGGGCTCTGCGCCTGCGCTGGGCCCCCATGGCGATCGCCGTAGTGTGCGTCGTCGTGGTCGTCGTGGTCATCGTGGCCGTCGTGGTGGCCATCGGCATACAGTACTCTCGTGGCGTCCGTGCGTGATCGGCCACGGAAGACGCCCAGGATGCCTGGGGAGAAGCCAGCCCGCTGTTGCGCTGCGAATTCCTCCTCCTCTTCGGCCGTGGGCAGCCGTGACATGCCCAGGGGTAGGTGCGGGCTGCGAGGCGGCGGCGGCGTCACCGGGGGCGGAGAGGTCGCCGAGCGCGCGCGCATGCTCGAGGCTACCGTGCGCCGCCTCCTCAGTCCATCCCACTCATACTGAGGCGGCTCGTTTTCGTTGATGGGGGCCATGGATTCGGCCATCTTCTCCTCGTGCAGGCGCTTGAGCTCCGCCGCCTCCATGCGCTGGCGGGCCTGCGAGATGCGCCGCACAATGGCCGCCGTCCCGCGGATCGCGTCTGCCTTGGGCTCCGTCTCGGGCTGTTCCTGCTCGGCGATGGTGTGGATCTGATCCAAATCGCCCGTGAAGACGGCAGCGTCGGGCACGTCCTTGGCCGACTTGGACAGCTGCAAGAGCACGACGCCGGAGCAAATGGTCAGGAAGCCCATGACGACGGTGACGATGGACGTCGGCGTTCCCTTGAACCCCTTGAAGAGAATGGTAGACGTGATGATGGTGGTGCTGGTGAAGTAGACGTAGTAGGTGGGGGTGACGACGGCGGCGTTGAAGATGTTGAGGGCTTTCTAGGAAAAGGACGCGCGTTTAGTGCGTCGTTGGCAACACGCCATGGGGGGAAATACGACTTACATTGAGAAAGATGATTTCGGTGAGCAGCGTGCCGATGACAAAGACGAAGAGCACCCAGAGGAACCAGTGCTTGTACTGAGGGTCGCCTCCGATCCAGGCAATGATGGCGGCGCCAAGGCCCTGGGTGGACACGACGCTGAGGCCCCCGATCCAGCTGCATATCGAGATGTACACGAGCATGTTTCTGTTTCCCCAGCGGGGCCCGGCGAACAGGGCGGTGGCGACAGAGCCGGCGATGATGACGCCGGCATAGGAGAGGAACCAGGGGGTGATGAAGAGGGCCTGCATCTCTTGGATGTTCTTGACGGACGACTCTTGTGGCGCATTCATGACGATGACGACGGAGCCGACGATGCACAGGAAGCACGAGACCTTGCCGACCATGCTCAGGCGCTCCTTGAGGAAGATGGCGGAGAGGATGGTGGTGATGACGACGGAGAGGGCGCCGAGGGGCGTGACGAGGATGGCGTCGGTGAAGGCGTAGGCGACAAAGTTGAGGATCTCGCCGAGGATCATGAGGGTCATGCCGGACCACCAAAAGGCGTTCTTGAGGTAGCCGTAGCCCTCGCCGGCCACCTCATTGTACTTTTCGTTGGCGCGGAGCAGGCCAACCTTTTTGAGGACAAACGAGGTTCCGATGAAGAGGCCGGAGCCGACGGCGAGGCCTATCCCGATGGCCTTGTAGTATGAGGGGCGCTCGCCAGCACCGCCGACGGCGACCCCGTTCCTGGCGACCAGGTCCATGCCGAGCTGGAGCTCGTCCATGATGATGCGGTTGCACTACGCAGGCCTGTCTCGCCACGGGTCGCTCGCGGATGGGCGTCGACGGGAGAAAGGCGCGAGAGAGAGCTCTGCTCGCTGGAGATGCTGCAGGTGCCCGCGGTAGCCCCGCGCACGGGCGATGCAGGCAGGCAGGCAGGCAGCGACAAACTGTTTGCGACGTGGACTCGTGCGGTCGTGGGGAGCGGGGGGGCGGGTTTCGTCGCGCAGTTGTTCAGCGGCGCATCTTTATCGGCTCAGTCGTAAAGGCAACAACCAGACGTTGGGGGAAGAAGAAGTCGTCGGAACGGCGAGGCAGTAAGGCGTTGTTGAGGCTGCGTTAAAGCGACGTCGGGAACGTTTCCATAGCCAACTTGAGCGCAACGCGTCGGGAGAGGGGGAGGGGGAGGCCAGAGATGGCGTCGCAAGAGGAACAAATTCGAGGCTCGCTGCTGTTGGCAGCTGTTCGTCAAGTCTCCAAGGCCGTGAGGTACGCTCGTCGGGCCGTTGGCGAGGGCGGTCGGGACGACGAGCCCCAGATGATAAGAGACGACGGAACAAGGGCCAGAGGCGTTGGCCGGAGGACGATGACGCCCGGCGGAGGGTCCCCGGGGGCCCCTGTACTTTTCGTACGGATAGTGGCTTCGGTGGGCTCCACGCGGTGACGAGCGCAGCAGACGCCCGATATTATGTGATATTCTCTCGGAGACGCCGTTGGGGGTTCACGCGCGGCGGCACGATGGTCTGGGCGAAAAGGTGGAAGAAGGACGGGAGGGATGAGATGGCACTGGCAGCAGCAAGACGGAAGAGGGGGAACCGGGCGCGCGAGCACGAGGGGCGAGGATTGAAGAGAGACGGGCGATTGACACTTTGACAGTACCAAAGTACCACGTACAGGAGGCACCCTCAGGAACAGGGAAGGGCAGGACAGGACAGGCAGGGGGGTGGACGGACGGATGGGATCCATGTGGATGGATGCAGTGGATGGATGGTGCAGCGCCTGCCGTTTCGCAGAAACGCACCGCGCCCAAGCACCAACGGCGCCAAAAGCGCAGCAGCCCTGGAGCCCTGGCGATGCGCGGGCGCTAGACGCTTTGTTCTGGTTCCACTGACGTTTCATCCGCCCGGCGGCAGGTTGAGGAGACTGGTTCGTCCAGCTGCTTGCAATGGAGGCCGGCGCAGCAGAGGCCCGACGAGACGGACAACTCATGTGCGAGAGACTGGGAACCGGCAGCTACATCGATGCAGTCTGCTAAATAGGTACTCAGGTAGGTAGCTCTCCTTAGTACTACCTACCTACATAATAGTAGTAGTCCATCCGTCCAGCACCTCCGCGCTGAGCTGAGGCGGGTGGCCACACGCTTCCAACTTTGCCGCACAGCCATCTGCAGCTGGGCCTCCAGGCGCTTGGGGCCGCCTGTGGCTCCTCCACTGCAACAACGTCAGCCCAGGCAGGCGGCCTCTCCTGCCCGTCGGGCCCTGTCTGGCACTCTGGCACGCGGGGGGTGTTGAGGCGACCTCTACTAATGCAGCCACCGCCACCGGCCACTCAGCGCCTCGCATGCAAAGGAAGCGTCACTGGGGGCCCGCTGGTGTGGTGGCCGCCGCGCTGAAAATAGCAACCTAATGGGAGCACGTAGGAGCTGCTGAGGGTGTCCCAGGGCCTGGACCTCTGTGTCTTCCATCCCTCCCAGCCCGGAGGCGGCGTGTGGGGTTGCCGCCTGCCCTCGCAGATGGCCAACTTGCATTTCCTTGCTTTTCCATCCCTTCCAGCGGGTGAATCGCCTGCGTCACTCCCCGTCCGGGCCCCCTTTCTGCTTGGGGCCATGGCAAGTTGCGCAGTCACGCAGCGTGCGCGTGGGCCTCCATTCTCCAACAGTCGACCAACGGGGACCGTCCAGAGGCATTGGATAGGCGGGCATCTACAGTACATGGTCAAGTGGGCGCAGCCCCGATATGCTGTCGTGCGTTACCGTACAGTACAACGGAGAAACGCAGCCAACGCGGAACACCTCAGGCTGCCAACTGCGCTTCATCCCGGCCGCATACGTGCCGTCGCCGCCGCAGAGTTTCTGGTTGGTCCCCTCCCCCGGCGGTGCTCGAGAGATGGCGCATCGCGTCGCGAGATCCTCCTCCTGCGGCTCCTCACGTGGCACGGCAAGATTGCTGCCGATCCTCACCCTGACGTCAACACTGCGCCGGGCTCCTTTCTCTCTTCCCTCCTCCAGGTCGTGAAAGTAGGTACGACGTCTTGGATGGGTTTGCGGCCCGGCACCGCATGTACTTTGTACATTTTGTCCAATTCAGTCCACGGCCACGTCTGGCGCCTGACGCTGATGTGTAACAGTGCCATCTCCGCCTCGCCTGAATTACCCTACACCCTTCCGTGGTGCAGCCAAAACGGCTCCCGTTCCGCCTTCAGTTCAGGGAAGCTGCTCCACGTGGCAGTGTCCGAATCAAACCTCCTGGCCGAGACATGCCTTCAGGGCTGCTACGCAGATGAACTTTTCGCGCCCCTGAGGATGCCGCGGCCCAATGGTAGTGACGGCTCGTGACGCCTTGCTCCCGCGCGTACCAAGACGTGCGACTGGCTCCATGCCGATGAGAGTGAGAAGCAGCCCCTCGCGTGGTGTCTTCGCTGCACCGAGAACATCCATCTTCGACCGTGGGCCCTGCCGCCGCAACGCCAAGCCGGTCTGTTCCGGCCTCGAGGGTCGAGACATAGGTTGCCAGGCTGCACATGTGGCCGGGGGGAGGGAAGGGGGTGCCTTGGCTCGGCCGCTGCCTCGCATCAAATCGCCATGTCGCAGATCTCGTCGATGCGCCACTGTGCGTGGGCTTGCGGGAGACTGTGTTACGCACTCCTCCCTATTCACGGAGCCTCTTTATCCGCCTGGTACTGCGTGAGCTGCCGACAAGTATTTGATCCAAGGTTGGCCACTGACTCAGCTCCGGCGACACCCTCGTGGCAGCCACACAAATTTTTGGAGTTTTGCTGCCTAGGTATGCCCCGTCTTCAGTTTTCCCACTCATTTCTGTCCTGGCCAACCATGCGAGTGGCTTGGGCTCGCACCTTTCACCGGCCATCGTCGCTGTCTGGTGTCTCGCCATCAACGAAGTACTTCGTGCTGTGATCCCCCAAAAGAGGCCCTGAATGCCGTGCGTCGTGTAGAGCACCACTGCCAGTTTCAACGAGACGAGCCCCCGTTTATGCGAATACAAACGGACGAGTATGCATCACCCTCTGCACAATGCCCTCCCCACCCCCCTGGTCCCCGGTTTGCCGGCCTTCAGACACGACCCCCCTTTGTCCGCCAAAATCAGGGGCCGGCCAGTCACGACTCGCCCGTTTTGGACCCTTGCCAAAGCCCTCCCTCGCTATTGGCCATCTACGTCCCCATCTCTCCCAACCTTATCTTCTTCAAGCTCGGCTCGCAGCCAGCCTGCATTGATCTCAGCCAAGATCTGCCTCGTGCGATTGGGATTGCTTTTGCATGCATGCGACCCTGGACGCCATCTAAACCGTACACACTGGGACGACGATGCCATGAGGACTCCGGCACTACAGAAGCATGTTTCTGCGCACAGAGTTCCGTGGGGGCGTTCGCACGGAGGGCTACATCTCATCACATCCGCCGGCTAGCAACGTCCGCGTTGGGCACGGCGCACATCTCGAGGGATCTAGCATTGCTAGCATGTAGCAGCGAGTGGGCTGGGCTTGCGACATTTGTGTGCTAATTTACCACGACTCCATGCAAATTTGCAACGATGTCGTATCCACAACTGTGCAAAACGAGTCCATTACCCACATAATATTCTTGTCCCAGTGCTTGTGAAAATGTACCTCGAGTCGTTCCGTCTCCTTTGATCCGCGGGCGTTGGTCACGGCACTGGGGCACGTTCACCATCTTCTGCCCCTTATCCAACCTTTTTTTTCTCTTTCCCTTTCTCTTTCCTCAAGCCAGACGTCGCCAGACATACGGTCCAATGCGGTAAAAAAAAAAAAACGACCCATCCGCAGCTAATACAACGCAACACAAGCTCGCCACCATGTCTCAGACCGTGGTGGAGAGCGCCAGCTACGTCCCGGACACCTACCATCAGGAGGAGGTACCGGCAGGAGTAAGAGAGAACAGCCGCCAAAGAAATTCCGCTTCGCACACAGCGCTGACAACGAGATGGCGCCCAGTGCGTGGAAGGGCATATTGGAGTCGACCAGCTTCGGAAAGCCATACCGAAGCATTGCTTCCAGCCGTCGCTCATTCGATCGCTGGCCTACGTCGTCCAAGATGTCGCCCTCCTGGCCGCTCCGCTTGCGGCCACTCTGTATCTCGAAAGGCAGATTGACCATCCGACATACAAGTTCCTCCTCTGTGCCGTTCTCTATCCGTTCGTGGTTGGAATCCCCGGCATGGGCCTCTGGGTCCTCGGACATGAGGCCGGCCACGGCGCGTTTTGCAGCAACCGCATCCTGGGCGACGCCATCGGCTTCCTCATCCACTCGTTCCTCATGTCGCCGTTCTTCAGCTGGCGGTCCACCCACTCACGGCATCACATCTACACCAACCATCTGGCCAAGGTACGGCGCGCGGCGACTCCTTGGTTTGCCCAGAAGAACAGTCTTTGTTGACCATGAAAACATAGGACCACATCTACGTGCCGCCGAAAAAGGACGACTACAAGGAGATGATCAAGGGCAAGGTGTCGGTGGAGGAGATTACAGAGGACGCACCGATCGTCCTTGTCCTGCGACTCATCGTTCAGCAGGTCTGCGGATGGGTACGTCTTTGGATCGCACATGCAGCATGAAGGCCTCCCCATGTGTCCTCCTCCCAGCTTCATATTCACTCACTGACTGTGCTCCGCGTCAAGCCCACGTATTTGTTCACACACATTAGCTCTGGGGACAAGGCCGCGCTGAGGCCTTCTACCTGGTGGTGGAGCAACAGCCACTTTGATCCGTGGGGCACGCTGTTCCGAGCCGATGAGTTCTGGTCGGTCGTCGCCTCGGACGTGGGCCTGCTCGGCATGTGCTTCCTCCTGTACAAGCTGGCCGGCATGTACGGCTGGTGGACGGTGACGTGGGCATACATCCTGCCTCTGATGTGGGTGAACCACTACATCGGTAAGCGCACACACATATCCTGCTTCGCAGCAGGGCTGCGGCAGCACCAGACATTAACGGCGTGGCGCAGTCATCATCACCTATCTCCACCATACGCATCCGGACCTGCCCAAGTTCGCCGAGGGCTCCTGGACCTACCTCCGCGGCGCCCTCAGCACCGTCGACCGCGACCCGGGCTTCGTGCTCCGGCACCTCATGCACCACATCGTCGACTTGCACGTCGTCCACCACCTGTTTCCAAAGATCCCTCACTACCACGCCCAGGAGGCCACCGATGCCATCCGCCCGCTGCTGGGCAAGTACTACCACCAGGACAACGGCCCCTGGTACGGTGCGCTCTACGAGAACTTTAGGGATTGCCGGTGGGTTGAGACTGACGCCAATGTGCCGGCGATGGAACGGATACCCAAGGTGAGTCTTGCCCTGCCCCGGCCGGATCAAACGGCTTCTTGTCGCAATGGTCATGTTGCCTGTTCAATGCCCTGACGTTGCGTGACAGGGTCGGGCTGCACAAGCCAATGGCAACAGTGAGGCCACGGAGGGCATTTATTGGTACCGACCGGGCAACTCGAAGCGGCGGTGATTGTTTGGTGTGCCGAACCCCCCCTGCACAATCGCCAGGAGCACATGCAGCTTCGTGCAACCGGCGAAGTCCACTTTCCATAGAGGCACTGGTGTTCTGCGTTGTAACGGTATAGAGAAAAGGGTTTGTTGTCCAAGAGACCAGACCCGGCGCGAGCGGCGCAATGAAAAGTTTCCACTTCCGGGCTTTGCGAACTTCCAATACTTGTTTGATGATCTCGTGACCACCAGTTAGACAGCACGAAAGTATTCTCGACCAAAATGATGGTGGACGACGGTGATGTGAAGAGCATTTGAGCAGCATGCCTGGACGCCTCCCGCAATGCGCTTGATCAGAGGCCACAAACCCTCGTGTGACATTCACCCCGAGGCACTCGGTCGATGAAATAGAGGTGGCCCATTCCCTACATAATTTCCGCGTAGGGCTGAAGATGACTGGCCTCCCCCGCGTCCAGCCAAGGGCCCGATCGTCGTGGGACCGGGTCGGGACCGAAATGGATTGAGGGGAAGTGACGGAGTGGAGCGCAGCATCTTCGGCACCTGAAGGCCGCGCATGGTGCGCACGTAAGAAAATAGCATCCCTTGAACTTGGAATGATTCCATTCACCGTCGTCCATCGCACCCATCATAGGCTTCTTTCAACAGGAACACACGGATGGCCGTTGCCGCACGTCTCAACAAATACCAGGTACGCATGTGATGAAATGTAGGAGCCGGCCATACCTGATGTTTGGGTTGAGGCACATACGAATTCGCAAACAGTAGCTCTATTAAGCACCCTTCCGGTGGCGCGGCAATGGTCTCTTGGGCCTCAGGCGTGTCAGTCGGTGCAACTTCTGCCAGCCGCCCGTGGCCTGGCCAAGCCGTGGCCCGGTGCCTCGGTACTTTCCCCAGGACACCATATGCGGGGGCGGGCGGGAACGTCAACGCCGTCATGTTGCCCGCACCCGAAGCCCCTGGCGGGCGGAGGGGGCGGCGCGTGTAGTCCCTCCGATCCGCTCATGTCAGATTTAAAGCTCCCGTCCGCGCCGAATGAGGTGTACACGCGGCATGTTTGGTGTCATTTTTGTGTGACTTTCTTCCAATTGCTCGTCTCTTTCACCGTCTTCACCTTCTGATCGACGTCTGTTTGTGTGTCTACGACCAGACTGCACTGCCCGCAGCGACCGCCCAGCAGCCTCCCTCCCAGGCGTCCACATCGATCTCGACCACCATCACCATGGCGCCCTCCGGCCCCATAACAACGCCATTCACGACCCTCATGGGCATCAAGCATCCCGTGGTGCTGGCAGGCATGGCGCGTGTATCTGGCGGAGAGCTCGCGGCCGCCGTGTCGAACGCGGGCGGCCTCGGCATCATCGGCGGTCTCCAGTACACCCCGGACCAGCTGCGCGAAATCATTGCTGAAATGAAGGCCAACTTTGCTCGGCCTGACTTGCCATTCGGCGTTGATCTCGCGATCCCAAAGGTCGGTGGAAACGCGCGGAAGACGAATCATGACTATACCCACGGCAAGCTCGATGAGCTTATCGACATTACCATTGAGAGCGGCGCAAAGCTGTTCGTCTGTGCAATTGGGCTCCCGTCGAAGCGTATCATCGACAAGCTCCATGAGAATGGTGTGTTGGTGATGAACATGGTTGGGCACCCTAAGCACGCGGTCAAGGCCCTAGATCTTGGTGTCGACATGGTTTGTGCCCAGGGTCACGAAGCTGGCGGGCACACCGGCGATATCACCACGTCTATTCTGATCCCGGCCGTCGTGGATATTGCCCGCAACTATAAGCCTCCGATGCTCAAGGGCTCGACGGCTCTGGTTCTCGCCGCAGGTGGCATCAGCAACGGCCGTGGTCTTGCGAGCTCCCTGATGCAGGGGGCCGCTGCTGTTTGGGTGGGAACGCGGTTCGTGGCATCGACCGAGGCCAACACGAGCGAGGAACACAAGCAGGCCGTCGTGGCCTGCGATTACCACGAAACAGAGAGGACCCTTGTCTTGTCTGGCCGACCCCTGCGAATGAGACCAAACGATTATATCAAGAGGTGGCACAGCCAGCCACAGGATGTGCAGGCTCTTTGCGATCGCGGCATCGTGCCCCTTGAGCAGGATCTTGAACAAGGCGTCGAGGACATTGACATCCCCCACTTTATGGGCCAAGTAGCCGGGTCGGTCAAGCGGATACAGCCGGCCGCGGAGATTGTCCAAGAGTTCGTGGACGAGGCCGTCGAAATGCTCAAGCTCGGAGGGACGTACCTCACGGCGAGCAGCAAGCTTTGAGAAGGAGTATGGGTTCTAGTTAGGTTCATGTCGTATGTACCCGCAGTCGTAGATGCCCTCATAAAGCAAGCATCTGCCACCCTCAGTCTTGGCTCACAGCGAGACTGCCCTCACAAAACCCGTTCCCTTCAGATCGGGTGTCTGGTCGCCAGCCTCTGCAGTCCCGGCGTCCATGTCCCCAGGCTGGTCACCGAGATGAGCCCCACGCTCAATGTCTGCAAGCGACATGTTCTTCGGCTCCGGTATCAAAAGCGTTACCGCGGCCGTCAGGGCCATGATGCCGGAGAAGAGCCCGAGGACGCCGGAGAGGCCGATGCGCTTGGTGATGGAGCCGAATGCAAATGCTGTCAAAACGGCGCCGCTCTTGCCAACAGCCGCCGAGATGCCATGCGCCGTGCCGCGGACGCGCGTGGGGAAGACCTCGGACGGCAGCAAAAACGTCGTACAGTTGGGCCCGAGGCAGAGCAGGAGCTGCGACAGGGCGAACATGGCGAGCAGGCCGCCAGAGGATGTGTGCACGGACGGCGAGGAGATGCCGGCCCAAATCGCGTACAAAATGCAAACGGCAACCGATGGGTAGAACTGTTGACGCACCCGTCCAATAGCATCGGCGAGTGGGATTCCAATGAAGAACCCAGGCAGATACCCCTTGTCAAGGTCAGTGATGGACTGCTGCTGGACCAGCAACCTTTGAATAGAAGGGTCTGTGTGTACCGCTGTTTGGACGATGATATTGCCAACGGCAATTTTCCAGAGTGTAGACCAGGGGTCGTCACCCCTGGCATAGCCAATCTTGCTCAGGATAATGCTCTGATTTAGGTTGATGCCGTAGTACGCAATGTCGCTGCTCGATGTTAGCACAGACCATGCGCATGCAGTGCACGCGCTCGCAGTGGCTCAGCATACAAGAGAAACCACGCCATTGACGTCGCAAGAAGCACCTTGGCATGTCGCCACTCTTTGAAGTAGTCACAGAACTCTTGCATCTGCTGCCGCAAACCTCGATCCTGAGCGCTGTCACCTGCAGATTTGTTTGTGACGTCTGGTGTGCAAAGTGTCAGCGATGGCGAAATCTCATCGAACAGACTCGATGGGATCGAACGGACACTCTTTGTAGGGCGCAGTCTCTGGCATTGTCAGCCTCGAATACAGGGTTATCGCTGCCGGAATCATGCCGATGCCGAGTTGCAGGCGCCAAACCCATTCGAGGGTGCGGATGTCGCTGAGAACGGATGACTTGAAGGCGCTGAGAAGGATGATGAAGATGATGCTGGCAAAATAGTTACCGATGCCGATGAACGAAAACACGGTCAGCACCTGAACGGCGCGCGAACCGAGAGACCGATTCTCGGCAGAGAGCGCCGACGATAAAGGATAGTCTAGTGCTCCCGATGAGCCTGCCGTCCATGTGCAGACGTTGACGTGGACACGGCAAGCTGAATTTTGCACTCACCTGCTCCAATGCCCACTCCCGATACGACCCGAAATACGGATACCCATGTAGTGACTGCTTCCGGGGAAAAGTGCTTCCAAGGCAGCACAATGACCATGAGTGTTCCGAATAGGGTGATGATGAGCTCCTTGCCGTACACGGTGCGGCGACCCCACGTATCGCCGAGGAGGCCAAAGCCAATCTGGCCAACAATCATTCCCAAGCTCAGAGACCCCTTCATAATGTCACTACTGGACGCCGGTACGCTTGATCCATCGTCCTCGAAGTAGAGGTATCCCAGGACGGGAACAACTGCATGTGGCGGGCACGATGAGTTGCCCGAGCTTCGTCCGTCGAATCGTCAGGTCAATGGTGGAGCGGCTCACCTAGGCCAATGGTCAAGTTGATGTACCCGTCCGTGAAGAATCCGGCTCCGGCAACGACCGTAAACTTTGCCCTGTGCCAAAAGGTTGCCATGGCCGCTTCGTTCTGGCGTCTGCAATGCAGTCACTCAATTGTGCCACCCACAGTCTGCCGTAAGAACTGGGAACGGCTCTGGTGGAGGGGGCAAAGGCAGTCCACAACGTCGTCGCTTCGTTGACAATATACCGCTGGCGCGCTTCAGTCCCATTTGGCCGCCCGCATCCGACGTTCTGCGCCTCATTTATATATACTGCCAACAGAATGGAAAGCAACGATTCGAGGTGCCAGAGCGTGCACTACACTGCGTTGTGTCGATGACGCCTGACGGTGGCTGACGGTGGCCGCAGCGGTCCGGGCGGCGGCGGCACCGTCGGAGGGAAGTGCAGTGCGGCGCATCTCTTGTGTTCAAGATCTGTCAACTTCATGTTGATGAGAGAGCAGCTGTCGACTTGCAACGGGTGTAATTGGGACAACTCTATTCGATGAGGCCTGTTGGAGTGCTTCGTGCAGGGCCAGATGTTGTTATATCACACGGTCCAGTGTTGGCCTGGATTCTCGCCACGTGGGTTGCTCAGGAACCACTGTGGCGTCGGCGCGAAGACCGTAGCCGCTCCGGCTCCTTTTGCGACGACACAGCGTCGGCCTTGGGTCCGAGATCCTGATACCCCGGCGCTGCGGTACATGGCCGGCGGCCGCTCTAGGACAACCGACGAAAAACAGTCACGAGAAGGAGAGTGTCATTGTGATGATGGTGGCCACAACATGAAGCGCCCGGTCTTCCGTGGTGCCTGGACTTGGAGCATGGCAGTCGCAACCCGGACAACATTGTGCGTCCAGCTTTGGCAGGGTGGCGCGAGTCTAGGTCCGAGTCGCAGCCCTTTGGAGAAGGTCTCCACAATGAGCGGCCACTATGCAAGGATTCCCGGATCCCAGGGCAGGACGGTTGACGTCGTGACCCCGCGATCACATCAGCAGCCTGCCTTGCAAGTCGCCTCCATGATCCATCGCAGTGGAGGACGAAAGGCCGGTTTGTTCTTTCTGTCGATACCTCCATCTCTCATGACACATGTCTCCGCCTGCTGTGTGACACCATCCGACAAAGACCACCCGGCACACTCATCTTGCTTGACCTGACGTCTGGTGACCGCGATGGAGAAGGGACCCTTGCCGTCCCTACCCAAGATTGCCGCTCTGCGAGATTCCTTTGGCGACAACAAGCCGCCCGACATCACCAGGAAGATTACGGCGTGCGTTGCCTGTCGCAAGCAAAAGGTAAAACGAGACCCAGGCATCCGCACACAAACGCACTGTCGCGCATTGTCACGCCAACAGGATTCTAGATAAAATGCCACATGACGGGCGGCAAACCTCCTTGTACCCGGTGCAGGAAGCGGGGCTTGTCATGTACAGTGAACCGGAGCTTGCAGATGCTGCTGGAGGATGATATCACGTACGTTCAATGGGGCCACCGTACATCGGGGCCGGAACCTGAGCACCGGCTGACGGGTTCAAAGATGGAAACATACCATGACGCACAAGCTGCGGCGACTGGAGCGCATCATCGACAGGATGGCGGATGCCCTCGACTTGCAGGACCTTTGCGCTCTTGCCGACGAGGAGGCAGACTTGCCCCTCCCGCGGACGCCATTCCATCACCAGGCACTGCAAGGCGAACCTCACCCGCATGATTCGGCGGATCGCGAGCATCTATGGGAAGTCACCGTGGACCCGCACTGCGAGCCGGCCTCCATTCCGGCGTCCTGCATCTCGGAAGTGCGCAGTCCTGGGTCAGCAGGACCGCCGGCTGCGGCGACGCCCACCCTGGTTTCCAAGGGCGTGCTCTCCCAAGAAGAAGCCGAGATACTGTTTGGCGTGTACCGCGATCGCCTCGATCATCTTCTCTACCGTATCCTCGGCGATCACACGGACCTCGCGTCCGTGGTGGCCAGCTCGTCGCTGCTGACGGCGGCGGTTTGCACAGTCGCAGCGCTCCACTCGGTTGAACTGGGACATTTGTACGAGAGGTGCTATCGTGAGCTGCGCCACCTCGTATCCGCGCACATGCTGTCGAGGCAGCACAGCGTGGACGACGTCCGCGGACTCTGCATTGGCGCCTTTTGGCTCAACGGACCCTCGTGGGCGCTCGTTGGCGCGGGTAGGCTGACCCCTTTACCTTTCAAAAATTCCTCCTGCTAACCCGCCGGCCGCTGAACTCCAATGTTGACTGACGCCTGGGCTCTTTCGTTTAGCCGTGAGAATCGCGTCGGAGATTGAGCTGCACCATGCCATATACAAGGCGCTGGAGGGCGATCGGACGGCATACATGCGAACTCGGTTGTACTACCTCGTGTACGTCTGCGACCATCACAGCTCCGTCCTGTATGGCCGCCCGCCCATGTCGCACGAATGCGAGAGCATCAAGGCCGCGATGGAGTTTCTTGACACCGAGCACGCAACCGAAGACGACGTCCGGCTTGTGACGCAGGTCAAGATCTGGTCCATCTCCGGGCAGGTGTTTGACTACTTTGGCGTCGACGTCAGCAAGCCGCTCGCACCCGCACAGCTGCCACAGCTACGACGCTTCTCCATCTCTTTGGACACCTGGTACGCGGACTGGAGCGATAGATTCGGGCCCAACGCCAACGTGGGAAACTATCCAGCCAAGGGCGTCGGACTGCACTTTCACTTTGCGAAGCTCTACCTGTGCTCTCACGCATTCCGCGGCGTCCACAACGTGCAGACCGGCGAGCCACGCAGGCTGTCGCCGGAGCTGGAAGAAGTCGCCAACACCGCCGTCCTCTGCGCCTCCTCCATCCTCGGCGTCATGACGGCGGACGCCGAAATGCAGTCATTTCTCAATGGCCTGCCTCTGTGCTTCGACATGATGATTGCGTTTTCGGTGGTATTTCTTCTCAAAGTGGCAACAAAGTACCCCGACACCGTTTGGATGGACAAAAGCAAGGTGTTTGACCTGGTCACCCAGACCGTGCGGATGCTCCAAAGCGTTTCGAGCAATATGCATGACAAGCATCTCCTGGTGTCTATAGCCAAGGGTCTGGACAAGCTGGTGCACAAGCTCCAAGATCCTACAACACCCAACGAGCTACACGTACATGGAGCTACGGCCCAAGACCCCGTACCGCATCCGACTGCCATTGTCGGTCATCCTCCAATGCAGGACGACATGGAGTGGGTGCAAAGCATCAGTAGTTTCGACTTCTTCAACTTGCAGACTCCACTGCCCGAGCTCGACAGCTGGCCGCTTGACCTTGAATTTGATGAGCACGGACACCAAATAGTCAGAAGTGGATAAGTGCATAGTGTATCAAATCGAGATCGCCGTCTTCGCCTTGGGACTTGGGCCGTCTTGGGGCCGTCTGGTTGGACGCAGAGGGCGACGATAACGTCGCTCCAAGTCCGCGGCCGTGTCGCTCGACAATCATGGCGCTCGCATTCGCCGAGGCGAGTCGGCATAGTTCCCTGTCCAACCAGTCCAAGCAAGTCCGGTACGTTGGGTCTTTCGCGGTCGGCAGGTGCAAGGTAGCGACACAAGCAACATCGACATCGCCATCTTCCAACCCCTTGATGGCCTCGGTAATGGCGGCGAATGCGGATGGCTCCTCACTGTCGGCTCCCACACGTTCCGGTTGATCAGATGGTTCGGTACATGTACATTCGGCTTCTGTGTCCAGTATACGAATACGCACACCACGGCGCAATAGCAGATCGGAAATGTCTGCGTTCCACGTAGACTCAGAGCTAGTCGACTGCCGAGGGGTGTGAAGAAAGTCGGCGATGGCCTTTGCGCTGCTACCTACAACCGAAGCTAGCGTGGGCAGTCGTTCTGCCTCGACCGAATTTTGAAATGCAGTTGCGTCAAAATGTCGGACCCCAAGTATCAACCTTGGCTGTTGTGGGAGGGCAAATCGGTAGGATCCGAAATCATGGAACCGAGTCCTGGAGGCTGAACGACATGGACTCGTGGTCAGCAATCGCTTCATGCATGGTGTTGCGAACTATTGTTACGAGACCTACCGATCAAGCAATTCGTCGCAATGTCCTCATACTCCAGCAGTCCGGGGACGATACGGCCAGGAACCTTTGCTTCATCGTCCCATTTCCTGATGGCGAGCTTGGCATTGAGCAGAGAGTCCTTCTGGGCCTCTTTCACTTGGTCTTGGTCGAAGATGCCTCCCTACGTCGTGTCAACGCACGGAACCACGGGCACAGTCTTGGGCGAACGTACTTGGTACTTGAGAGTTCTTTTGCTGGTCTCGCTGAGGCCCTCGTAATAGTCTTTGTCGACGGCGGTGAGGTATCTTTTCGCCATGACATGTGATCCGACGAGTTGGCACACTTTGTCACTGAAACCCAATTGGCGGAGGTACCTCTCCCCGAGGATCTCATGGCTTGCGCGGCCAACATAGCTGCCATCGGGCGCAATCATTTTGGGCATGCTGTCGGCTGCCGGGATAAAGCGGCCGACATCGTGGAGAAGTGCGCCGAGGATGACGTCCTGATCGTGGCCATACTGCTGGCTTTGCTGCGCCAGGTATCCGCATTGCAAAGAATGTTCAAGCTGCGAAACCCTCTCGCCTAGATAATCGGTATTCCCTTGCGCGAGGATGAAGTCGAAAAGCTGTCTCACGGTCTCGCGAGCGTGCGACTCGACGGACGGTAGCATTGCGATATTGTCGACAAGTGTCGACGGGTTGTCGGACCTACGGTGCATCAAAAAGCTTGCGAAATGCAGTTTCTCTTCTATTATCGTAGTTGATGTACTCAATTTTGATGCCACGCGGTACGCAAACGTGTTGTTGGACCGTCGGCGAGAAGCCCGAGCGGCCGGGAAGCCAATGCAGCTCGGGAAGAAGCCCGTACCAGCCGTTTAGTGTCTGTCGATGTCCGGCCCGACGGCGGCACCATGCAGAAGCGGGTTCGGTGATCCCATGCCTATTTGATGTCAGGTGTTGCCACTATATGTGTGTCCGTTCGCAGCAAAAGATGAACAGAATCATGAGCCAGAGGGAAGCCACACGTTCGAGCAGACAACAGTACACGCGAGCGACACCATGGCACCTTTGTTGTCTCCGCAGCAACTCGACTTTTATGAAGCGAATGGCTACTTGATCCTGCGAGCGAGCGAGCACAAGCTTGTACAAAGGACGAGCGACTTGAAGAAATGGGCCGAACAAGTGAGGAGCTGGCCGCTGGAGAAGGGCAAATGGATGCCGTACTTTGAGGTGACAGCGTCGGGCGAGAAACAGCCCATGAGAACCGAGAAGTTTGTCGATTACCACGAAGACTGGAGGAGCCTAATCTGTGGCGACGGACTCGCTTCCATCCTGAAGCAAATAGCTGGCGAAGTACTCATACTCTGCTCACCGCCGCCCCAAAGGCGCAGGCTCACAAGATACTATAGGACACGCTTCTCTTCAAGGACAAGATCAACTATAAGCTGCCAAACGGCAACGGATTCCACGCCCACGTGGACTACCATGCCTACAGCCACATTGGGCAGATTCATCACATCACCGCCAATATTGCCATTGACGAGGCAAACATTGCCAACGGCTGCCTGGAGGTCGTCCCTGGGTCGCACGTGAGCGACATTGAGTTTAGCCAGGGTGGCAGAATCAGCTCCGCATGGGAGGATAGCCACAACTGGGTCGCCGTGCCGCTGGCACCGGGTGACATACTCCTCTTTGGGAGCCGCCTCGCCCATCGGTCGAAAAGAAACCAAACGGACAAGAGCAGGACGAGCCTTTACGCGACGTACTACATGAAACAGGATGGAGCCGATCTGCGCCAGAAGTATTACGAACACAGACGACAGATATTTCCCCCTGATCATGGTGAGCCTTCCACCTCGACCACGCCCACTTACTTCGGTACGTATGCTGCAATGGCTGACCAAGCCGCTTTTGGGCAGAGCGCGAAGAAGGAAAAGACTACCAGCAAGGATGGAAAACGTATGGCTTTGCCGCGCCATTTTCCTCCGTCAGTAGCAGGGCGTAGCTGCATGTGCCGCCATGTCGCGCAAAGTATAAACCGAACGAGGAGTGATAGCTTTCTTGTTCACGATTTGCACGCCCTAGCGAGACACATCCCTAGCATCATAGTTTTAGAGCACACAGTAGCCTTCTCACTACCAAATGCCATTAGTCTCGCTTTTGGGACGCGCATGAGACGATCAAATCCCACCGGCATTTCCTCTGCTCGACTCTGCACCAGCGACTTCGGTTTTCTCATCGACTCCGATCTTGGCGCTGCCTAACGGCACATCCTCCTCGCTCTCCTGCTGGGGCGCAACATATTTGGGCGTTTCGACAGGGACATGACCCTTTACGGCGAGCCATGTCGGAAGCACGGAGAGGCCTGTTTGTGCAAGGTCAGCAACACAGCGTCCTTTTCTTTGAACACAATCTGGTACATACCAAGGAGGATCGTGTTTACGGCCAGGGGAACTCGTCCACCGTGCCATTTCTTTGTGTTGAGTCCGAAGCTCACGGCCTGCGCGAAGCTCTCTTGGCCGCGTAGAATGCCGCAAAACCGACTCAGTTCAGAGATATTGTCGGTCTTTGTCGCCAAGAAGTAATACAGCCAGTTTTGCAAAGCCTGGCGCGCAAAGTCCCACAAAAGCAGAACAAAGAACCCCTCGACAAATCCCGCGTCTTCCCAGTCCCAAGCTGGCGGGTTTGCTGTGTACTTTTCCTGTATAACCCAGCCGTAGACCCAGGCGACAATGTGCAGCACCAGCGAGTACCAGAAGCCGATGATGATGCGCTTCTTGACCGAAAACTTCTTCCAGTCCAGCAGCATGCTCATGAGCTGTGAGGACAAGAGCGTGCCGAAATTGCTGACGAAGCCGATGAGGGCGCGGGCGCGAACGCCAAAGTAGTAGGTCTGGAAGTTGCCGTTATACTGGTTGAAGTAGGAGGCCCAGAAGATGGGAAGCAGCAATAGGATGTCCTTTCGCAAGCTGGCTTTCCACAGCGCTGCAAACTCCGCCTTGAGACTTTTTTCGGCACGCACAATGACCTTGCTGCCGTCTGTACGCTGCACCTTGTCCGGTGGCGACAGGAGTAAGGCGACAGGCGCGGCCAGGCATTGCAAGGCCACAAAGATGAGGTATGTGTGCGCGTCGACCTTGCCCTTCTTCTTCACCTCGGCGCTGTGGTTGAGCGCAAGCACAATGACGCCACCGAGTAAAGGGCCGCCTGTCCGGAACCAGAGCCAAATGTTCATGTACTTGCCTCTCTTCTCCGGCTCTGGGTAGCCAAGTGCAACGGCGCCTTCGGACGCCCAGAAGAGTCCGGCCGAGATACCACAAGCAGCCGCCCCAACCAGCACCAGCCACACGTTGCCAAAGCGGTTGTTGGTGTAGAGGCCAGCCGAGTAGATTGGGTAGCCGACAGCGCCGAGGAAGAGTGTCCAGTCCAATCCGATTCGGTTAGCGATGGGACCTCCGAAGAGGCAAAGGAAGCCCATGAGACCAAAGACGAGCGCATTGGCCGCGTTGATGAGGAAAGGCTCTTGCGCTCCGCCAGCTCCAAGGGCGTTCATCGCATTCCACAGGCCCGGGGCCAGAAATCCGACGACACCAATGACAAAGGCATTGAAGAGTGTGGACCGGTACCATGTCTTCTTGACCGGGCGAGTGTCGTCGGAGGATCCAGACTCGAGCGTTGATGCTTCCGCAACAGCGGAAGGCGCCGATTTCGCGGTCATCGTGCGCTGTGCTGTGCCAACGGCCGTTTCTGGGATTAGGGCCCGACGGAGGAAACTGCGTACTTTGAATGGATGGCGGCCATATGAACACTGACGAATTCTTGATCTTTAAGAACAGTTCACGATGGCATCGACCATGCAGCCGCCCCCCTCACCAGAGTACACCATTGTTGTCGAAATGGCGACATCCTAGAGCATTTGTTCCGGCCCTGACTAGATCCACGACGGCCCATAAAAGAAGCGACGGCTTGCCAGTTTAACCATGGGGCGTCCTGCGGATCTCTCCACCAGTAGCACATTAGGTGCAGCACTTTTGCGGTTAAATAAAGTCGGTAGTACTCGGTACTGGCCGCGCCGCCGCGCCAATCCCGCGACGGAGCCGACGGCGACTCCATTTCACCTTTCATTTTCACGGCGAGAGATGGCTATTGACGGAGCTTGCGCCGAACAGACAAACGTGCGTGATCCCGAGCGGAAACACGCAATGCGGAGAGAAAATGTCTTTCGCTGACCTCTTGGTTCTTCCCGATTGTTGATGCCGACAGGGACATAGCATGACATCAAGTGTGCGCGTAGCTCGGGCGAGGCGCCCCGGACAAGTGAGGGCCACAGGCCAGCGACGTTGGTGATCATCGGATTGATGCAGCGTTGCAGTGTTCCCATCGCGCGCGCTGCTCACACCAAGTCACCAAGAAGGCGAATTACATGTAGACACTTAAATGCAGAACCCGAATGGTGGTCACCGCCGTGTATCTGGAGACATTTGATATTTCGCATCGGTCGCTAGATACTCTTTGCTCGGTATAGCTTCGAACCCCGCCGGCAACGGGCAGGTCCACGCTGCGCTCCTCGGCCGATGGAAGCTGGTGAAGGACGACAACGTCAACGACTGCGCTGTGAACGAGAGCTCTGCTTTTCTGGCTTGCGCTTTCGGCCTTGCTTCACTCACTGGCATTCTGCAACCTCGCATCCTCCATCATCCTCTCCTCACTCTCACTGAACGTTGTGTTCGGAATCACTGTGGGAAGGCCGCAGCCGCGTCAGCTCCGTGTCTGCCCTCCACCGATGGTTCGCACTTTGGTATGAGACTTGTCCGACTTTCTGAACGAGCGTATCGACGGCATGGATCCAACTGCCGATGTAAGCCATTGCTTCAGCAGCGGGACCACCAGGGGCAAGTTGGTTGTGACGGCGGCGACGAACGATCCCCGGACTGCCCATGATCCCGCCGCTAGCTGCGCGCCATCCACGGGCTTCTACGATCTTTATTAGCCCCCAGCGATGACAGGGACTGGGCTTCGCAGCATACCGTGACAAAAAGAATGCACCGGAGCGTGGGCAAATCATGATGAATAGGCCGCCACGGAACAGGAGGATGAGGCCGACTTTGTTCAGTGGACGAAGCGCAGCCTTCCACAGCATGAGGACCGGAATGGAGATGAGGTACAAGTCTGTGAGGACATTGAACGTGAAATAGATCCAAATGACTTGATGGGACACCGCCGGCTGGCAAACACCTGTGCGCACAGAGAGATGCGATCGGTTCGCCGTGCCTGATCGATATGAACCGCCACCTGACCTTGGCATGCATACTCAATACCTGGATCTGGATAGATTTGCCAACACTTGTAGAGCGGTCGACACGCGAGTAACAAGTTCACCTCGGACAACATTGAATCAACCATGTCGAGGCCAACAAGGCGACTGGAAGCCGAGATACATGCGGACCAGGTAATGCCCGTTAAGACCTGCCTAAGGCATGTCAGAACGTCCATCTTTCTACTGTACAGGATGGGTTTCCACGTACAGTCAAACGTATATAGAACACAAGCAGCGATGTTGTGAGGGTTCACAGGAGGGTCGAGTGGCTCGACCACCCGGCGAGCTGAATCTTACAGCCGATGGCCATGCGCAGAGACAAAGCCGCGAGTCTCAGCACGGTATATTGCAATGGAGGGCTTGAGACGGCGCTTGCATGCGTACCTTGACCGGAACTCTTCGCTGTCGGGTGACAGGAGAGCGCGTTGCGCATCGGTCATGCCATTATGTGCGAGACCATGGGCATGAAAGTCGACAGAATACGCCAGGCCTGTTTCACCCGCATTCAGTATCTGCCCGCGAAAGCCATGTGTTAGTGGCCTGCGTGAGCATTGCTCTGGGTGCATTTGCCTGTCCCGGAAAACTAAACGAAGAAGTCCAGTGTCCGCCCGCAGGCCCTTGAAGCCAACCGAGCGGAAGGGTGAGCATGTTCTCAGCAGCATCACCGACAAGTCAACGGCCAAAGGGGTCCATGCCTCCGCGGCAGATGCTCGAGTTGGTGTCATTCGATGTGCTGGGGCATGGCCTGTCCCCTCCGGGAACTATCTGCAAGCCTGGAGCACGCGGGCTTATTAAGTGTTGCTGAGAGACCTCAACTTGAACGGTTCACATTGCGAGTTTGTTGGGCCACATGGCAAGGCCGCTCGACATGGAGGACTACGTGGTGAGCGTGCATGTGCGGTTGCAGCGTGCCGCCCACGCCTTCAATGCGGCGTCGGATTGATGGTGTGCGTGCTGACGTGGAGACTGATGATGTTGCAAGGTCGCAAAGAGCTTCCGCTGTTGAGCTGTCGCTGTCAACCCTGGCCGTCAAAGGCAATACTGTGACAACATCCGGTCCGGGGGTCGGGGCGGTCCAGTGGCTACTTTGCGATGATGGGGGCGGGAGTCGCAGGACTCGTGCTTCCTACGCGGCACATGTGCAGGGTAGTGGTGACACGGGCTGACTGCAAGAAAAACGATGCCTGCCTGCATCTCGTTGTTGTGACGCGTTGCACTCCCACTTCCCTGTGTCACAATGGCTGGCCAACACAAGGGGCGCGGTGCAGTTGAACGCGAGGGTGATGGTGTCGCTCTGGCATCCAACCTCTTTGGTTTCGCCCAACATGACGCGACGGGGGCAAAGAGGGATTTATTGCTGTCAACGGTTTCAAAACAGGAGCATAAAACCGACACAGCGTGCTTGACTGGCTCTTTTTCCCGGCTGCTCGAGGGTGCGAAGCAAGTGATTTTCATCAGCCCCCACATGGCAGTGGGCAGGCCTGATAATAACGGGTGGCCTCTGGCGGCTGATTCAGGGCGCCCTCGTCACTGATACCAACACAGCGAGGTGTGTCTGGGGCATGGTTAAATGATGGCAACGGTGCACTAACCATGATGGGTGGTGACCCCCGTTGAGACTCTGTACTTCGTATTGCTACCCCTCGTCTCCCCACGACTTTATTATGGGAGAGTCCCCCAAGCAGTGTTGCATTTGTGACAGCGATTGTTGCAGTAGTATCGCGCTCCAACCCGCCGGAGGTTGCGAACCCGTACGTGCGCGTCCAGAGGCAACTGTCTTTTGAGTTCGGCCAGCCAACTGAAGGGTGGGGAGCCAGACGTCCTCGCCCGCCTTCTCGATGGAGCGCGTGGATTGCGCCGTCATCGGCGCAGGTGAGCCTCACAGCTTTCAATTCCCAAACGCGCCCGCGTTCCCACTCTTGCTTGGAATGGTATTCTGATGGCCGTTGGACGCAGGATGGTACGGGTTAGCTGCCGCCAAGCAGTATCGATACACGAGGCCTGACGATTCCCTCGCGATTTTTGAGTCGCAGTCGTCTCTGGGCGGAACTTGGGCCGACGAGCGCTTGTACCCCGATCTCAAGAGCAACAACTTGCTAGGCACATATGAGTATCCCGACTTTCCCATGGATAGCGAGAGGTTCGGCATTAAGCCTGGGCAGTACATTTCTGGAGACATTATCAACACCTACCTGAAAGCCTACGCGAGCCATTTTGGCATCGACAATCTCGTCCGTCTTCACAGCAAAGTCTTGGCGGCAGAGCACCACGATGACGCTGGCGGAGGATGGACCCTGACCGTGGCAGGCAGCGACGGCGAATCCCAGGTGTTTACTCGTCGCCTCGTCATTGCCACCGGCCTGACTTCCGAGCCGTTTCTCCCTAGGTTTGAGGGCCAGGACAGCTTCGGTGGCCCGATATTCCACGGAAAGCACTTTCTGCAAAACAGGGCTACACTGGAGACTGCGAAAGACGTCACCATTTTTGGCGCGACCAAGTTTTCGTGGGATGCCGTCTACTCTTACGCCCAAGCTGGAGTCAAGGTCAATTGGGTCATTCGCTGTGAGGCGCTCTCTAGACAGCGCTCAATGCCTGACGTCGAACATTGTGCTGATTTGACTTCGATTAATAGCGTCCGGCCATGGCCCGTGTTGGATTGCCCCGTCATACGTCACGCCGCTGAAGCAATGGATCGAGAAACTCGCAAGTATGTGCGCATGGCACCAAACACTTCTCGCTCGAGACACCTTTCTGGAATGCTAAATGGAAAATCCAGACATGCGCTTTTTAACTTGGTTCAGCCCTTGCATATGGGGTGATGCGGATGGATACACCGCCATCCGTCGGTTCCTTCACCAAACGGCTGTCGGCCGATTCATTGTCGATGCCTTCTGGAGGATACTGGGCAACGATGTTGCCCAACTAAACGGCTATGACTCTCATCCGAAGACGGCCAAGCTGAAGCCATGGACAGGCGCCATGTTCACTGGCGCGAGCTTCAGCATCTTGAACTACGACAACGACTTCTTCGACCTCGTGAAACGTGACAGTGTAGAGATCCACATTGGAGAGATCGATCACCTTTCTCCAGGCACAGTTCATCTCGCCGACGGTACATCGTTCAAGTCAGACGCAATACTCGCGCATACCGGATGGAAGCAAGTTCCGCCCGTAAAGTTCCTCCCAGAGGGGATTGATGCTGAGCTTGGCGTTCCACACTTGCAGCAAGATGGCGCAACCTCTGCGACGACCGATCTGGCCAACCAGCACGAGATCCAAGCGCAGGCTGACACGGATATTCTGAAAAGGTTCCCGCGGTTGCGCAAGCAAGAGGTCTGGAACAAGGACTATGTTCCCCTTGCGGAGCAAAGGGGCTTCGTGACGAGCGCCGCCGATGCGACCACGCCGTACAACGGACTCACCCCTTTCATGCTGTACCACTTCCTCGTGCCACCGTCTCCACGGTTCTTACGGCACCGCGACATTGCGTTCGTCGGAATCGTCAGCAACTTTAGCAATACGCTGAACGCCCACATCCAGGGGCTCTGGGCTGCCGCCTATTTCTGCGGTCTCCTGAAGAACGACCCGGCGGCTGCGGTTGGCGACGAGGCTGCCCTGGAAAGACTGCGCTACGAAACAGCTTTGCATAATCGCTTCGGCCGGTGGCGCTATCCGGTCGATTGGGGCAACAAGGCACCGTCATTCATCTTCGATGCTGTTCCGTACTTGGACCTGCTCCAGCGAGACCTCGGGCTTGATCCCCACAGAAAGCGCGGCGCCTTGGCCGAGATGTTCAGCGCGTACGGAGCAGAAGATTATAGAACCATCAATGATGAGTGGAAGGAGAAAGTCTGGAGGAAGTCTGTGGGCACACTGTAGATGTCTAGGCACCCGCCACGATGATGTCACTTCGCTTTCCCACGAGCAGGCGGTCTGTCACGAGGAGAATGCGCTAGTTAGAATACAGATTTTACTTATTAGCCAACTATGATCGGAAAGGAGACCTTGCCCACGATCCGCCTGGACGACTCACTGCTGGACTGGAGTTTGGGGCACCGTGTTGCTCGAATGGCCTCGGTGTCTTTGAGTGACTCGGGTTTCTGGAGGGCAACGACTTGGACGAACATGACCTTCCCTGAACTTGAGGGCAGTGTCTTCCATGGCGACAGCACCTGAAGAGTTTCGGAGATATGGATCCCCTCATGCCTCGCTAGCCTATGCGACAAGATCGCCGTACACATCAGTTCTGTCCTTCATGCCCATACATGGCCTTATTCTGCTCCTGAGACTCTGGTTGGACCCCGCCATATGTTTCCACCTGAAGCCGGCACTGGCACGGGCGTTAAAACTACTCAAACTCGGCAACCGGATAATTCCGGCGGGCCTGACGTATAGAGAGGTAGGCAAGTATTGAACCAGAAACTTCGGAAGGAAAGCTGTAGAGCCAAAAACGGCTTGCTGCTATGAGGTGAGGCGTTCACGGCGAACAGAGCATCTAACGATTCCATCAACGCTTTCCGTTGAGGCGATGCGGATTTTCCGCCGCGCATCTCTATTTTCACACACGCATTTCTCCATTTCTCACTAGCTGGCACCGCCAAGACTGGGTTACAGTACCACGCTGTCTGGCCGCAGCCCCGCAGCCCCGTGAGAGCTCCGATTGCCGCTGCTGCGCGCGGCCCGCGCAGCCTCTAATTGCCGCTCCAGCATGTAGGCTACGGTGCCAGTTATTGCTGCTGTGGCCTGCGCAGCCTAGTAGCCTTCGCCCTCTTTCAATGACGGCTGCCAGGTGCGTGCGCAGGCGGCTGGAATGGCACTGTACGAAAGACCGAACTTGTTTTTGGCGCTGGCAGTAAAGGCTCTTGGTGGCTGTACGGGCCTTGGTCGCGGTGTTATGTGAAAATAGAGAAATGCGTTTGTGGAAAGTAGAGGTACTGTTTCGGCCCAATACCTGCCACCAGTCTGGTCGGTCGCATCGCATGTGCTTGCCCCTAGAAAGGCTTTGTTTCGTCAACAGTCCGAGAGCACAACTACCAGACGGTTGGCAAGGCTTTTGCCGGGGCCATTATGTCCGTAGATGCCTATTATGCAGTCATCCCACACCTTCTGTGGTAAACTCGGCCCAGAAAGCACTGGTCTTACGCACACTCAGTCATCGACGATGAAGGGGGAACGACCGAAGAGTCAGGTCCGGGATGTTTACTACACGAGATCCCGTTTCACATGCCAAAATGACTACGTATTCATCAATGTAGTTTGACGGCTTCATCAGCACTTACGCGGCGTCGACGCCGGGATTCTAGCACATCACCCTGGACTTGTTCGAGGGATCCCGCCTGTGTACGCAGCGACTGGCACGTTGCGCACAGTCTAGCCTGCCAACGGACACAAACCGCGCTCTAACGGTCCATTGTATTGCTTGAGTGGAAGGATGAGTCACGAAAGAGCCCTAAAACGAGGCTCGTCACCTGGTTGGTGCGAGGATTTGTCGTCGGGGAACGCAGTGACGCGGCGAAGACGAGCGGCGGTACGTACACATGGCAGTGGTGTTCATGACGCCACTGCAGCAATACACAACAGCTTGTTCGTAGTAATGCTTGCGAGCCTTTCATGGGTGCTTGATGGGGCTCCTGAAAATGAAAGTTGGTACCCGACGTTGGAGCAAAGGATCTCGTGGTGCAGCCATGACGGCCAAAGCTCGCAATACAACGCAGCCATAACGTACTGAAGCAAGTTCCAGATCATCGACAATTTCAAGAACGCTCCTCGACAGGGCTTCATCATGTACAACTACTCGAATACGCATCAATTCTCGCGTCTTAAACAACCTGTTGTGCTTACAGCAGAGCGTACATGTATACATGCAGAAACCCTCATAGGAGCAGTTTTCATCTCGATTCCAGATTCGAGTCCAGACCGGAGTGTGCGCAGTTTGTCGAAGTCGGGCTTCTTCCGTACAACTTTGCACGTGTACGTGACACTACCACGCGTGGTCGCCGCGTCGTTTGGCCTGATGCAAAATTGTTGGGAAGCAAGTACAGTATCGGGGCAAGCATCAGGATGGAACGATGGAAGTCCAGTGGCGACGGTGGTCGTTGGTCGGGGCGGGAGTGGGCCGGCAGTTGGAGCGCCGCTTCGGGGAGACTTGCACGCCCGACTCCGGTCCGTGCAGACGCGACCCGCGCCCATGCCTGCCGTCTGGTCAGGCACCGGTTGAACAGCTCCCACTACCCATACCCCCATACGATTTCCTAAACGCGGATCTAACGGACGCAGCCCTGACCCTGGGGCGGATCCTCAAGTCACTCCAACCAGCTCGTGTGCCGGATTGGGAGCCAGTTGAGTACATTTGATGCCTGTGCTCGCTCCGCAAGACCCCTCCCGGCTGTTTCCACTTTCCACCCACGAAAGTGCACTGAAAGAGCACGGTTGTCCGCTTGATTAATCGCTGATGCGTCACTGCTTCGAAAGGAGCGAGCCTCAAGATTTCACGTGTCTTGGACGGATATGGTGCTGTGGCAAGATACCAGGTGAGGCGCGGCCTCATCTTGACTTGATGGATGACTTCACAAGACGGCAGCGCAGTCCTGCCGCGTGTTGCCGTGACGCGTTCCTGCATCAGTATGTTCTCAAAGCGTCATGTCTGCAGCCCGAGGATAGTGCCATGCAACACTCTGAGGCTCGCGGGTTGCGCCGGGACACCGTGGGGGAAAGGCGGTCACTTTTGGGCGAGGCCCTGGCGAGAATCACGACGCGAGCGGCGAGTCTCGGGCGGGGCCTCGCGGCGACTCCAGGCTGAAGCACAAGACACCATCGTTCGATGAGCGTCAGGCCATTTCATTAGACAGCGCAGTCGACACAGCACCACTTCGCCCTGACAAGAAGGCCTATGAGGTCATTTGAAGGCCTGAAGCGTCTGGTCGCTCATCGCAAGAATTGCCAAATCGGGTAACGCCCACGTGGGGCCCGCCCCGACTGTTGTTTCTGTTGGCAAAAACGGCCTTCAGGGCGAACTCACGGGAGCCGTACGGCATGGATCTGGCGGTCCCAAAGGGGCTCCCGTTTTGCCCCTCCTGGGCGTGGCAACAACACCTCCCACATGCACTGACCGATCACATGAAGAAGGGAATTTAGTCAACGCTACCCAAGCTGCGGGCTGCTTATTGTTTTGCTCTCAGCATGTGCGGGCTACTACTAGTCGACATGTCGCGGGGCGGATGGATATAAAGCCCAAGTCCTCCGCCCCCGGCCTCGCCCTGCCCCATGGGGATATGAAGTTAGTTGCGCCCCAGTCATCGTAGCCGAACCACCACACTTCGACTCCCGCCGCTGCCATGTCCACAGCCCGCACGACTACGGCCGTCGAAGGCCAACCGGCGGTCCGGGTAGAGACCCTCAAGCCGCCCTCGCAGGCCAACCCGAAGGACTCGATCAAGTCGACATGGCGTCGTCAAAGCCGCTCAGAGTGGACCATCTACCACTGGTTCTATGAACTCTTGGGGATCCATCCCACGCATCTCGACAAGCACATTCCGGTCCACCAAAAGACGGACAAGGTGCCGCACATGCACGAGCGTTCTCTGCACCGTTGGGTGCTCCTCCACGCCTTTGTTCCGATTCTCCTGCAGCATCTGTACGTCACCTGGACGGGACGGAACTTTACGGCCCTGCAAGCCTTCTTCTTTTACAGCACCGCGTTCAAGCTCATCGCCATCCACGAGCTGCACATCCTCCGCCGGACCGGCCATGAAACCGGCTTCCTAGACGGCGATGCGCACGAGCGCGATGGCGTTCCTGACGTCGGTGTGAAAAAGGTCGTGTATTCGCTCATCTCTACCTCGACCTTCCGGCCCATCGCGACCGTCTTTCTCAGCTATCGCTATAGCCAAGCCCCCGCAGACATGAACTGGCTCTGGCTGCCACTGGAGGCTGGCCTGTATGGCATCATCCTCGACTTCTGGTTCTACTGGTACCACCGTCTGATGCACGAGATCGGCAGCCTCTGGCAATACCACCGCACGCACCACCTCACCAAGCACCCGAACCCGCTGTTGACCTTGTACGCCGACACGGAGCAGGAGTTCTTCGACATCCTCGGCATTCCGCTGCTCACGTACTTCTCCATGAAGGCCATGGGCATGCCCATGGGCTTCTACGAGTGGTGGATCTGCCATCAGTACGTCGTCTTTGCCGAGGTTGCTGGCCATAGCGGGCTGCGCATCCACACGTCGCCGCCCAACACTCTGAGTCCGCTTCTGCGCTGGTTCAACTGTGAGCTCATCATCGAAGACCACGACTTGCATCATCGCAAGGGCTGGAAGAGCAGCGGGAACTACGGCAAGCAGACGCGCCTGTGGGACGTTGTTTTCGGCACCTGCAAGGATCGCATCGAGTGCCAGGATGACAACATTGACTGGGAAAACACCATTTCCATGCCAATCTTTTAAGGTTGTCTCCTAGGGTCTTGCAAGAACATGAAGGCTTGCATGTGGGCTGGTATGTGCGCGGCAGACCTTGTTTGCGTCGGAGACCGGCCACGTCGGGTAGTGGGATGTGCTGTTGGGAAATATTGATGTTACAAAGACGTCGCGTTCCGTTGCGAGTCCCAGTTACCAGCACGGATGTGTGGATGATTTACACCACGAAATGTATGACTCGAGATACCATATCAAATACTTAGCATTCGGACTATCTGCAGTTGGTTTTGCCGGGTGACAAACAATTTCGGCCGGCCTCTCGTGCGCGATACTGTATACCGTATAGTGTGCAACTTGAACTCTGCATCGTGTATGGGTGGATGTCGCTATCAGCGATTTTTACCCCTCTCACGTTGAGCTCCACCAGATGCTCCCTTCCTTCCCGCAAACTCCAGTCGTCTTCAATCTGCTCCGGCCAATGTCCAAACGGCCCTGGGTATGGAAGATGGCGAGTCCAGTTGAGAATGACTTATTGGCATTCCTCGAGCGGGACCGATCCAGGCTCATTGCCATGACGCAGGAGCTTGTCCGGCAACCGTCGCCGAACCCGCCCGGCGACGTGTCCAAGGTTGCCTCTTCGGCGCTCTCGCTCATACGAGAGGCGATTCCGTCCAGCCAAGTGCTGGAGTACAAGACTGCCCCGGGGATCATCAACATTGTTGCCACGATATCCGGACAAGCCTCTGGCCGGGGCCGGCGACTCGCCTTTTCAGGCCACATGGACACCTATCCCGCAGGCGACGAGAGCCAGTGGACACATTCACCCTTCAGTGGTGCCCTTTCGGCGGATGGGAAGCGAATTTATGGCCGTGGAAGCACTGACATGAAAGGCGGAATCGCAGCGTCCATCCTTGCCGCTCGCGTTTTGGCCGAGCACAGAGACAGGTGGAGCGGCGAGGTTGTCATCGCGTTGGCCGGCGACGAGGAGACCATGGGATCACTCGGCACCGGCTATCTGCTGGACCAGGTCATGCCGGTGCGTGCATGCGACGCCATGCTCTGCGGCGACGCCGGCTCTCCTGCCATTCTGCGGACAGGCGAAAAGGGCCTCGTCTGGATCGAGCTGACCGCCATCGGGGTCGCTGCGCATGGTGCACATGTACACCGGGGAGTGAATGCCATTGAGAGGCTTCTCGACGCAATCTCTGCCGTAAAAGGCCGTCTCGATAACGTCGACGTTGCCACACCTGCGGAGATTGGCGAGGCTATTTCGGCGGCCAAGCCGGTGTCTGAGCCGCTGGGGGGATCCGGCGAGGAGAAGACGCTGAGGCGAGTTACACTCAACGTTGGCAAAATCTCGGGAGGCGTGTCAGCCAATCTGGTCCCCGATAGAGCCACAGCCGCGGTCGACATTCGTCTACCGATGGGTATCACGGCCGCAGAGGTTATTGATCATGTGCATGGAGCTCTGAGCGGCTTGGACGGTGTTTCAGTCCACGTCGTGCGTCAGTACGACCCTACGTGGACGCCGCAGACGGAGGAAATCGTGCGACACTCCGTCGCGGCCGCTCGACAGGTTGTTTCGAGCAAGGCGGTTGTCAATATGAGGGTTGGGGCGTCTGATGCGAGGCTATTTCGCCTGAAGGGCATTCCCTCGGTCGTCGTCGGCCTCACGCCACACAACATGGGAGGACCAGATGAATACGTGGATGTGGATGAGTTGCTTCAGGTGGCACAGATCCACCTGCTCACGGCGTGGCGATACCTGCACGACTAGCTGCTCTCCTACAATTTACAGAACATAGAGGCACCGTGCTGCAAACGACGGCATCATGATCATTTCGTTGCATTGTAACTGCGTGCGGCGGGAGAAGATGTGCAATACAATAACATTCATGCCACCTCATATGACACACTGTTCATCGCCAATATGGTTCATGTATGTGTAGATTGAACTCGACAAGAGATACCACTATGCAGGTCCAGCGTCGTCGTCGTTTCCGGCGCGTCTGGTCCGGTGGTTGGCCTACTGGAGGCCCTTCTTGATGTTGTCGTACTGTGAGTTTGGATAGGTCAGGCAGTTTTGCGTCGAGTCAATTTGGCCCAGTGAAGACTTGCTGGCCTTGATGAGAGAGTCTGCGCCCTTCTTATCCGAGGACGCTTCCCAGAACATGCTGCCGCCGAGGCCAAGGCCCTTGAGGTACGTCACCTTGGTCTTGATCATGTCCGGCGGGTCGTAGGAAATGAGCTCCTGGGTCGACGAGTCGTAGGTATAGTAGCCCTTGGCGACGTCGTCATACATGAGCTTAGCCCCTGCCTTGGGAAGAACTTTATAGTCCCATAGCCCGTTTTCCCAGGAGCCACTTCCGACACCCGTGTATGGCTTCCCAATGCCCGTGGTCTTTTGGAAGGAACGGCCGTAAATGGGCATGCCGAGGACCATCTTATTCGCCGGAATGCCACCCTTGATATAGTCCGTGACGGCAAGGTTAGCGTCGAATGGTGTCGCGTTTGGGTTCTGCGGGTTCTGATAGAGATTGGCGTCGTGGCCGCTATAGTTGCTCCAGCTGCCGGCAAAGTCGTAGGCCATAAGGTTAACGTAATCAAGGACCTTGCCCATATCGGCGAGATGAAGCTTCTTATAGTTATCCGGGCCAGCAGGCGCAGCAATCGAGAGCTGAAAGTGATATCCGTTGGCGTACTTGGCCGAGTAGGCATCTAGTTCATCACGGACGGCCTTGAGCAGCAGGACGAAATTGGCAGCCTGCGTATCGTCGGCGGGGTACTCCCAGTCAACGTCGATGCCGTCGAAGCCCCAGTCCTTCATGAACGTGACTGCAGACGTGGCGAAGGTCTTTCGGGTCGCGGCAGAACTGGCGGCAGCAGGGAAATTGGTCGACCAGGTCCACCCGCCGATGGAGAGCATGATCTTGAGGTTCCGGTTCTGCTTCTTGAGAAGGAACATCTGCTTCACGCATCCATATGCATTATTGCCAACGTCATTCCAAGCTTTTCCCTTGTCAGTGCATGCTACGAACAGACTGGACGATGAGAAGCATGGGGTCTGGGACTTGACTAGACCAGATGCGCCACATACAGTCATTGGGGTAGTGCTTTTCAAGATCGGCGTAGGTGTCGCCAGAGTAGCTATGCGCGCGTCAGCTGAGTCTAATGGCATGCTGTTGATGTTTCTTTATCTTTCTTACACGGTTCCATCGGCGCGGAGGTTCAGGAATGCATAGAAAACATGGGTGATGTCCGAAGCGGGCAAGTCGGCAGGTTGGTAATTGCGGCCATAAATACCCCTACAACGCAAAATTCGTGAGTCAAGTCGTCCGGTGATTAGCAGGTCCAGCTGGAATTTCCCCTTACCAGTTAACGAAATAGACCCCATTCGCTGAGCCGCTGGCACGTTTCGAGACTAGGCCCTCAACGGGAGCAGAGATTGCAGCGCCAGAGACAAAAGATGCCACCTGCAGCAAGCCGAGTGCAGCAATGCACTGCATCAACGAACGAAGCATATTGAAGACCCTTTTGGCTCCCAACGCAAGGCCAGAACTGTCAAGTTATGTTCAAGAAAATGTTAAGAAAAAATGATTGAAAGCAATGTCGATGCCGATGCCGATGCCATTCATGATGTCTGCTTGCACGAGGACAATGTCCTACATATACTCCCCAAGGTCCTAATAGATTTGAAGCTTGACGGGACGACAGCGAAGAGAGTCATTGACCTTTGTGACCTTCGCATCAAATGGTGGGTCAAAACGAAACGTTGCTCCCTTCACGTTGGCGTCGGGGTTGAAGGACCGCTACTCATCGGAAAGCCCACTGGCGCATGCGCAACGATTGATGGCATTGCTTGGACATGGACTGAGATTTGCTGGCGCCGGTGGGGGTATGAGGCAGTTGAGGGCAACTAGTAGACCGCAAAAGCTGTCGGTCGGGTGATGCAAGGATGGCCTTGTCGGCCACCGAGTCCCCACGGTATAGCTTGGGCGAATCTCAGTCATGCCTAGAAAGGCAGGAGGGCTGGCGTGGGCTTGCCTTGAGTTACATGGGCTGTGATGGCGCGCTCAACCCACGACATGGACATATCTGGACGCGACCCCCAAAAGACGAACGGTCGCAGCCGCGGCTCGTGACTGTTTCGGAAAGAAGGAAATCTGCGCCCTGGACGCGGGAATGCCCTGAATCGAGCTTTGTCTCGCTTCCCACATTGCGGTACAAGGTATTGTCGCTGAGCCTCATGCCAAGTGCGGGCTGAGCCGCAGCAGCAGGCGGTGCCTGTCCACGAGTGGCGGCGGGGGAATCGACAGCTCGCCCGGCTATTAGTGCGACGCCTACCCGCGAAAGCCTAGCAATGAGACAACCGCACGACACATGAGACGATAAGATCGATGCCGGGATACAGAAAAAACGGTGCCATGTCCTGAATGGGGTCACGGCTTCCCCCACTATGAAACGACCACGTTTCTTGAAGCCACAAAGGCAAGGCGCACGTTGCGTTTCGCGGGGGACCGAACGTGGCCTTGGCTGGATGCGGCAGTTGGGCAATAGATTAAGGGACGAAATAAGGGGTGGCGGGGCTGCACCTTGGGCGGCGCATGGGGGGTTCCAGGCGCCTTGCAACATAGTTACGTGTATCCCTACTGGACCTGGATCTAGCAAACCGCACTCATGCATTTGATCTGATGTCACGCACGTGCATGCATGCATGCAGCATGCTAAGCTAGTACCTTGCCTCGAAGGCTGCTTGCGCATGTTACAACGTTACGAGACTGGACGCCGACGCCTCTGCGCGCGCCTGCTTGGCCGCATACCGGATAACTAGGCGGCCATCCCATCGCAGCTGACCATGGCTGGATGGCAACGAACCGCAGGTGACCGCAAGGAACGCGTCGGCATGTGACCACTAACCACCCACAGCAGCTCGTCGGGGTAGCATTGACGACCCTGCTCCTTCATCAGCACCTCCAGACTACGTGACACATTGCGTTCAACTCTGGGCCGCTCCTTCAGACGACATAGACAAGGGCGCTCGACACTGGGGCAGGTCTGATCCTCACTAGCAGCCGCGTGCATCCACGGCCTGGGCATAGTGCAAAGTATATAGCGGCATTGGGTGTATCGGTCTGCGTCGTCCGGTGCTGCCCCGTCGACTGGAGACACGATGCGATGCAACGCGACGCAGCCGCGGCGGGACACAGGGTTCCAGGAATCACCCGAGGTCGGTGGATTGAGGCCAGTATTGCATTGATACCGACGTCTCCACGCGCTCAACTCGCAACAGGCATCCGGCCGGGCTCTGCTACTGACACAGACCTCTGCAGCCATGGATGTTGGCGACGTAGTCGACTTTAAGCCATCCTGGCTTCTTAGGTCCATCTTCCGTTGAAGAAACACGCCCACACTGAACGCAGCCTTCCTTAACGAGCACGTGCATCAGATGCTTCACCTCGGTGCCGTTCATCGTCTCCTTGTTCAACCCCTCTGGGAAGACACAGTACCCAGTAGGCCCGAGCGAGATCCGCACGCAATGAATATGATCTCCGTTCTTGAATGTTCGTTTGTTGCTCAACTTTGCCTTCAACTCTCTGTAGGTTTCCGGGAGGTGGCGTCCGTTGAAAAAGACGCTACAGAGCCCGTCTGTCGTACATTCGGCTTTTTGCTCCGCTGAGACCGCCATAGGAGTCAGAAGCGCGGCGATAGAAAGAGCGAATTGAGGACGCATCTGAGGGAGGTAAGTAAGTAAGTAACGTTAGGCTATCACAGGATTGTAGCTTTCAACTTATCGCGTCATACTTCGGTCGCTTTTCTTCTTCTTCTTCCTCTTCTTCTTCTTTTTCTTCTTCTTCTTCTTCTTTTACTTCTTTTTCTTCTTCTTCTTTTTCTTCTTTTTCTTCTTCTTCTTCTTCTTCTTCTTCTTTTTCTTATTGGGATTGTGTTTCAAGTTCTAGCGAAATCGGATGCTGGCGTATGGGATGTTGAGTACAACATTTAACGATTAGCGTAAAGAAGCGCAGCTGTAGATTTCGTCTCGGCCCCGTCCCCCTTTTTATACGTCATGTCTGGTAAAAGTAACTTGAGCGAGCACACAGACGCCGCAGGCGAGTCTTAATATTTCCCGTAGAAACGCGGCTTACGAAGTCCGCTTGCACGTGCCTTGGCCTACTAGTGTATACGTGGAGCTCGCGCACGGCGTACGTTCTGCCCACGACACCGCCCCGGGTGAAACGTGGGACGCATGTTTCTCACGAGAAATCAGGAGTTCGTGGCTGGTGGAGCCGCTTCAGTCTGGCGGCGGCGCTCCAGTCCCATACGGCATGCGCTTTGCTCTGCCCATGACATCTGCCCCTACATGTAACACAACGTGGGCTGTCACATGCTGAGGAGCCGTTCGCAGCTGACATGGAGTCTACAGCACTGGCCTCAACATGAGCTCGCAGGACCCCGTTCCAGCTTGCAGAGTTCACATGCATGTGAGCTGTATCCGAGTCTCCTCTCTTGGCTGCCTCCACCTGACTTCTATGCTGTCTTTAAAGCCCAACCGATTCCTGGTTATGTATTAAAGTGACCTCCGGAATGATGTAGTACGAGAGAGAGGATGGGACCTCGGCACCCGTAGCCAGGTCACGGGCGCGGAGCCGTGCCCATGTTGCCACGTGCTCAAGGTGTGAGAAGGAAATGTACATGGAGGCAGTTTGTGTGTGGCAATGAATGTATATAGCTATTTCGCATCGAACGATGATCGCTGGCAAAACCGTGCATGCTGGGGACTAGCCGCCATGACCCTAATTCATGTCACTGATCGTGCGTGGGGGACGTCGCGGCTTCGTCGCCAACCCCCTGTTTCACTTCTTGTCACCACTGTGAGCGATATCATTGAACTCCACCCTACATACCAGACTGCAGGCCCATCCGCGACAGCCTATCACAAGCCCCATTCACAGAACCCTGGCTACGATTTCTTGCGAAACCCCCGGTAGCCACGAGTGTCTGCCACATATAGTCGACTTTGAGGTGCGCTGGGCTAGGACTATTGTCCTTGAAATCGATGACGTGTACACTGTCAGCAGTCTTCGCAGAGTCTTCTCGTTAGTTTCTTGACCTCCTCGCCAGGGATCCTGGGCCTCTTCTTCAGCTTCTCGGCGAAGGCACAGAACCCAGGAACAGGACCCGACACCGTTCTGTAGGGCAACTGATATGCTCCACGTTGACGAACGTCTGACTGGCTTGTCCGCTAACCACTTGCTCACTACATCAGCTATAGGTCCGAGACACGCGGATGTGAGAATGTATTCACACAGCCCGCTATTATGACATTCGGGAATCCCTTTGGTGAGCGCAGCGGGTTGGAGTGCAGAAGACCGGCATTACCGCGGTGCGGGCGCATTATAGGGAATAATACCTCTACGCTATCAATATATATGACGACTGGCAATCTATCGCAATATACCTCAAGTAGTTCCCTATCCCAGGGCCCAAGAGAGAGTAACGTGGCCTTTTAGGGCACTAATAAAACGAACGCAGTGACTAGAGTATAAGATGTCGAGACTAAGGCTAGCGTGGAGCAATACATGTACTCACTGGACGGCTTCTGAGTCGCAACCGGCCCTTTGTTCCTGAGAACTGCGTGTCTAAAACGGGTTGCGTCAGCCTGGCATCGTCGAATACATTGCAGCGCAACAGGTACTTCAACCAGTGGAGTAAAACAACTTCAATACAAACCATTGGTATGCAGTACGACGGGGTACATGAAGGAGGTCCGCGTGAGCCTGTTTGTCGTTGGAAACACGGAGTGCATAACAGAACGGGGCCGCCTGCATGTGAAGTGGTGCTCGCGCGCGGACCTCAGTGCTGCCCGGAGTGCCATGGTTACGCGGGGTGGGCTACCCCGGGTATCGGCATGTCATACTTCCAAGGTGCACTACGTGGACCTCTCGTCGCCGCAAAGTGGCTCCACATGGAGGAGAGCTCGGCCCGTGCCTGCTGCTGCTACGCATCGGAACGCCCACAAGCACAGGTAAATTATATAGAGGCATGCTATTCGTGTAGACTGTAGAATAATAGGCCCTGCTCTTCATGCTTGCGATCTTTCGGGAAAACAGGGCACCAGCGTATATAGCTACCTCTCTATTTAGCAAAATTCGTCATCGGTACTCAGCAGCTTGCCACCTCTCTCCAGCCCAGCTTGATCAGTGACGTTAGTTCCGCCCCGGAGGCCCCGAGCACTTCTTGTTAATGCCTTCGAAAAAGTTGAACGTGAGGCCGCCCCCATTCGGCCCATCGGCCTTTGACCATGCAGTTCCACACCCGGCGCAGTCCCATCCCAAACGATACGCGAGCTTTTTAACCTCCACGCCAGGTATCTCCTTCTTCTTGAACTTTTGTAGGTACGCACAATACCCGGTACATCGCATACCTGCCATGAGCCTGCAGCCTAAAACGTCTCCGTTCTTAAAGGTCGCGTTGGCATTCGTTTTCTCGGCGATTTCGTCCATCAGGTCCCTATAATCCACCA